GGACGTCAACTGCTAAACATAGGCCTCCCCCAATGATTTCCACAATGGCCGGTTGGTGGCGGCCTGCATCCAGCGCCTTCCTGCTACCTTTATGAGGTCATTGGTCCACCTTGTGGGTGGACGTCTTACACTGCGCTTTCTGGTACGTGGCCTCCACTCCAGAACCTTGCTGCCTTACTGCTTTTTGGACGGATACATATAAGTATATTATTTAAGTAGTGTAGTAAGTTTTTAACTCAGGATAAGCACTGTGGTATCTTATGTCTGTCTTAATAGAGGCGACTTTGCAATAAACATGCAGTTTAATGTGCTTGTGTAACTGTACATAATATACTCTGTTTAATTTGGGGCTAAGTTATTGATATTATAATAATATCATTACAGTAATATAATTACAGAGCGTCACAGTATTTATTTACAAAATCACGGTTTTTAACATCTATGTACGTCCCTTGTGTGTAAAATTCTTAAAATTATGAATTTATCATTCTACAGCTTGTCATTTTTAGGGTTCCGTAGTCCTGACAAGGAACCTTTATAGTTTCGAATGTCTGTCTGTCTGTCCGAGGTTTTGCTCGGAAACTATTGGCATTAGGGAGTTGCAATTTTGTGGAGGTAAACACATTAATCACACCGACAAAAATGTAGAATAAAATTTTGAAAAAAAAATTTTTTTAGGGTAACCCCTACATATAAAGTGGGGATGATTTTTTCTTTCATCTTCTACCCCACCGTGTGGGGTAGGTATGCTCTTTTAAAATGGCTTAGGGGTTTCTAAGACCATTTTTCGCTTTAGGGATCCGTTTGCGAAATGTTAAAGTTTAAAGTGCCAATTTTTGTCCGAGTAGGGCGCGAAATATAATAATTTAATTAATGATCTTATGTAGACTACCCTTAACTCACTCTACAGCTCATTTACAATGTAAAACAAAGTTACAGGACAAACAACCTTGTGTACCCAACTTAAAGGTCACATTAGCACGCAACGCCGAGCACATAGAACATTCTGTTTATTTTAAGATGTTTGTGAACGGTGTTACAAGATATAAGATATAGTACAAGTCAACGTCAAACAAAGTGGCCAAAAAGTTGACAACCTTATTCCAAATAATTAAGACGTGTTGCGAAACTTATTGGCCACTTTGGGTGTCACGAACTATTTGACGCTGATTGTACTGTCTAAAGCCCGGTCTGTAAGCACGTAGAATTTTGTCCAATGACCCCAAGCTACCCATCCTTATCGCTTGCGCGTTGCAACGGGCGCCCGCAGTGAGTGTGCGAGCGTGACTTCAACATAATTACGCGCGATCGATAAGGATACTTGGGGTCATTGGACAAAATTCTACGTGCTCGCAGACCAGACTATACCAGCATAGGATATACGTTGTTGTTGCAAATACGTACTTATTGCAAGTACATAAAGGTGCCATCAGTCAATTTAAATGTTTATCTACCTTATACCGCCCTTCGGGTTTTAAAAATGATACGATTTTAAACGGTTTTATTTAGCTTGCCCTGTTTATTTTTTCTCAATAATTCACTAAAAATTCCGAAGCTTTAAAATCCCACCTAACTTCAATAAGAAAAACGTTATAACATTTGCTGAAGGTAGTTCATGTACTACACTAAAACCATCCGAATCAAAGCTCTAAAACGGGACTATTCCCACCTCTCGTTCCCACCGCTGCAACTCCTGTGGTGCCAGGATCTACAGCTTGACCGCCAATAAAAACCCAACCAGTGGAGGTCAAGTTTGTCCCGGGGGAAAGTTTGTAAACTCTATTAAGTACATAATAAAGTTCAAACTCCGACCACAATTTACAACAGTCTAGCAAGAGAACATCTAGCATCTGCTAGTTCATCAACCAAATCCAAACTCTAGCGACTACACCATAAGCTTCAAATTCCCACTCTCAAAAACCAAAACGTCACAGCAATCTCATCAATCAAATCCACACTCTAGCGACTACAAAATAAGGTCGAAAATCGCACCGCTCCTAACGATCTTCCCAGCCACATAGACATTCTGGGATGTGAATCTGTCATCTCTTCGTTGATTCCTCAAAGCATCAAGACTTACTGATGGTAGCTTATGGAAGTCTATGAGAGAGAACTTCTCTGGAGTATGGGATGCAGTGGCGGAACGGAACTGCGGCATTCTAGAAATTTAGACCGTATTACTATATGCATAAGAACCAATTAAAATGTCTACACCAGCAGCCGAGCCATTCTGCGACGTTCTAGATGGTTCAATTTTATGAGAGTTTAGACTATTACTAAAGCCCGGTCTGTGAGCACGTAGAATTTTGTCCAATGACCCCAAGCTAGCCATCCTTATCGCTCGCGCGTAATTATAATGCTTTCGCAACTGTGCGACGGGCGCCCGCAGTGAGTGTGCGAGCGCGACAGCAACATAATTACGCGCAAGCGATAAGGATGGGTAGCTTGGGGTCATTGGACAAAATTCTACGTGCTCACATACCAGACTATATAAGAATAACTATAGTAAAAGATCGGTAACAAGAACGGCATTCTGCAAGATGGTACACGAATTTTGACTCTATTTTTAAAGCACAAAGTAGCATATCGCACCCTTAATAATGAATGGGCACAACTCCAAAATTCAGTTTTTTGGGAAAAGCCAAAAAACCAATCGGCGGATCGCGGTTTTTTACATAATTGGCTCTAAAATATTTATTTTATCAGCTACAACTTTCAAATTAAGCATACTTCATCACTGGTATCTGTTATATAATTTGACATAAGACATTTTTGAAAATATTGATTATGAGTACGTAAAAAAATTGTATAAAAAAATATTTCAAAGTTAGGCCTTTATTTTACTATTTCTGTTGTTGTGATTTTGGGTATTACTTGTACTTGTGCCCATCTAATCCTTAGGCTGAATTGTTTTATATGGCANACGGGACTTTATCAATGTAATAAAAATGAAAATGTAACATATTATTAGAAATATATGGAATTAATTAGACTTAGCTCACTAACACTTACTTAAAAGTTTGTCACACAAAGGCACAACTCCAAATTGGACCACAGTCGCGGGGGCCGGATTCGACAAATATCGGCATGTCTCTGATTCAGCCCTTCTAGCGGGAAGATAGATGAAAGTATGGAAGGGGCACAAAATGTAGAACTCTTTTATCTGATCATTGTTTTCGATTTCTGTGAAAGCCATCTTGTAGAACTGACGAAAATATGCCTCTCTAGTACAAAAAGTAAAAAACCAAAAATTTTGAGTTGTGCCCCTATATTATTAAGGGTGCGATATCAGGATTAGCCGTGTGGTTCCGGCAGAGTAGAATAACCACACCCACTTTTTCCACGGGTGTCATAAGAGGCGACTAAGGGACAAATATGCGAACATCAGGCCTCCCCAAGTCGTCTGGCCACAGCGTGGGGAGTGTAGGACAAATCCTCCATTTGCCTCTGGTAAATTAGAGGGTCGTGCTCCAGCAGTGGAGACTAAATGACCTGATGACTCACCTTCTAACTTCTAGACCCTCATCGAGACTGGACGAGGAGCTATACTTCCGAAACGTCTCAGTAGATGGCGCTGTTTTGGTAATAATTATATTTTCTGGTGTATCACACAGAACGACATCTTCATTGAAACGTCTACGCCTGGGCAAATTCTTTATATCCTTCAAATCCTTCAAGAACACTTCATCATTCTCTGAGTCAGTTTTCGCGCCGCTTTCTCTCAACTCGCTTATACGTTTTTGAGTCAACGTTTTCAAAGTACACGGCGTTGAACTCCGCCTTTTGGGCAGTGTTGCCATGAATCTAACCAAATTGTCTTCTAGCAACCCCGTTGGGGAGATTGCTTTGTCCTTTATTTTCCTATCTGGCAGCTTTGGGATGTCAAAACATCTGAGAATCGGCGACTTTTTAGCTTCGACTTTCAAGGGACTGGAGGCGAGACTTTTCGTCAATCGCAAACCTTTAGTCGCTTTAACTTCGTCTCTTACAGATGACGTTCCAGGACTGTGTCTGTCAAAAGTTTCCTTCTTCCATAGAAAATCTAGAAATCCTTCTTTTTTTTCGTTGTCTGGAGTTGGCGATTCAGTCGAAACGTCATGCTCTTTTGACATTATTTCAATAGACTCCACAAATTGAGCCCATTTTGATATTTTTCTCGGTTTTGGTTTCTTTGACACTTGGTATGTCACCTTTCTTTCAGCGGAATTCGGCCTTTTGGGGGAGTAATCTGACACTGACATGAGAGGAGTGGGGGAACTACACGAAGATATAGATTTTAGCACTGTTTTTGACATTTAGCATAGTTTCGTAGCGATTATAAGTGCAATAGTGCAGGTTGGAGGTGCAATAGATTTGTTAGTTTACCTTGTTGTGACCTGTTATGCTAAACTTCAACTTAAATTAGGTTTAAATATTAGTTACATGAAAAATAAATCTTAGTTAAAGTACAAAAACTGTAATCAAATTAGGTTTTATAACAAAACAACTACATAGTAGTAATTAAATGTAATTTTTACACACACTGTAAAGTATGGAAAAACGTTGTTGTCAACTTTTTGGTCACTTAGGCTGAGTTGCAGAACCTTATTTAACCGTAACAATAACCGGTTCTTTTTGTATGGAGTTTGACAGATTTTTGACGTCATTCAAAGTTAAAGTACGATGGTGCAACTCAGCCTTAGAGAGTCATCAAGTATTTGACGCAGCTGTACCTATTTGACCGTAGCTTACTGCCCTACATCATGTATGTTATGCCTTGTGTGACTTATTGTAAAATTTATATTAACGTTAATAACTTTCACCCCTTTGTGTTCGGTTCAGAGCAATCTTAAGAACTAAATGACTATGCACGTATCTTTTTTTATCTTCTATTAGCCATTTAGTTTACGATCGCTCGAAAAAAAAATGGGCGCTTCCATACTTTTTCTCGCGCGTGTATTTGACGCAGACTGAGCCTATTAAATTGACTGAGCTGTCAATACTGTCAAAGAATGACTTACCGTGCTCCGTGAAGTGCCTCTCGAGTTCCTCGTGCGATATGTTGGTCTGAGTCGCCGGCGCCTCCGACGCGACCTCCTGCTCGGGCCGCGACCGGGAACATCTGATTATCATCATAAAACTCATAAAAAAACCCATAAAACTCATTTATTTTTGCAAGTAGGCTTTTAAAAAGCACTTTTACACGTCCCAGTATTAACCCTACCACTGCAGTGTAGGTCATCTATATGTATATGTTAGTCGAAATTACCATTGTCAATTTCAGGCATGGTTATCTCGCCAAAAATATCTAAAACTTATGGCGAGATAACCATCAAAGGAATTATAAGTGGTAAACTCGCCAATGGACGAGTTTTTAGATTGGCGAGTTGACACATAAGCCAATAAATGGGCCAATGCTGAGAAGAAGCAGCGCAAGAAACTCAGTCAGCCACTATTGTCACGCCCGTATTCACAAACATTACCATGAGGTCTCACAGTGCGCGTGGACGCACAAGGTGACACGAACCAATCACAGAGCTCTATTCAACGCTGTGCTTTCGATTTGCTGCTTCACTCAAGCACGCATCGTTTGTGAATACGGGCGTTAAACTTAAAAGTGTAAAAGCGGTTTAATCTAAGATCTGGAGAGAGGAAGCGAAACGGAGAAGGGTAGCGGAGAAGCGGAACCTTAGGGGGGGGGAGTAGCTGAGTAGCTGAGAGGGGAAGGGAAGCGGAGAAGCGAGAGGAAACGGATAGGAAGCAGAGAGAGGAAGAGGAGACGTGCAACCTTAGGAGGGGAGCGGGACGCTGAGAGGGGAAGCGGAGATTAAGCGGAGAAGCGGAGATGAAGCGGAGAAGCTCCTGTATAACGTACCTGAGCATAGCATTGCTGCATCTTAAGGCGAGCTCGAGCCCGTCGAGCCAGCAGTGGCCGGCGGCCTGCGACGGCGCGCGGAAGATCAGGTGCGCGGTCGGAAGCGGCTGCACCACTGCTCCTGTGGGAACAAAAGGTTAGTTATTTATCCATACTAACATAATAAAGAGGAAAGATTTGAATTCTTTCACCATTAGAATCCAATTTTTTTTCTGCTGAACATAATCACTTGGCACGACGTCAGCAGAACAAGCGTTCCCCTGGCCCCCCAAAAGCACACCATTACGTACTTTTAAGTCCTGCCCAAGAAATCTGACACGCCCCCCTGGACAAAACTGCCCCCTTTCCCGGATGAGACTGCCCCCTCCCTTCGGGGTCAAACAGCCCCCTTACCTGGATTAGATTGCCCCCCTGTGGTGTGGTTGTGGTCAGACTGCCCCTCTCGAGGCTGGAAAGCCCCTCTCGAGACTTTACCCCCTCGAGGCTAAGAATTCCCCTTATCGAGGCTAGAAAGTCCCCCTCGAGGCTAAGAATTCCCCTTAACGAGGCTAGAAAGTCCCCCTCGAGGCTAAGAATTCCCCTTATCGAGGCTAAGAATGCCCCTATCGAGGCTAGAATGCCTCTTCGAGGCTAGAATGCACTCTCGAATCTAAGAATTCCCCTTTTCGAAGCTAGAATGCTCCCTATCGAGGCTAGAATGCACTCTCGAATCTAAGAATTCCCCTTTTCGAAGCTAGAATGCTCCCTATCGAGGCTAGAATGCCCCCCCTCGAGGCTAAGAATGCCCACTATCGAGGCCAGAATGGCCCCTCGAGGCTATAAAGCCCCCATCTGAGGCTAGAATGCCCCCATCGGGTCCAAAATGCCCCCTAACTATCACGTACCTATAGTCTCGTTATGGGGCCCCCTTGGCGCCCAGATGCTCTGCTCCAGAGGGTGGTAGAGCTTGAAGCAGAAGCCGTCCTTCTTGCCGGGACGCTCTATCACCTGGCACGACGTCAGCAGAACAAGCGTGCCATTTGTAGGAAGGGTAGCTGATTTCCCCTGCCCTCGTCCCCCCTAAACTGCTTTTAGACTCTTAAGTCCTGCCCCCATGAGGCTAGAATGCCCCCATCGAGTCTAGAACGCTCCCCTCGAGGCTAGAATGCCCCCATCGAGGCTAGAATGCCCCTTCGAGGCTAGAATGCACCCTCGAATCTAAGAATTCTCCTTTTTGAAGCTAGATTTCTAAGAATGCCCCCTATTGAGACTAGAATGCCCCCATCGAGGCTAGAATGACCCCATCGAGGCAAAAATATCCCCCTCTCGAAGCCATAATGGCCCCCTGTCTGCCACTTACCTATAGTCTCGTTATGGGGCCCCCTTGGCGCCCAGATGCTCTGCTCCAGAGGGTGGTAGAGCTTGAAGCAGAAGCCGTCCTTCTTGCTGGGACGCTCTATCACCTGGCACGACGTCAGCAGAACAAGCGTACCATTTGTAGGAAGGGTAGCTGATTTCCCCTGCCCCGTCCCTCCTAAAATGCTACGCCTCTACCTTTTAGATTCTTCAATCTTGCCCCCTCGAGGCTAGAATGCCCACCATCGAGGCTATAATATCTTCTCGAGGCTTGGAATGCCCCCCTCGAGGCTACAATGCCCCCCTCGAGGCTAGAATGCCCCCTCCGAGGCTAGAATGCCCCTCGCAGCTATAATGCCCCCTTCCGAGGCAAAAATTTCCCCCTCTCGAAGCCATAATGGCCCCCCTGTCTGCCACGTACCTATAGTCTCGTTATGGGGCCCCCTTGGCGCCCAGATGCTCTGTTCCAGAGGGTGGTAGAGCTTGAAGCAGAAGCCGTCCTTCTTGCTAGGACGCTCTATCACCTGGCACGACGTCAGCAGAACAAGCGTACCATTTGTAGGAAGGGTGGCTGATTTTCCCTGCCCTCGTCCCCCCTAAAATGCTACCTTTTAGACTTAAGTCTTGCCCCCACGAGGCTAGAATGCCCCCTTGCGGCTAGAATGCCCCTTCGAGGCTAGAATGCCCCCTCGAGGCTAAGAATTCCCCCTATCGAGGCTAGAATGCCCCCTTCGAGGCTATAACTCTCCCCCTCGAGGCTAAGAATGCCCCTTTCGAGGCTAAGAATGCCCCCTATCGAGGCCAGAATGTCCCCTTCTGAGGCTGGAATGCCCCCATCGAGGCTAGAATGCCCCTTCGAGGCTAGAATGCACCCTCGAATCTAAGAATTCCCCTTTTCGAAGCTAGAATGCTCCCCCTCGAGGCTAAGAATGCCCCTTTCGAATCTAAGAATTCCCCTTTTCGAAGCTAGAATGCCCCCTATCGAGGCTAGAATGCCCCCCCTCGAGGCTAAGAATGCCCCCTATCGATGCTAGAATGTCCCCATCGACGCCAGAATGGCCCCTCGAGGCTAGAATGCCCCTCGCAACTATAATGCCCCCTCCGAGGCAAAAATTTCCCCCTCTCGAAGCCATAATGGCCCCCCTGTCTGCCACGTACCTATAGTCTCGTTATGGGGCCCCCTTGGCGCCCAGATGCTCTGTTCCAGAGGGTGGTAGAGCTTGAAGCAGAAGCCGTCCTTCTTGCTAGGACGCTCTATCACCTGGCACGACGTCAGCAGAACAAGCGTACCATTTGTAGGAAGGGTGGCTGATTTCCCCTCCCCTCGTCCCCCCTAAAATGCTACCTTTTAGACTCTTAAGTCTTGCCCCCACGAGGCTAGAATGCCCCCATCGAGTCTAGAACGCTCCCCTCGAGGCTAGAATGCCCCCTATTGAGACTAGAATGCTCCTCTCGTGGCTAAAATGCCCCCGTCGAAGTCAGAATACCCCTGTCGGGGTCAAAATGCCCCCTATTCAGATCCAAAATGCCCCCTAACTATTACGTACCTATAGTCTCGTTATGGGGCCCCCTTGGCGCCAAATGCTCTGCTCCAGAGGATGGTAGAGCTTGAAGCAGAAGCCGTCCTTCTTGCTAGGACGCTCTGTCACCTGGCACGACGTCAGCAGAACAAGCGTACCATTTGTAGGAAGGGTAGCTGATTTTCCCTGCCCTCGTCCCCCCTAAAATGCTACCTTTTAGACTTAAGTCTTGCCCCCACGAGGCTAGAATGCCCCCTTGCGGCTAGAATGCCCCTTCGAGGCTAGAATGCCCCCTCGAGGCTAAGAATTCCCCCTATCGAGGCTAGAATGCCCCCTTCGAGGCTATAACTCTCCCCCTCGAGGCTAAGAATGCCCCTTTCGAGGCTAAGAATGCCCCCTATCGAGGCCAGAATGTCCCCTTCTGAGGCTGGAATGCCCCCATCGAGGCTAGAATGCCCCTTCGAGGCTAGAATGCACCCTCGAATCTAAGAATTCCCCTTTTCGAAGCTAGAATGCTCCCCCTCGAGGCTAAGAATGGCCCTTTGGAATCTAAGAATTCCCCTTTTCGAAGCTAGAATGCTCCCCATCGAGGCTAGAATGCCCCCCCTCGAGGCTAAGAATGCCCCTTTCGAATCTAAGAATTCCCCTTTTCGAAGCTAGAATGCCCCCTATCGAGGCTAGAATGCCCCCCCTCGAGGCTAAGAATGCCCCCTATCGATGCTAGAATGTCCCCATCGACGCCAGAATGGCCCCTCGAGGCTAGAATGCCCCTCGCAACTATAATGCCCCCTTCGAGGCAAAAATTTCCCCCTCTCGAAGCCATAATGGCCCCCCTGTCTGCCACGTACCTATAGTCTCGTTATGGGGCCCCCTTGGCGCCCAAATGCTCTGCTCCAGAGGATGGTAGAGCTTGAAGCAGAAGCCGTCCTTCTTGCTGGGACGCTCTATCACCTGGCACGACGTCAGTAGAATAAGCGTACCATTTGTAAGAAGGGTAGTAGCTGTTTTCTACTGCCCCTGTCCCCCCTAAAATGCTACGCTTCTACCTTTTAGATTTTCAAGTCTTGCCCCCTCGAGGCTAGAATGCCCCCTCCGAGGCTAGAATGCCCCTCGCAGCTATAATGCCCCCTTCGAGGCTAAGAATGCCCCCTATCGAGGCCAGAATGGCCCCTCGAGGCTATAAATCCCCCATCTGAGGCTAGAATGCCCCCATCGAGGTCAGAATGCCCCCCATTCAGATCGAAATGCCCCCTGGCTATCACATACCTATAGTCTCGTTATGGGGTCCCCTTGGCGCCCAGATGCTCTGCTCCAGAGGATGGTAGAGCTTGAAGCAGAAGCCGTCCTTCTTGCTAGGACGCTCTATCACCTGGCACGACGTCGTCAGCAGAACAAACGCACTATTTCTAGGAGACAGTCGAAATCCCATTACCCCCCCCCCCTTCTAAAAATCTGCCCAAAGAAATGTGGCATGCCTCCTACACAAAACTACCCCTTTCCTTGATCAAATTGTCTCCTCAGGGTCACACTTCTCCCCCCTCCTCCCCCCTCGGAGTCAAACTGTCAACTTTCCTGGATTATACTGCCCCCTTCCTAGACCAGACTGCCCGCCCTCGGTGTCAGACTTGCCCCCTCGAGGCTAGAATGCCCCTATCGAGGCTAGAATGTCCCCATTGACGCCAGAATGGCCCCTCGAGGCTAGAATGCCCCCTAGAGGCTATGATGCCTGTCTATCACATACCTATAGTCTCGTTATGGGGCCCCCTTGGCGCCCAGATGCTCTGCTCCAGAGGGTGGTAGAGCTTGAAGCAGAAGCCGTCCTTCTTGCTGGGACGCTCTATCACCTGGCACGACGTCAGCAGAACAAGCGTACCATTTGTAGGAAGGGTAGCTGATTCCCCCTGCCCTACCTTTTAGACTCTTAAGTCATGCCCCCACGAGGCTAGAATGTCCCTTCGAGGCTAGAATGCACCGTCGAATCTAAGAATTCCCCTTTTCGAAGCTAGAATGCCCCCTATCGAGGCCAGAATGACCCCTCGAGGCTATAAAGCCCCCATCTGAGGCTAGAATGCCCCCATCAAGGTCAGAATGACCCCCAGTCTATCGCGTACCTATAGTCTCGTTATGGGGCCCCCTTGGCGCCCAGATGCTCTGCTCCAGAGGATGGTAGAGCTTGAAGCAGAAGCCGTCCTTCTTGCTGGGACGCTCTATCACCTGGCACGACGTCAGCAGAATAAGCGTACCATTGGTAGGAAGGGTAGCTGATTTCCCCTGCCCTCGTCCCCCCTAAAATGCTACCTTTTAGACTCTTAAGTCTTGACCCCACGAGGCTAGAATGCCCCCTCGCGGCTAGAAAGCCCCTTCGAGGCTAGAATGCATCCTCGAATCTAAGAATTCCCCTTTTCGAAGCTAGAATGCCCCCCCCTCGAGGCTAAGAATGCCCCCTATCGAGGTCAGAATGTCCCCATCGAGGCTAGAATGCCCCTTTCGAGGCTAGAATGCCCCCCCTCGAGGCTAGAATGCCCCTATCGAAGCTAGAATGCCCCCTTCGAGGCTAGAATGCACCCTCGAATCTAAGAATTCCCCTTTTCGAAGCAAGAATGCCCCCCTCGAGGCTAAGAATGCCCCCTATCGAGGCCAGAATGGCCCCTCGAGGCTATAAAGCCCCCATCTGAGGCTAGAATGCTTCCCATCGAGGTCAGAACGCCCCCGTCGGGTCCAAAATGCCCCCTATCTCGTACCTATAGTCTCGTTATGGGGCCCCCTTGGCGCCCAGATGCTCTGCTCCAGAGGGTGGTAGAGCTTGAAGCAGAAGCCGTCCTTCTTGCTGGGACGCTCGATGACCTGGCACGACGTCAGCAGAACCGTGCCCACCCAGTGACTGCTCTGTGAAAGGAAAAGTGACTTTATGAGAATGGAATAGAGTTCAAAACAGGGATGTTATGGATATCCGTAACCGTAACCGAAACTTTCGGATATCCGAAATAATAAAATATCCATAACGGTAACCGTAACCGATTCAAGAGTTTCGGATAGTTTCGGATGGAGGCAGTTTAAAATTGTGTTTTTTTTTTGTTTAGCATTATAAAGGCATAATAGCCTGATTGACCTTTATAAGCCATCTAGTATCAAATTTTTTTTTATTACTTTTTATTCGATGTAAAGTGTGTGGCGATAAATGAACCGTTTTGGACAACTATTGCAATTTGTATTCTAAAGCACAGATATCCGTAACCGTAACCGAAACCGGTATAATATTATTCCTATATCCGTAACCGAAACTACATATCCATAACATCCCTAGTTCAAAATAATAATTTGTATAACTCTCGACGAGCCAGTGATAAAATAGTTATGTGGTAACAACCATTACTGCTCATTAGACAGACAGTAGTTTTCATCATCATCAAGTCATTTTCAGACCAATTTAGAGACAAATGGAGGTCTAATGCCCCTTTTCACCATGAATCCCTTACTTTTAAGTAACCCCTATGGTGACACTTAACAGACATTTTTTTTTTCATAGGGGCCACTTTAAATTTAGGGATTGATGGTGAAAACGGGCATAAGCCTCAGCCCACGGATCTACCGGGGCAAAAATTTTATTGAGGCGCCAACCTGCCAGAGTTTGAGATACTTAAAAAAGGTCGACGCCTTCATAAGTTTGATGTGCCAGTCTGTTGTTTCATATTATTATTATCTTTCATCATTTCAGTCACAGGACGTCCACTGCTGAACATAGGCCTCCCCCAATGACTTCCACATCACACGGTTGGTAGCGGCCTGCATCCAGCGCCTTCCTGCTACCTTTATCAGGTCGTCGGTCCACCTTAATTAATTTATCTTTAATGTGTTCAAAAAACCTTACAGTCAGTGTCAAATAGTTTGTGACACCCAAAGCACCCAAAAGTTCGCAACACGTCTATGTTACAATGGAATAAGGTTGTCAACTTATTGGTCACTAGGTGTCACGAATTTATTTAATGCTGACTATACTTACATCTAAAACCAGTTCAGATCACTAACCTTTGCTTTAGGGCTCTTGTAAAGCAGCAGCAGACCGGGTTTGAGGACGCACCATAGCTTCGTCCACGACTTGAGCGAGCCTCGGACCTGCAAACAATGTTATCTTGGTTAATCCTACTAATATTATAAATGCGAAAGTTTGGATTACTCTTTTACGCAAAAAGTACTGAACGGATTTTGTTGAAACTTTACAGTATTATTGTTTGTAGCCCAGATTAACATATAGGCCATAATTTATGCCGATCTGTGACACTAAATATCACGCGGGTGAAGCCGCGGGCAAAAGGTAGTAATAAATAAACAATAAATAGAATAATACCTTAAACTGCAAAAAAAATGTGAATCATGTAAGGCAATAAGATCATTATGTGGCCTTAATAAATAAATAAATAAATTATTTTTCCTCGTTCATCATCCTCTCTCCTAAAGTACTTTATTTTTTTCTATAGTAACCTCTCTCTCGTCTAAAGGGATCTCTTTCCATTAACCCTGTCCCCTCTCTCTTATAGTTTTCTCTTTCCTACTTTCTCCGCCTAAAAAGTTCTGTCTATCTCTTAAAGATAGAGCTCTCTTTCTCTCCTTAATCATATCTCTCTCCTAAAGGGCTCTCTCTTTCCTGTTAATGCTCTTTCTCTTTCTCTCCTCACTCTTCTATAGTGCATTCTCTCTCCTAGTTTAATATTTACATACCTTGAGCCAATCAGCTAGTACCTACGACAACCGACGGGTCCTCTATAGAAAATGTAGTAGTGTCGACGCAACTTTTTTCTTCTAAAGTGTTTTCTCTCTCACTCTTAAAGTGTTCTATCCCCCTCTCTCTCTCTCTCTCTCTCTCTCTCTCTCTCCTAGTTTGATATGTACATACCTTGAGCCAGTCAGCTAGCACGACGACCGACGGGTCCTCTATCGAATGTAGTAGCGCCGACGCGGCTCGCTTCTTCTCTCTCCTATAGTGCTGCCGCTGCGCCTTGTAGCTCTCTTTGCGGGATAGTGCCGTGCTAGCAGTGCGCGATATACCATCCTCTCTCTCCTATAGTGCTCTCTCTTTCCTATAGTCCCCTCTCTCTGTCTCATAGTGCTCTCTCTCTCTCTCTCTCTCTCCTATAGTGCTCTCTCCCTCTCTCTCATAGTGCTCTCTCTCTCTCTCATAGTGCTCTCTCTCTCTCTCTCTCTCTCATAGTGCTCTCTCTCTCTCTCTCTCTCTCCTATAGTGCTCTCTCCCTCTCTCTCATAGTGCTCTCTCTCTCTCATAGTGCTCTCTCTCTCTCTCTCTCTCATAGTGCTCTCTCTCTCTCTCTCTCTCATAGTGCTCTCTCTCTCTCATAGTGCTCTCTCTCTCTCTCATAGTGCTCTCTCTCTCTCTCTCTCTCTCATAGTGCTCTCTCTCTCTCTCTCTCTCTCAGTGCTCTCTCTCTCTCTCATAGTGCTCTCTCTCTCTCTCTCTCTCTCTCATAGTGCTCTCTCTCTCTCATATAGTCCCCTCTCTCTCTCTCATAGTGCTCTCTCTCTCTCCTAGTTTGATATGTACATACCTTGAGCCAGTCAGCGAGCACGACGACCGACGGGTCCTCTATCGAATGTAGTAGCGCCGACGCGGCTCGCTTCTTCTCTCTCCTATAGTGCTGCCGCTGCGCCTTGTAGCTCTCTTTGCGGGATAGTGCCGTGCTAGCAGTGCGCGATATACCATCCTCTCTCTCCTATAGTGCTCTCTCTTTCCTATAGTCCCCTCTCTCTCTCTCATAGTGCTCTCTCTCTCTCCTAGTTTGATATGTACATACCTTGAGCCAGTCAGCGAGCACGACGACCGACGGGTCCTCTATCGAATGTAGTAGCGCCGACGCGGCTCGCTTCTTCTCTCTCCTATAGTGCTGCCGCTGCGCCTTGTAGCTCTCTTTGCGGGATAGTGCCGTGCTAGTTGTACGTGATATACCGCCCACCGCTGTTTCTGATGACTGTAAAAATAAAAATACTTGTTTTATTTATTTACTAGCTTTCCGCCCGCGGCTTCGCCCGCGTGGAATTTTGTCTGTCACAGAAAAACTTTATCGCGCGCGTCCCTGTTTCAAAAACCGGGATAAAAACTATCCTATGTTCTTTCCCGGGACTCAAACTATCTCTATGCCAAATTTCATCAAAATCGGTTGCGAGGTTTAAGCGGGAAAGCGTAAAAGACAGACAGACAGACAGAGTTACTTTCGCATTTATAATATTAGTTGGGATTTAAGACACCCAACAAGACAGACTATCCTACTAATATTATAAATGCGAAAGTTTGGATGTCTGGATGTTTGTTACTCTTTTACGCAAAAACTACTGAACGGATTTTGATGTAACTTCACAGTATTATTGTTTATAACCCAGAATAACATATAGGCTATAATTTACATGACGATCTGTGACAAACGAAATTTCACGCGGATGAAGCCGCGGGCAAAAGCTAGTTCAAGCATAAACACATTAACACTCCTTTGCGTTGCGTAGTCGGGTAAAAAGGGGTTTACATGCAATCATCAATTTAATGTCATCCCCAAACTTGTCAATTGTAAATAATTTTTAGTTTTTGACGTCGGATCCCTACAAACGGGGTGTCTATGGATAGGGCTCGTTGAGGCGAATCCGAAAAGCCGATAAACGTCGAGGGTGGTCCTAGTAATTTTTGAAAATAACGCCCAAAAACCGTCTCAGATCTTAGAAGAAACTCTAAAGACCGCCAAAAAAGCAATACACATTATAGTTTATTTATTTATATTAGGGAAACAAACAATTTTTTTTATACAGACAAATAATCACACAAAAAATAGGACAGAAATCAGCAAAATTTCCACAGTTAAAATTGATACAGAGTGCAGACTAAAAATATACAGGGTGTTAGGTAAATGGGTATATGAGCCGACACTAGCCCATGTTAACATGGTCATATAAATGGTATGTTGAAGTCAGAAAATTGATATCTTCATTTTAATTATTTTATTTTTCATACAAATCGGATTTTATAAAATAAATTTTGTATGAAAATTAAAAAAAAAAGATATTCAATATTAAATCTTCTTTAGAAAAAAACTTCATTTTATAGTGGAGACAATCTAGCCGACACAAGTTCATATTATTTAATTCTGAATGCGTTTTGCTCTTTATCAATTGATTGGGGGAAGTCAACTAAAAAATTAAACCCGAATATTCGTGATTCTCAATTTCACACGTCAACACTAGAAATAAAAATCAATCAATTCGGCCTTCATCACTACATAACATTGCATAAACTTGGCAATTACGTGAATTTTATTAAAATAAAACAAGTATTAATACATATTAACATTTCATTTACTATAATTTACAACGATTTATTAATACGTTCTGTTTTTATAATTGCAATTTATTTTTTGACGAATTATTGAAAGGTAAATCAACTTAAATTAAAATTGATATGCGACTGTTAACGCTAAATTTTTTTACTATCATCATAATCATCATTTCAGTCACAGGACGTCCACTGCTGAACATAAGGTTCCCCAAATGATTTCCATATCGCCCGGTTAGTAGCGGCCTGCATCCAGCGCCTTCCTGCTACCTTTATAAGGTCGGTACACCTTGTGGGTGGACGTCCCACGCTGCGTTTTCGGGTCCGTGGCCTCCACTCCAGAACCTTGCTACCCATCGGCTGTCAGTTCTGCGTACTATGTGCCCTGCCCATTGCCACTTCAGCTTGCTATGTCAGCGACTTTAGTTCGTTTACAGATCTCCTCATTTCTGATTCGATCTCGTAAAAAAACACCGAACCCTTCCCTAGCACGCTGTGCTTTGAGCTTCTTTACGAAACCTATAGTGAGGGGCCACGTTTCGGAGCCATGTCTTCACTGGTAACACACACTGATTATAGACTTTCGTCTTAAGGCATTGGGATATTTGGACGAAAAGAACAAAGCTGAGTAACTCACAACAGTAGAAGTCCTGTGTAGATTCGGCAAAGACAATGACACCAGCGTCCTAAACCCGCTGTACCGTTTCTCAGCGCTGGCTCTCATTCTCATCACTCAAACTGACTAGGGATGTAACATCTCTACTTAATATAATAAAGCTGATGAGTGCTTCTGACAACGCCACTCTTGTGGCGGAGTTTTGGGCTGACACTGTGTAGGTTTGTTGTCGACACGAAAAGAAGAATAAAGCTGAAGAGTTTGTTTGTTTGTTTGTTTACTTGAACGAGCTAATCTCCGGAACTACTGGTCCGATTTGAAAAAATCTTTCAGTGTTAGATAGCAAATTTATCGAGGAAGGCTATAGGCTACAACATCACGCTACGATCAAAAGGAGCAGAGCAACAATGAAAAATGGTACGAAAACGGGTTTTCACGCGTACGAAGTCGCGGGCACAGCTAGTAATTAATATTCCTTCGGAATAGAGCAACAACCACGAGCTGTCGAACGAAACCGATTTTGGATGACACTGGATATCATTTGTGTGTCAGTGTCAGGATTATTTCACTGTTTTGTACACTAAATCAATCACTGAACCAGTCACCACGTTTCTGAAGCAGTTTTTCATAAACATCCACGATTTCACTGAAAATATCTGAGTTCAAATTTTCAGTGGGCCTCTGAACTGTCAAATAGTTGCAAAAAACGGTTCTGTTTGACGTGACGGCGACGGCATATCGCATCTCTTTTTATCACAGTGTTGCTGCTAAGGACATCTCGCTCGCTCAGTTCTTTGTTGCTCTATTCTGGGTATATTAACTTTATGATAGGCATATTAACTTTATGGGATGCAACGAATATTTGAATTTTAAACATGCGAATGCGAATATTGACTACAATGACCGCTACGAAGTTATTTGGCAGGTTTGACATTTCGTGGTGAGCATGTTTAAACCAGAATATTATTCGAGCATGTATAGGTTTATTCAATTCAACATCAATACAGTGAGTATTCAAAAAAATAAATAAGTATGTCCTTATAAAATTACTCAAATACATTCGCCAAATATTTCCATCGTTTGCTAATGCGAACGTCCAAAAACGTGCGAGTATTCACGGTTGTGAATTCTCGTTACATACAGAACAAAGCTCACACTACACTCGTCAGTATTCGTGGTTGTGAATTCTAGTTACACACAGAACAAAGCTCACTACACTCAAACTTTCACATGTATATTCACTACACTGTATCTTTATGAATAAGCAACAAGATATGTGTACAATAACATATAGGTTATCTCACAAACGATATAGCCAAGGAATATTGGCAATTATCTGAGTGCTATCGATATAAAATGAACCAATCTTTGATAATATTGATTGACTGATAAGTATTTACTAATATTATAAAGCTGAAGAGTTTGTTTGTTTAGTTGAACGCGCTAATCTCAGGAACTACTAGTCCGATTTAGAAAAATATTTTTGTGTCTGTTGCACAGCCTATTCTTTAGGTTACTTCACATCACTCATGCATCAATAGTGAAGAAAAAAAAATTTTTTTTTCCGATTTTTAATTTTGGCTCTCGACATTTTGAAAACGAAAAATGATATCAAACAGTTGAGAAAAGTTCCTCTGGGACAATTTAGTCAGCTACAATTTGAGCCTTAAACCGATTTGGACATATGGCATACAACTCTGGGGGTCAGCTAGTCACTCAAATGTTGAAATCCTGCAGCGCTACCAGAACAAAGTGTTAAAGATCCTGATCAGTGCCCCATGGTTCACACGAAACACGGAAGTGCACGAGTACCTAGAAATCCCTACAGTCAAGGAGGAAATAGAAAGTTCTTCTGTATCCTACAAGCAACGCCTTGAACGACATATCAACCATCTGGCTACACAGCTCGTGAATACAAACAACTGCCTGTTTCGGTTGAAAAGAATGCGATTGGCTTCCATATAAAACTTCTCAGGAAGAAAAAGAGCAGGGATGACACATCACAGGACGTGCACTCCCCAAAAGTCGAATTATCAATCAACATCAANGGCAGATAAAATTAAAAAAAAAAAAAAAAAAATTTGAGCCTAAATAAAATCGATCGGGTTAAGGGTTTGCCCTGTAGTCTAATCTTTTAGAAAAAGTCAGAACGACATTTTGAATTCTGTAACCTATTTTTCCTTATCCCGACTTTTTGTATTTTTTTTTTTTAAATGTGCTCGATAGTCGCGTGAGGCACGAAATCTGTGATTTTTTAGCATTATAATAACGTACCTTAGTTATTAAAATTTCTAGCGCCCACGGCGACTTTTACGATACGCGCTACAGCATCGCTACTAACGCGAGTATAGTCGCATTTGCAACGCACTACAGAAGTGACGCCAACGCGCTACTAACGCGCTACAGCAGCGCGACTGCATCGCTACGCTACAAAAAGTCGCCGTGGGCGAGGGCCCTAAGATGGAAATCGAACCCACGACCTTTGCTTGCCGGGCGACTGCTCTTCCATCTGAGCTACTTGGACACTGGATGAACCCGTCGTAATATTCAAGTTCGTTCGTTCGTTCGTTCGTTCGTTCGTTTCAGCCGAAAGACGTCCACTGCTGGACAAAGGCCTCCCCCAAGGTTTTCCACAATGAACGGTCCTGCGCTGCCCGCATCCAGGCTCTTCCCGCGACCTTCACCAGATCGTCGGTCCACCTAGTGGGAGGCCTGCCCACGCTACGTCTTCCAGCTCGTGGTCGCCACTCAAGAACTTTCCTGCCCCAGCGGCCATCAGCTCTTCGAGCTATGTGCCCCGCCCACTGCCACTTGATTTTAGCGATTCTGCGGGCTATGTCAGTCACTCTGGTTCTCCTACGGTTCATTCAAGTTCAATACGCTATTATGGCCAGCTTTTGTTTCAACAATGTTGTACTACCATTAACGTACCTTGTCCGAAGATGTGCCGTCAGGGGGGTGGTTGCGACCGTCGCCCGAAGCGGGGGTGGCAACGGCTGTGCCAGGCGAGCGGGGGGGCGGGGTTAGAGTTGGCTCTCCTGGAAATGATCAACATAATCATCAGGTCAAGGTAAATACACGTTCGTTTGTCCACCACTCCCCACGCTGGGGAGGCTTTGTGTTCTCATATTTGTCCGTTTATAATATTTTTTTAATAATTCTAACCGTGCACTGTGATTCGTGTAGAACAAGCTAGCTGGACAAAAGTCATTGTTGAATTTCTGATTACCGTTTATAAAAAACGATAAACAACATCCCAGACATTAAGGATTCCACAATTTTTTACTTTGTTAATTACCTAGTCGTGAGTAATTAACATGGTAAGTGAGGATATGAGGATAGTTTAATTTTTAATACCTAATTTTGCTCGACTTTCGATAACACCTGACATTATTTTTTACTATGGTGACCAAATATTTGTGTGATGGATTTTGAAGATAAGGGTAAGTACTTTTTATTTTCTGTACAATAAGGTGCATAATAATGCACATAGTTTTAAAAAGTATGGCGAAATGTTGACCTTTATATTTTTCTCAAAATTGTATGTTTGGAAGACTAGAAGTTGTATGCCCCCACTTGACCCCAGTCTGGAATTTATATATATTGTAGCTGTAACCCTCTAGTATTCAAATATACCAGTTTCAGTTTGCACACTTTTGCACAACAATTTTATTTTTTCAGATTAATAAAAAATCAAGTTTTTTGATTAATGATTAAAACATTGAAAAAGTGACCAGAATAGCATGATTTTTAATTTATATTCTCAAAATGTGATGTATTGGGATCACGAAAATTCGCTGAGAGAGTTGAAGAATAGCATCAGTCGCATTTCAATTTCATTTCAATGGACGAAATACGGCAAAACAGGGAACGCTTCATGAAAAACAAAACTGAGTGGATTCCCGGAGCCATAGTGTTACATGTTTCTGTTCATAAAGTTCAGTCTTCCACGTCGAAAGATTCTACACCTGGACGACCACTCAAGGAGTTCGACGAGTCCAGCAAAAAGACGAAAAGAAGAAGACTTTTAGACCTCATTTCCTCAAGAAGTACTTGAGAACTGATATTGGCTGCTGAAGCTGCAGCGCAACTGTCTGCTGGCCACAGCAACTTGGCAAGTCATTAATGTTGTCTCAGTCTACCCACTAAATTAAAAAACTGAGATTCTTTGTTCCATATAAATCGCAAAAATGTTTATATCGAAAAATTGATTTTCATTAAATTCTCCATAAAAAACGGGAATTTCATACTTTAACACCTAATACATCATAAGACCAATTATTATTATACTGTAAAGTTAGTTTCTTCTTTCCTTTTTAGTCTGCTTCTCTTGATTTTAGGAAATAAATATTTTATTACCAAAAAAAATTTTTTTTTCAAACCTACCTATAATAATTATAATAACAAGCCTAATTAATCTTAAATTGCACAAAAAAGTAAGTAATGCGTGTATTAAACCCATTTAAGTAAAAAAATAATATTGTCCAGCTAGCTTGTTCTACTCGAATCACTGTGCCGTGGTATATCAGCTCATCTATCAGGACTTGTCATTGCCCACAGTCAGAGAGGAAATAAAGAGCCACACACTCCGCTACAAGGATAAACTTTCAAATCATCCAAACTCATCAGTACAACAACTCATGACCATTGGAAGGCTTCCTATTCAGCAGACTGCAAAGAGCTTGTCAGGGCTATCCTTAGTAGATTCCAGGACAGTTGAGAAACCATGACCACTGAGGGCAACTGAGTCACTGGACTCCACTCTGCTCATGACAAAGAACAGTGCAAACGGACACAGGAGTGGATTATTGTAGATCCCTACAGATTGCCGCTGGGACCACGGATATAAGAGAAAAAATAAATTCTTACAACATCCACGGGAAGCGTGGAGGAGTGGACTAATTTATAATCATGCGAATTGTATGCGAATACCAGTAAATAGTGTAAATATAACCTCTCTCTCTGTTTTCCATCTCTCTCTCTCTCTCTCTCTCTCTCTTTTCTCTCTCCCTCTGTCTGTCTTTTAGCTGCTCTTTTCGCAATCAAGCAACTATAAAACCTATGCATATTGGCCATTTACTTCCAGTTATAGTTGTAGTAAACATATAAATAAATAACTTACCGTAGGTCGGTGGTGTGGCCGGCGCAGTGGAAGGGAGTACCACGTTCAGGGGCTGGTGCTGCTTCTGAAATCATCATCATCATCATCAATACTCATTTTATTTTACGTCAAGATATGACTTCTAGAGCTTCCACTTTTAGGCGATTTAGCAGCGCGACAAACGCGCGACAGGCTGCCGAAAATTTCATACTATGTGACAGCGGATGCCTCCCTTCACATAATAAAAAGGCCGCTGCCGAGTGCTGTCGCGCTTCTAAGCTTCTAACGCCCTGATGTGAAAGCGCTCTAACAATAATCATTCGTTAAATAACGTCCACTGCTGGACAAAGACCACTCCCAGGGATATCCATAACAACCGATCTTGCGCTGCCCTCATCAAGGCTCTTCCCGCGACCTTCACCAGATCGTCGGTCCACCTAGTGGGAGGCCTGCCCACGCTACGTCTTCCGGCCCGTGGTCGCCACTCGAGAACTTTTCTGCCCCAACGGTTATCTGCTCTACGAGCTATGTGCCCCGTAACAATAAGTATTTGAAAACATTAAAAACAATTTTGGGTTGGGATCAATATACGAGTACATAATGCAAATAAATATTGTTTTCTGAGGTTGTTGGTGCAGCAAGTTAGATTTAGTACGTGCAAAAGTACCCTGAAAAGGATCTAAGTATCAACAAAGTATAGATCGTTCCATCCACGAAGACGCGCCCCACCACTTTTTGGTCTCGGTCGCGCGGGGTGCGGGGAGTTTGATCCGAGCAATCCGAGCGTCATTATTGTAGTGTGCGTGTGCACTAAAGGATAATTTAGCGTGTACCGATAACACAACATTAGCGGAAGAATGGTGGGGCGCGTCTTCGTGGATAGAATGATCTATAATTCAATTTGATAAAGGTGAAATTATGCTTAGATTACAAAAAGAACATACCTTCCCAATATAATTAGGCGTGGACGTGTGAAAATGCACGTCCGCTCTCAGCGCTGGCGACGACGGAGTGGTGGATGGCGAGGACAGCTCCAGAACTGGGGAGGAACTCATTGTGAGGGTAGTCAAAGCATCGCGCGGGTTCGGCGCGGGGGTGGGGGGATCGTCATTTGCGTCCTGGCTGCCGTGCGGAGCGGACGTGTTTTTATTTTCAGAATCAATTTTGAGGCGTTAAAAAAATTCGCTATAAAAATATTCAAAAATGGAATGACGTTAGGATGGAAGCTTGGAATGATGGAAGTACGAGGATAATGGAAGGATAGGGATTGGTTTTCCCTGTAACAAAAAAATATATTATCAGTGAAATATTAAAATAAGTGATACTTATGTAATTTATTACTCATATGTAATACAAAATACATGACGCAATTCCACAAACTAACCATGGAGAGCGACTCCGCTTGTTTTATAGGGTGGATGTTTGGAAGAATATTTTTAACTGAATTAATTTTTGGTCGAGGGAACCGCGGGGAGTTTGAACCGAGCAATCCGAGCGTCATTATTGTAGTATGCGTGTGCACTCATGGATGATTTAGCATGTACCGATAACACTCGAGCATTAGCAGAAGAATGGTGGGACGCGTCTTTGTGAATGAAACGATCTTACATTACTAAAAATCAGATATCTGTCTGAAACCTTATCATAAACGGAAGACACTGGCCCTAAATTGATACGGTTAGGACTAAACGGTAATTTTCATAATTGTTGAAGATTAGATAATTATTTATAATTTCATTGATCCGTAGTTCTGTGAATTCATCGTCGAAAAATTTGGAATTTTATTAGTTTTATCATTTCATGGAAATATGTAGATAGGTAATAAAACAGAATAATCTAGCCAGGGATATCATCAAGTGAGTCATAAATCAGTAGAAGGCATGGCGATATAAAATAGATTATTTGAATTTTCTTTGAGCAAATTCAAATAATCTATTTTTCAAGATATGTACAAGATTTTTACTTAAACTTAAAAGTATACCTACCTAAGGTAAGGTATAAGTACTATAACTATGTATGTCAAATGTCAATTTATTTATTTAAAACAATTCGTGCGCATATTTACATGCTAAAAAAAGTATAAAAAGTTTGTCTTAATTGAGATATTTGTATTGAATGTCGATATAATTTTTCCATTTGAATCGATTTGTTTGGGTACCCCATCCTTATTTTCAGAGAACTAAGAAGTTGTCTTTGCTTGTTTCTTATCAGCACGCTGATAAAATATTATTTCTGGCTAATCAGATAAGCTGCTAGATAGCTTGAATAATCCCCGTGAACAAACAGTGGGCGACTGGACTGGTGGTCCGCATGTTTTACAGGCCTAGCGTTAAACTCGGTCAGTGCCTAAGTTAGAGCAGCACGGTAGGGTGTTTTTGTATCGTCAAACGACAGCGAGACTTTCGAAGCGGATCTCTTTCAGATTGTCATATCATGTCAATGTCACCCCTCCCGTGCCGCTCCCATATCTCTGAACCGCCTCTGTGGTCTAGTGGTAAGACCAACTGCTTCAGACGAAGAGGTCCCGAGTTCGATTCCCAGTGGGGGCAGATTTTTCTGTTCGGTTTGGTTGGTGGTAGGACTTGTTCTAAGTCCGCCTGGCTAGCTACCACCATCTTACCTAACTCTGTCGTCATAACAACAATGTTAACAGCATTGTTGTGTTCCGGCATTTAGAGGTAAGATATCCAGTTCCTCCGTGTTTGAGGATTCCGGGTGAAGCTCGCTTCCACCTTCGGCCTGATCATCACTTACCATCAGGTGAGATACAGGCCAAGAGCTTCCTCGTTGTGGATAAAAAAAAAGACTGACTGAGTTGCCAGTTGTGCCACACAAACTACTTATTTGACGCTAGAAGCTCCATAAAAACTTGAACACATAATTAAAATTTTAATAGGCGTCGGAAGCTGATAAAACTAACATTGATATGAACGTGTTATCAATATTAATGAACTTTTGATAATAAGTCAACAAAGTGAATCAATGGACGTTTGAAAAGGAAATATACTATTCCGCGTGGTTTGTTACGGGACTATTCCCACCTCTCGTTACCACCGCTGCGACTCCTGTGTAGCCAGGATCTACAGCTTGACCGCCAATAAGCCAACCAGTGAAGGCCAAGTTGGTCCCGGGGGATAGTTGATTTGTAAGTTAGGCCCAGATCCCAGAACAGACGGTGAAACGCAACTGCAACGAAACTGCAACTTTCTGATGATTCTGATGAATGAAACTGAAACTGAAAGTTTCAAACTGGTCGCGTCATGTGCGGTCTCTCAACGGACGCTATGGCAGAAACTTAGATGCAACTCAAAAGTAACTAGCAGTTGCAGTTTCGTTGCAGTTGCGTTTCACCGTCTGTTCTGGGCCTTACTGTTATATGGAAAGCACATTAAACTGAGCGCTAATATGACATCTTAGGGCCCTTTCCCATTGTAATCCAGTTCTTTGGAGCTATGGTTTTTTGCGGTACAGTAAAAATGTACCGTTTGTTTCAGCCAAATGACGTCCACTGCTGGACAAAGGCCTCCCCCAAGGATTTCCATAACGAACGGTCCTGCGCTACCCGCATCCAGGCACCTCCCGCGACCTTTACCAGATCGTCGGTCCACCAAAAAATATGCTATCTACAAATACAAAGTCCGTAAGAGAAGATCCTAAATTCGGACAAAACCAGACGGTTAATAAATCTATACTAATATTATAAAGCTGAAGAGTTTGTTTGTTTACTTGAACGCGCTAATCTCAGGAACTACTGGTCCGATTTGAAAAATTCTTTCAGTGTTAGATAGCCCATTTATCGAGGAAGGCTATAGGCTATATACCATCACGCTACGAGTAATAGGTGCAAAGCAAAAATGATTTTCACTCGTACGAAGTCGCGGGCACTGCTAGTAGCTCTAGATAACCTATTAAACTTTGGTTAGCCAAAACTCATACAAAAGTGTGTAACACAGATAATTTTTCATTAAAACCGCTAATAATGTTACTCATCAAAGGTCAAGGAGGATCAGAGCGATATAAACAAGCGGCTAAATTGTGTAATTTTGTTGCATACTCAATGCTTAATTAGTGGTTTAGGTAGAGTCAGCGTCAAATATACTCAACATCAAATAAATCGCACCTCCCGCGACGCGAACTTTAAAGATTTTCTTCTGACACACAGCGCCGCATGGGTTGACACCCGGGGCGATCACCCCCCGATCAGACATTAGCGGAAGACTGGTGGGGCGCGTCTTCGTGAATGAAACGATCTTACGAACGAATCGGGGGAGTCAAGAAGTGTGGCGCGTTGGAGTGCAATCTGCCCTAGGCAGCCGCAATTCCGCTCACACCTCCCGCGATTCGGCCAGTATAACCGCAAGGTTGGTATGGCCATGGGTGGTAGTGGGTTCGTCGTCCAAGGAATAGTCGAAGGAACCCGATCGCGTGGCAGGTCACCAATGCGCTGGACCGACCAAGTGAAATCAGCAGTGGGAGACGGCGTATGTGACTGCACCAGACAGTCTGCCAATAGAGAGAGATGGCGGGAGATCGTGCGGAGAGTTGTATCCGCCTCTACAACCGATGTGAATCGCCTCAACGTGACCACGACCGCTCTGCCAGGAGCGTAACGAATGAGAAGAACAATTTTTTAAATCGGTCTAGTAGTTTCCGAGCCTATACAAACAAACAATAAAATCTTTCCTCTTTATAATATTATTTATTAGTGTGGATGCACATAAGTTAAAATTTTAAACACTTTACACAACTGTCCGAAGAAGTTGTGCTAAATAGAGTCACTAAAGACAAACATCGACGTAATGTTTACGCACACATGAATATAAAAAGCTGGATTTTCTTTGAAGTAGCTAATATTTTATAGTGTTTGCCTTCACATGTTGTTTATAGTACGAAGTTGATGGAGTTTTCATATATAAATAACTCAATAACTATGCATAGCAGATTCTAGGACCATAAAAATCAATACTTGAAAAAATATTAAGAGCCTGTGATTTGTCTACAAATACATGATAATGTATGTTACAATAGTAGGCCAGTCAATATTGACACAATTAAAAGCAAACACGCATGTACCTTTGTCCAAAAATACATAGTTTGTGAGAATTAGATCAAAAAGTAAAACATACCAAAATTTTCCAGTTTTTTGATCACAGTGAGAGTAACACAGGGTTTTTAGGGTTACAAACTAGATTATAAACTTCTCTCAAGGGACTTGTACATTCATCATCATCATCATCATCATCTCAGCCATAGGACGTCCACTGCTGAACAGAAGCCTCCCCCAATGCTTTCCATGTTGCCCAAAGTATCGGCAATAATCCCCTTAATGAAAACATTAAATGTACCTAAATATTAATGTTACAACATTCCATTTTTCTTGTTAGATATTTTAACTATTTGAATACTATCAATGGCCTGTTCAATAACATCGTAAAATTGTAAAAAAGGGACAGATAAGAATGTTATGATTGTCACTTGTTTCAAGATAAGTATGTCTAAAAAAAGTTTATCGTGACAGTGTTAACACCGCCTATGGTGTCAAAACGGCACATAGTGTTATTATAGATTTGATTACTTGTCTCTCTCACTCGTTTAATCACTGACTGACTGACTGACATAGTGATCTATCAACGCACAGCCCAAACCACTGGACAGATCGGGCTGAAATATGGCATGCAGGTAGATGTTATGACGTAGGCATCCGCTAAGAATGGATTTTACGAAACCTAAGGGGTAAAAAGGGATCCACGCGTACGAAGTCGCGGGCGGCCGCTAGTAATAGTATATTGACCATGAGATGAATATTAGAGCAAATATTATATGAAGAGTAGTAGCTGCTTGCTTTCTGGAGGATCTGGAGTGGTTGGAGTAGGAAGATAAACCACAAATGGCTCACAATGGCCCAATGAGGCTAAGTGTGGTACTTGATTGCCCTGCGAAACTAACTAAATTTTATGAAGAATAATACAGCTAAACGCTGACATTTTAAGTATTAGATTAGGTGTGATTTTTAAGCTAAAACTCATCAATATATTTTCATCTGGAACCTGTTTTAGTTTAAAAAAAGAAACAAAAATTTTATGTATTGTTATCGATCAATTTTCCTTGTATTTTATACCCAAAACCATGTTATTTGTTGATGAGATAAAATTTTCCTCAATATACAACTGTAAAAATAGATTTTAGGGTATGATTTACCTATAGGTTTTGAATGTACACACATGTTTTAAAAATGTGGGTGCTATTACATAAATTGTATTGCTCAACATTGTCTATATTTTGTTAAAAAAAAGAACTACATAAACAACCTACTATATTTATAATAATGCAAAACATTGCTTATCTAACAATATGACATAATTTTAAAAAGTTAACATGTAAAGATAAACTCTTACCCCCCTACTAATAAAACTTACACGCTCGTTGAACAGTGTTATAAAGTGAGGTTTAGTATGGAAATGTCATTTTAAAACCGCGTTCAACAACTGTGTAACTTTTTATTAGTAAGGGGGTTATTGTATTAATAAATGATTTGCACAGGCATTGAAATCTAAAAAAAAATATCAAAAAATGACTATTTCTACTTGTATAATGAAATATTTTCAAATATAATGATAAATATTTAAAACTAAAATCCAAATTAGTATGAGATGCGACTATTAATGCTAAAAATTAAATAAATATAAAATCTAGTATTTTTAGAGAACCCTAAAGGTACCTACCATCAGAGCACAGCGTAAGAATAACAGAAAATTTAAATAGCTCTACAAATTCCCCGTTAGGTCAGTAGTAAAAGTAGTTCCTACAAGTTCTAATAGTGGGTTCGATTCCCACTTAAGACGTTTTTAAATATTTTACTGTTTTTTTAATTGGATTACAATACAAAAACCACATGCTGAAGAAACCAATGGCACTGTTATTTCTACTAATATTAAGCTCTATACAATTTATAAAAAATTTAGTCAAAACTTCATCTTATATGAAAAAAATTAGATATGTGATATGATAGGTAACAAAAAAACACGGCACATCACAAAAATACTTACAACTCATTACAGAATTAATTGCCTTTATTAAGCATGGACATTATAAATAACCAATGAGCATGCATCAAAAACGTATTCAAACTTAAACTACACTAAAATATTCCAATTAGAATCTTACTGAACCAAGAAACACTTGTGACCTACAAAATTTAATTTAATTATGGGACTGTGTACACACAACACTTCAGAACGTGGAACACATGAATTTTATCATACTTACAGTCTGTTACTTCGGCTGAGGAATCGCTCATGTAACTATTCGACGAAATAAACACATCGGAGAATACAATACGCCGGTGCCCAATGGTGTAACATCCTGCACCAACTGGTCAGCATCGATATAAAGATATACAGCCAGCCAAACGAATACCGATCGTCACACGCACTACCGAGGAGGCGTAAACTCTTTAATTAAAGACCTCCTGACCAATTTAAAATTGTTTAACCGCGTTACTGTCCGACCAAAACTAACAAACGTCACACAACACTACGAAAGATTGAAGACCACTCTTTTATTGTCCTAATGTTAGTTCGTATATTAATAGCAATTTCGAATAATTGTTTATCGGAATTTATGCTTGATAGCACAAAATTAATACTTTTTCCGATTTCTGACGTAAAACGTGATGGATGGATGTGTCGCGGAGTCTGCTGTCGAATAGTGCTGTACAGATTAAATCGATCATACATATTCAATTGATTAGCAATTGAACAAATTTTAAATATTATTAGCTTATTTTTAAAGAATTTATGTTTGGTTTTCTTAAAAGATTATTGTAATATACATTATCATCATTATGAAAACATGTCTCAATAAAATTGATTGTTAAAAAGGAAAATGACATTTGTGCACCGCACCGTTATTTATTATTTATTTATTTTGCAATTATACAACATCATATTAAAATACAACAACAGTCCCGGAACAAATACAGATCCACTACACAGGCAATGTTAGCTTTCTTCCACGATTATTCATGAATCTAAAATGTGCAAATAATTTTGAATATCAATCAGCCCCACACAAGTGGGCCCAAACAACAACAAGTGGCACTTTTTGATCGCTCCGAAAAAATCCCTCGCTTCGCGGAGTCTACCTACATAAATACTTACATAATGTAAAAAATTGTAATAAGTTACCTAGAGGGGCAGGAGCAGGAAACAGTTTTCAAATAAATTTATTTCCTTCACTAGCAAAGCAACAAAATCTAATAACATATTTTTATTCTTTTCTTTAAATCGAATAATGATAATAAACGCTGGGATTTCAATTGATATTTCAATAAGCCCAATTGAATGTTTTCTTTTTTCATAACATATTTGCAAAGATACGATACTATAATGGTTCAGCATCTATATAAAATATTTTTATGTTATTAGATTAAATTGTATTCACAATTATTTTATCTTTAATTTAAAGTATTATTTTGAACATCAAATTCAAAGAAAATTAATTTATAAAATTAATTCGTTCGCGTATATTCGCGTTCCATTTTACATTTTTGTAGTCCAATTTGACCACAAAGTACTTTTTATAAATGAGGATCAGTACTGTTGTAGAAAATTCAATAAAACTAGTATCTATGTTAATCTTTAAGACATAAGAAAGATATATCTTTTTGAATTTTCCAAATCGGACCATTACTTACGAAGATATTAAGTAATAAACATAGGCCGTTTTTGCCGCTAAAAGTCAACGTACGCAGGGCCGCGTGACGTCATTATATCCGAATCGAGCGCAGCCGGCGTACTATTGGGATGGAAAAAAATTACCTATCGATAGCTTACTTTATTCTGATGAATAAATGTCATTACAAGTTTTTCTCTAAAACTGATAGTTTGGCTAGAAAAAAATATTTTCTATCCACGCAGTACGCCGGCAGTGTTCGGATCGGATATAATGACGTCATCGTCCCCGCGCCGGGCGGTCAGTGAACTTTTTTAGTAATTTGGCCATAACTTCGTCAATTTTTGTCGTAGAACAAAAATTTTTGGACTGTGTATTAAGCATTTCTTAGCCCTATAAATCTGCATTCACAGCTAAAAATCGAAATGATCCTCATTTGACGTTTGACTTTGACGTATCATTTGTTTACAAGATATCCAGTTCAGTATTTTTGCAATTTCCTGCATAATTTCCAGCGTTTATTTAATCCCAACATGTCGTCTTTTCTCTGTTTTATATGCCACAGTACAGTGAATGATGATACCAATGAAGATGTGCGTGAAAAATACAGAGAAGTCGTTGGAATGAATGTACGTACATTGCTTTCGTTTTACTAAATTAATACTATAAGAACTAAGAAAAGATCAATGTTATAAAATAAAATACGCTATAAAACCTACAAATTCATCATTTGTTCAACCGTATTCTGCCCACTACTAGACAAAGGTCTCTGACCTCTGATTTCTACAACTATGGTCCTGGGCTGTCCACATCCAGTGCTTCCAGCGACTTTCACCAGATCGTCGGTCCACCGAGTCCTTAAATAAATATCCTTGGCTATTTCACACTGCGCCTCTAGTCTTAAACTTGGCAAAACTTGTACTATGTGTATTAGACAAATGATATAAAACATATTTATAATATGTATACTTTTTTGTAAATAAATCTGTGTTTCAGCTATGCCCAGATTCCCATATGTGCCACATTTGCTGTCACGTCTTAAATAGACTGTGGCTCTTCAGATCTGTATGTTTGAAACGAAGTTTAGAGTACCCTGTGTTGTTCAGGTAAGCAACAAGTTTATTTTATATTAATTTGTCTATAATTGTTATGTTTTATTATGAATATTCAATCTATTCCACCTTGATCACCTGGATTTGATCACCCAGGTGGTCAAAGTGGACTCCAGGTGACACTTTGGTGCCCTTTGATCACCCATGCATAAGATCACCTAGGTTAAATTATCAAAGTAGATTTCTTATCCAAAGGTGATCAAAGGATACCAACTATACAAAGCCTCATTCACCATCAAGGAAACCATAACACTGACTTTATGCTAAAATACTTCTTACTTTTACCACAGAATAATAATAAGTACTACGTACAGAAGTTTTACTTCGCGAAGGTATTTAAAAAAATGGTATGCTCAATGTCATTAACAATATGGTGTAATTTAGCCTGTCTCAATAGTCAAGCACCATTTTGTTGACAAACGTCAGTGATTGGCACGGCGCCGAAGCTATAGGGCTGACTTCGGTAAAATGATGTGACGTGAGGTACATGATTTAGCATGAATTATCATGAATAATATTAACTACTTATTTACCTCTCAGTGTCTTGAAGCAACTTAAAAAAGTACATTCTGTGTTTTTATTATTATTTAGGCAGTTAAATACTGCACAGTATTTAGTACACCATTTTCTTTATTTAAAAGATAAGGAGACATGTAAAGTGCCCCATAAGGGCTACCTTTTCTTTTTTTATTATTTTCTATTGACATTTCTTGTGCCACTTGTGGTCTAAACTGAATAAATAATTTTTGATTTTGATTTGATTTGATTTTGATTTTGATTTTCTTCCATCATACACAAGAATACGCGTGCGTGAGTCAATGTTCGCTCGTATGTGAGGCCTTGTCGAATAGTATCCTGTAGGTGGGCCATGTGCGTGTTTTGTTTTCGATGTAAACTCGCGGAGATGAACAAACCTGCTTTTACTTGCTAAATAATGTTAATCAAGAAGTAACTACTTAGAACTTTACTTGGAGCAGAGATCATGAAAGTGGCCCCTAATTTCACTTAAATTATTGGGTTTTTTTCCACTCTTATGTTGTGACTTTTATGTCACAAATATTAAATACAAACTTTACCATTTTCAGCGAAAAAGGAACACTAAACCTCCAACGAAATGACTTGGAAATCCACACAGTATGCTTTGAAGACTGTGAACATTACAAAAACCGAAATATCAACTCAAAATACTACCATTTCAAGTACTTCGACGACACAAGCGATATCAACGAGGAATACCCTCCGTACCCAAACGATTACGTCAAATTGGAGGAAGACAGGAGGGAGTTTGAAGAGTTTTTAGATAAACCAAACTATGAACAAGCATTACCGAATAATAAAACACCAGAGTTCTCTCAAAATTTCACCGATGAGTTTACTGAAGATGAGACAAACAATGATTATGAAGAAAGCCATTCTTTTGAAGATGACGATGGAAATGATGAACAAAGTCATAATATAAAAGAAGAACAGAAAGAGAACTGTGAAAGAGATGAATACGAGCAACCAACAATCAAGCTTGAAGAAATAAGTGATGAAGAAACAGAAATAAAGGAAACAAAAACAAAAAAACATGTAAAGAAAAAAGGCAAGTCCAAAAAAGAAAAAGAACCGTATGTGAAGTTTAAGCTTAGTGTTACAGAACAGAAAACAGAATTGGAAAGAAGTAGAAAAGAAAAGAAGTATATAGAAGCTGAGTTTAAGTGTTACAATTGTGCTTTAGGGTTCCTTTTTAAGGATACGTATCAGGCTCACATGATGAGGCATGAAGAGGTATGTATTTGAATTCCACAAATAATAATAAACAAAAAGAAAAGTATGTATAAGTAATATTTAACATACTAAAAATGTTATTTAGTCCGTCAGACAGTTAATAAAAATATTGGGCACATTTTTTCTTCTTTTTTTAAATGAAATAATTACAATGATACTGACTTGAAATGTAACGTGACGTCACTTCTAAGTAAAAAATCTACAAAGTCGTTACGTCACGCACATTTAAACTCAATATTCTACCATATTTTTTTATTATGGATCTTTTTTCCATACATATCTAATCCGCTCTGCTTTGCCTTAGTGGAAGCCGAGCCTAACTGGTAAATTAAACTTTTGAGAATTTGATATTGGTAGTTGTAAAGCCTGGTCCGTGAGCACGTAGTATTTTGTCCAATAACCCCAAGCTACCCATCCTTGTCGCTCGCGCGTAATTATATTGCTGTCGCGACCGTGCTCACGGACCAGGCTTTAGAATAAACCATTTTCGTTTGATTAACTATAAGAACACCGTGTATTCGTCGCCATTTCAGTCAAACGGTGAGCATCGTTGCAACATTTGTACGCTGCGTTTCGCGTCGCCCGCCGTCTTGCGAGCGCACACGTCGCTACACGCTGAGAGACACAAATGTACCAATTGCGGTTCGTACTACCAGGCCTGTTCATCTCCGCGAGTTTACATCGAAAACAAAACACGCGCGATGGCCCACCTACAGAATACTATTCGACAAGGCCTCACATACGAGCGAACATTGACTCACGCACGCGTATTCTTGTGTACCTTATGATGGAAGAAAATAAAGAAAATTGTGTACTAAATACTGTGCAGTATTTAACTGCCAAAATAATAATAAAACACAGAATGTACTTTTTTAAGTTGCCTCAAGACACTTAGAGGTAAATAAGTAGTTAATATTATTCATGATAATTCATGCTAAATCATGTATTTCCTCCGCCATTTCCGGCAGTTTGGCACCTCACGTCACATCATTTCACCGAAGTCCGCCCTATAGCTTCGGCGCAGTGCCGATCACTGACGTTTGTCAACAAAATGGTGCTTGACTCTTGAGACAAGCTAAATTACACTATATTGTTAATGACATTGAGCATACATTTTTTTAAATACCTTCGCGAAGTAAAACTTCTGTACGTAGTACTTATTATTATTCTGTGTGGTACTATCTACATCTATACTAATATTATAAATGCGAAAGTCTCTCTCTTGTCTGTCTCTGTCTTGCTTTCACGCCTAAACCACGGAACCGATTTTGATGAAATTTGGCATAGAGATAGTTTCAGTCAGTCCCGGGAAAGGACATAGGATAGTTTTTATCCCGGTTTTTGAAACAGGGACGCGCGCGATAAAGTTTTTCTGTGACAGACAAAATTCCACGCGGGCGAAGCCGCCGGCGGAAAGCTAGTAAATAAATAATGTGATTATTTTAATTTTTAGTGCAGGTTTTTTGGAGTCGGTTTTAATTTTTTGTTAAAATTAATTCAATTTGTGAATAAATGCCTGTGTTTAGGTGTGGTGGTGAGGCCGAGGCACCGAGCGAGCCACACCCGCGAATGTCTCCAACTGCCTTCAGAAGGCGTGGCTTGCCATCTCTGCGGAAAAGTGTTCAAGTGAGTTCTAAGTTCTAACGACCGACATAGCTCGCAGAATTGCTAAAATCAAGTGGCAGTGGGTGGGGCCTCCTACTAGGTGGACCGACGATCTGGTAAATGTCGCGGGAAGAGCCTGGATGCGGGCAGCGCAGGACCGTGCATTGTGGAAAACCTTGGGGGAGGCCTTTGTCCAGCAGTGGACGTCATTTGGCTGAAACGAACGAGTTCTAACGAAGATATTCAGAAGACCAAAAGTAATAAACCACAGATCACAGAAACTAAAGGGAGATGTGACAAGGGGGCGTGGCCGGTGTCGCAGCAATATGCCCAAAAACAGAACACATTGCTCGTGAATGCAATGATGACAACAGCGACGTCATAATGTAAACAGATTACATTGCTTGCGTAGTACTAAAGATTATTCGAACGTTCAGTACTGATACCGCAGTGGATAATGAGCACATAATATTTTGATTACTTTGTGTGTGTGAATTTCTAATGCGACACAGTTTCTAACTCAGCGCATTAGTTGGCATCTCTCTACAGGGTGTTTCTTGTAAGGTGTCAAGCCGAAGGCAGGTGATAGGTGAGGACTAGACCTATCGATTTCACCCCCATGTATGTTCTACGTTTTTTCGTAGTTTAGAAGTTATCGTTAATTTTGTGATTTTTTCAAATTTCATGACCTAGTGGCTTATTTTTTTTTTTTATCTTTTTTTTGGGTTGACTTTTCTCAGATTTCTTTTTTTTACAGTGTGAGTCACATTAAAGTGTACATATGAAAATAGATGAAACTAGACCTATTTTTATCGACAAAAAAGAGGTCAAAATTTTTTTGAGATTTTTTTTAAATTTTTTATAGATTTTTTTTTCTTCCAATTACTTATTGTAAAGAAAACGTAATAACTCTTAAACTAAACGGTATATCCTGATAAAAAAAAAACAGTAATAATGCTAAATAACAGGCGCTACTAAAAAAATACATAAAATACACAAAAAATGCCAACAAATAATAAAAAATGATACTTTTTGAAAAAAATCTGCTTTAAAATTCGTGTTTTTTTGGTTATTTGATAAATTTCTCCAAAAAATGCCCCTATAACAGGTGGTTTTTATTACTTTGTATTATTTTCTATCGTATTATCTTTGTAAAACCAAAAATTGCATGTCTCTATCCCTATCACAACATGTGCTATGATCGTTTGAACAAAGGCCTGCCACAACATTATTCTCCGCTACAAGTAGAGACAATTTTAATTTTAACTAAAATGCTTATTTTACTTCGAAATCTTTTGTTTTTATTTGAAATCTAACTTGTCTTTATCAAAATTACAAATCTTGAGCCATTTTCAGTTTCGTTGTTAACGAAGCTTTGAATGGCGCGCCCGGAGAGGCTTAGTTCAAACGATCATTGCAAACGTTGTGATAGGGATAGGGACATGCGATTTTTGGTTTTACGAAGGTAATACGATAGAGAATAATATAAAGTAATAAAAACCACCGGTTATAGGGTCATTTTTTGGACAAATTTACCAAATAACCAAAAAAAACACGAATTTAAAAGCAGATTTTTTTCAAAAAGTATCATTTTTTATTATTTGTTGGCATTTTTGTGTATTTTATGTATTTTTATAGTATCGCCTGTTATTTAGCATTATTACTGTTTTTATTTTATCAGGATATACCGCTTAGTTTAAAAGTTATTACGTTTTCTTTACAATAAGTAATTGGAAGAAAAAAAAATCTATAAAAAATTAAAAAAAAATCGCAAAAATTTTTTGACCTCATTTTTGTCGATAAAAATAGGTCTAGTTTTATCTATTTTCATATGTACACTTTAACGTGACTCACACTGTATAATACCTGAAAATATTACTTGCCTATCCCGTGGAAGTTCGATGATACGACTAGAAAAATTTGTCAAAAGTAATATTGACTAAGGCCATCAGTCAAAACCACTATTAACTGAAATTTGCAGTCAAAAGTGGTTTTGATCGATTATGAGTTTTGACTGCAACATATACAACGTGTCCCAAAATTCAAGGATAAGCCGGCGCCGCAGGATGGACATAGTCATGACTACTTTAGGAAAAATAAGAAAAAAAATCTATCTCAATTATTTTTTAAGTTACACAATAAATTATGAAATTCGTCGAAAATTGACACCCCTTATGATATTTTACATTACCACGACTACAATTTTTCAAATACTTCTGTTTTTTTGTTTGTATCGGCAACTTAAGTAGTGCTGCTGTCCACCCCAATTCTTAAAACCCTCAGAATCCTTGCAGTTTTTACACAAAAGTTAATCAAAATATGATATTTTCTTAAAATTTTGAACGATTTTTACTTTCACTCCACTTTGACTCGTCGTTTTGTAAAAAAACAGTATGAACACTACTGCGGCAAGTTTTTTATAAAGTTGACGCAACTATCCAAGATTCCAAAATGGTATAATACTCTCAAGAAAACTAGTCGCAAAAAAGATATGCGTACCATTTTTACAAGCACTTCGCTTGTTAGTTAGTATGGGATACATCTTGCAATTAAATTTAAAACCAGTTTTCCTCAACCAATTGAGCTGAAATTTGGTATACTTATGTAAGTACGATGACATTGCAATATTATGGTATCATTGAGCTGGATGGAGTCTGGAGGTGGCCATAGGAACTTCTAAACGAAACGGCGGAATCGCATCTAGTTTGGGTTCGTTGGATATCTTTTCGAGCACTTTAGTGCTAGATGATGTCCAGGGTCCTGATGATGAAGTCAAGAGGTGGCCAGGAGCTGGCCAAAGGAACTCCTAATCGAAATGGCGGATGACTATCGAGTTTGGGTTCGTTGGATTTGTCTTCTCGGGCACTTGGACCATGAGATTGAGAAACAACTAAAAAGTGTAAAATAAAGTTATAATAAAAAAAAACTTTTATAAAAACAAGCATTAATGCGAAATTTTACGACAGAATTTAACGATAAAAATAATTTTATGCAAGGTTCAAATAATTTCGAAAGTTTGTAGCGCAAACAGAAAAAAAGAGGAATAAATTCCATGCGCGATTACAACTTTATTTTAAACTTTTTAGTTGTTTCTCAATCTCATGGCCCAAGTGCCCGAGAAGACAAATCCAACGAACCCAAACTCGATAAACTTCCACTATTTCGTTAAGGAGTTCCTATGACCAGCTCCCGGCCACCTCTTGACTTCATCATCAGGATCCTGGACATCATCTAGCACCAAAGTGCTTGAAAAGACAAATCTAACGAACCTAAACTAGATGCAATTNTGTCACCGGAAAATAACAAGACTCGTAAGTTGATCAATTTTCTAGGAAGTTGATCAACTCTCGGAAAATAAGAAACGGCAGTTGAAATGTACTATTTAACGCATCGAATTTTAGCTAATTGGTCAACTTACGGTACCTAGCCGTAATTTAATAATTAACTATATTGCTACAAGTAAAATCATCCACAAATGGGCCAATCGTTGCCCAGTGTACTATTTGACGGTACACTATTATCCGTCACTTAATACACTTTTCTCTGATTGGTCGACAGACACTTAGATTATGTTGTTTTAATATTTACATTTTAGAGATAGGGATATTAAAGTTCGTCTATGCTATATAGATAAATAAATGAAAAATGTTTAAAAAAATATATTGGAGCTCAAAGTTTTATTATTGTAAGTTATATTAATAATAAGTAAGTTTGTTTATTTCTACCACTACAGACTCCATTTCACTCATCATAAATAAAATGACGCGTTATAATGAGAATTATTACCACACAAAACAACAATTGCTAATTTTACTACTGTAAATAAAGAAAATAGAAAGATTTGTTTACGTTTAAACCGGTAATGGCGGCGGCCGGGTGGCGGGGAGCGGTATAAAAGCACGTGAGTCTTTTAACCAATCAACGTACACCTTGCCTTTGTCGGATGATTTAACGGCAAGACGCCGTAAATTAATCAACTTACTAAAATACATACGTTTAATAGTACATTTCAAATGCCGTTTATTATTTTCCGAGAGTTGATCAACTACCTAGAAAATTGATCAACTTACGAGTCTTGTTATTTTCCGGTGACATATACATAATAGTAATATCTAACGATTGAATTAATAAAACAGGGATGTCCGCTTCTAAGCCAAAATAAAACACTGTGCATTCTAATGTGGTTTATCATCAAAATTTTCATATTCCCTTTTGTATATCACATGAAGAGCAAGAGCTTCCACGTTGTGGATAAAAAAATCTTTTCAGTTACTGTCTCTAAATGTGTTCTACATAACGTTAACTTAGGGCATTGCAAATATTACTTAGTCCTAAGAAAGTCAAAAACATGTAACGGAATCTCCGACTTTCCACTTTAGTGGAGCGATTACAGAAAATAATGGCCTATTAAGTACATGTTTTTTTGTGTTATTATGAAAGTTTAGAAAACTGCCCAGTTTTTAAAATTATTTTGGACCTATGGAAATTCTTTTTTTTTTTCATACATTTCAATTGAAAATTTTAGAATGTTCTGCTAAAAGCATATTTTTTATGTTTCTAGCAAAAATTTTGTATCTTGCATCAAAGATAGGAAGGTGATTATTTTTTTCAAATATCTGCACTTAATAGGCAATCTGTCAAAAAAAAGAAATCTGAGAAAAGTCAACCCAAAAAAAAGATAAAAAAAATAATTAAGCCACTAGGTCCTGAAATTGGAAAAAATCACAAAATTAACGATAACTTCTAAACTACGAAAAATCGTAGAACATACATGGGGGTGAAATCGATAGGTCTAGTCCTCACCTATCACCTGCCTTCGGCTTGACACCTTACAAGAAACACCCTGTATAACTATATGTAATAAACATTCCACCTTATTACAAAAAGTTCAACTATTTGAACTCTAGGAACTTGACATTTAATATGGAAATGCATTTTAAACCAGTGTTCATCCCAGGTTTAACTTTTTTGTTATAAGGCCCACTTAGTCAAAAAATTTACTATGCCAGCAGCAGTTACGAGGGGGCGTTACGTTTACGTTACAGCTTCGTTTGAATTAAGTAGCTGTCAAAACGACACATCCGTGATATGGATTTGTCAAAATAGCTGATTTTAAATAAACAGAGAGAGAACCGACTGTATTCGCTAAGAAATTTTAATAACGATTAAAATAGCTGATGTTTGTTTGTCGTCCAGTTGCGTTGCAGTTGAACATTTTTAGCGCAATCGGGGCCCATGTCGGTTAAAACCTCGCGGCCTCGTCTTAAGAATTGTATCTTTGTTACAAGTAACACTTAATTACAACAAATGTTCAGCAGGGTACCTACTCATCTAGCCGTGTATCATGTAATGTATCAGATACTGTATCAAATGAGTACATACGCTAGCCCGCTAGCACAAAGGCGGCTCGCAGTAGGATTCAGGAGCTCGCAGCCAGATACGCGATGACCGTGGACGAGCCGTACTCACTTGAAGGTTGGTTACGTTACATGCTACGTTACGTGCTACATGGCAGGTGAGTACCATGCCTTCGGCTTGATATGTCTTCGTCTGAATAATAAAGTATTTGTGTCTTCCAGCGGTCCAAACGCTCTCCAGCAGCACTTAAAGCGTTTCCACCGGTCCAAGAGTTCGGGTCGGTCGTACGCTTGCACGGTCTGCGGGGAGAGATACAACGACCAAGCCGCAGTGAGGACGCATATGATGTGAGTATAGCTCGCTCAAAGAAACTTGAGGCACACACACATTGAAGTTCACTATTTTCTTCTTCTTATCTATATCTATCTATCTATACTTATAATAAATCTGTAGAGAGGTCAATTCTGTACATGAAATATATTTTCAAAATAACTATCAGGGGGTGATTAGTGATCGATACTGATGCCAAAAATGCAATCAGTGAAATTTTTGTCTGTCTGTCTGTCCGTCTGTATGTTCCTTATAGAAACAAAAACTACTCGACGGATTTTAACTAAATTTGGTACAATTATTCTTCATACTTCTGGGCAGGTTATAGTATACTTAAGAATTCCCACGGGAACGGGAATTAGCAGGAAAATCCTTTTGTATGAAAAATCTGCAGAAATTTGGCATGCAGGTATCTTAGTAAACTTAAAGCTTAGTTACAACAGGATATTGCAAAATTCACACGGGAACGGGAGTTAGCGGAAAAAAACATTTGTATGAAAAAATCTAAACCGCGTAAGATAGATGAAGGGGGTAAAACGGGATCCACGCGTACGAAGTCGCGGCCGCTAGTCGATTATACAGGTGAAATTTTGTAATGCCACCTGGAGGGAAAGTACTCTTAATACATTAGACATAAAATTTTACTCAAAGAAAACATTCCTTTATTGTTTTTTAAGAAAGAACTGCATTCAAAGATTTCCGATAATATTTCGAATATACCACACTATTTAGTTTGGGAATCGAACCCTTCGCTTGCCGGGCGACTACTTTGCATCTGAGCTACTCTAAATAGCTCAGATTATTGACTAGGTAGCTCAGTGAGTCATTTAAATCATCATCCTTAAACGACATACTGAGCAGAGCCCATTTTTGTGTTTGTTCCCTGTTGTTTAGTTTTATTTTGTTAGGATGTATTGCATCTTAGAAATACTTTTTCTTTCTGTCAAGTTATTAAAAAAAACTGTGATTCATTTATTAGATTATAGATGACCCACGCTGAACTGTCCCACCAAACTCAATGACAGGGGGGCGCTACCATCGTTCAACTATATGGTTTCCAACATGGCAAAAATCGGAACTAGCGATCCGGTATTGACGGTGGCGCCCCACTGTCAATGTCATGGATATCACAGTTCAGTATTTTGGAACTATACTCCAGATTGAAATGGCATAGTGTCCATACACTTGTGAGATTTGGTGATACCAGATGAAAGGGATTCATAGGAATTCCCTCAGCTGTCAAGACAAGATCTAAATCTCATCTGAATGGCTTATTGTGTTAACACAGATTGCCAAGTTGCAGAACTCATAATAAAAAAATTAAAAAAACTTATTTATTGTTCCTCAGAAAGCACATACAACGTAAGTTCCAATGCGACGAGTGTCCCGCCACCTTCGGCAGTCCATACACAGCGCGTCAGCACAAGAAGAGGCGCCATACGTCGCAGCCTCAAGTCAAGAAGCCTCACAGGCCGCCGCAGCCGACGCAGAGGTAAGTGTTTGTTATACTTACTAATATTATAAAGCTGAAGAATTTATTTGTATGCTTGAACGCGCTAATCTCAGGAATTAGTTACTGGTCCGATTTGAAAAAATGTTTTTTATTTTGGATAGCTTATTTATCGAGGAAGGCTTTTAGGCTGTATAACATCACCCTACAGCCAATAGAGCAGTTAAAAAAATATTGCAAAAACGGGTAATATTATTCTATTTTCACGCGTACGAATCCGCAGGCAAAGTTAGTCACTCACGCTTCAGCTTTAGCTAAAGAAGCCTCCCAGGCTCCCGTAGAGACGAGTCTAATACTCATAGGCACTATAAAATTAAATTTAGTGCTTAATTGAGTGTCTGAGGGAGCGGCACTACAGGGTGTTTTTATAATGTCAAAGGTCTGGCAACCTAAAAATCGGTGTCGAGGCATGCTGATTAATGCTGAGCGGGCCCCTATTTGACAGCAGGGCACAATGTTTTTCTTTTTGTAATTTATGTAAATGTGATGTCACTCTTTTTGTCAAATAAAATATTATTTATTTATATTTATAATACTTCCAGCTTCGACTGCCCGACGTGCGGCCGGTCGTGCCCGAGCGCGCGCTCGTTGGCCTCGCACGCCGCGTTGCACGTCGCGCGCGCGCACGCCTGTCCGCGCTGCCCTGCTTCATACCCCACGCGCAAGTCGTGCAATAGGCACGCGCGCGCGCACCTGAATAGTGGGGCTAATGTAGCGCGCGCCGTGTGTCATCGATGCGGCGCTAGTTTCCAGGTGAGCTACCTGAGACACTGGACATGGGGCACTGAGCTACTAAGACACTAGACACTGAGCTACTAGACACTAGACCCAGGGACACTGAGCTACTGACACTTGCTAACTCTAAGACACTAGACACTGAGCTACTAAGACACTAGACATGGGGTCACTGAGCTACTGAGACACTTGACACGGGACCACTGAGCTACTGAGACACTAGACACTGAGCGACTGAGCTAATAGACTCAGCTACTGAGGTACTAGACTCTCACAGAGGTACTGAGATACTAGATACTAAGCTACTAAGCCGTCTGTCCCCGCTGTCCTGCTGCATACCCCACGCGCAAGTCGTGCAATAGGCACGCGCGCGCGCATCTAGTTAGCACGACTAATGTAGCGCGCGCCGTGTGTCATAGATGCGGCGCTAGTTTCCAGGTGAGCTAACGTCAGGAGAGATACTAGACATCGAACCACTAAGCTACTATAGTCTGGTCTGCGAGCACGTAGAATTTTGTCCAATGACCCCAAGCTACCCATCCTTATCGCTCGCGCGTAATTATGTTGCTGTCGCGCTCGTACACTCACTGCGGGCCAGGCTTTAGACACTCACAGAGGCAGTGAGATACTAGACACTAAGCTACTGAGACATTAACACTGTGATACTAAGCTACCAAGTCACTAAACACTGTGACACTAGACACTAGCTAACACCGAGACACTAGACAGTACTGACACTTAGAACTACTGAGTTACTAGACACTCCGAGATACTGAGACACTAGACACTGAGCTACTACACTCATTGAGACACTAGACACTGAGCTACTACACTCATTGAGCCACTAGACTCTGAGCTACTGAGACACTAGATAGACACTTAGAACCGTTGAGCTACCAAACTCAGAAACACTGACTTACTTATCACTCTGAACCACTGAGCTACCTAATCACTTTAAACCACTGAGCTACTAGACATTTCGAAACACTGAGCTACTGATCCCCAAATAGTTCCATTCTCACAAATTCACACTAAGTTACTGATCCCCACGTAGTTCTATTCTCACAGATCCACTTCAAGTCACTGAGCTACCCTCAATCCACTGAGCCATTGAGACAATAGGCTAGTTGCCTAAAAAAATTTTTTTAGTCCGTAATGTTTAATATCAAAAAATATTGGACACGTATATTTTTATTTGTCAATCTAACAAATAATTACATAATTATGGTGCGTTGAAGTTGCGCACGACGTCACAACGTGCGGCATTTTTAAGCAAGCGTTGACGTCACGGGCCTCTTCTTATGAACTTTGGGGCGCTTTATCTCTTTAAATTTTCATTAGTTTGAAAAAGTGAAAAATACGTGTAGAGTATTTTTTGATAAGTTAATTGACGGACTAATTAAAACTCTTGCTTTTTGACCCAGGCAACATCCCCATTTGACACCATTCCCCAAAAATTCGAAATCACAACTTTTCTAAAAAGACACTTCATTCTGGTTTTAAAAATTGAATTAATTTTAAATTATCTGTATGATATAATCAATTACGATTTTTGGCCGCATTGTAATTGAAAAAAATAGTTTAATTGAACTGACAACATAGTGACGTCACTTGCTTGTAGTGCCATACAAAATCTATGGGAGAGTTACGTTTTGACAGTTTTAAAAAGTACGTCAATTGATTGGTGGTGTCAACACGTCTATTGTTTTATTCCCAATTTATTATTATTCTGTTTCTTTACAGGGCAATAACAAACTCAACCGTCACCTGAGACAAGTTTGTGAAAAGGAGAAGTGGGAGGAAGAACAACTGGCTTCTTACTGTTAAAAATTTGAGTATAATGTAACACATTAATGCCCGTTTTCACCATCAATCCCTAGTTTTTAAGTGACCCCTAAGGTAACACATAACAGGAATTTTGTTTTCATAGGGGTCACTTAAAAATTAGGGATTGATGGTGAAAACGGGCATAAGTAAGTTTTTGGACAATACCAGTCAATTGAGATATTTACATGAGCTGTCAAAACTTTGAGTTTTTATAGAAATACCCACATTTCGCTTTACTTGAAGGAGCTGTGTTTAAGTTAGTTGAGCGATTATTGATTTGAAATCAAATTAAAATCGAAAAAATAATAGAAAATTCTGACGAATGTCGGTTTACTCTTCACATTAATCCATTATATGGTTTTGAAATAAACAATATAATTCTTACTTTTAAATGTTACTTAAAAGTTTTGTGATATTAGACTTAACTAAACGATTTTTTTGTAATTTCTTGTATTTAAAATCTAAATATTAATTTGAGAATAAAATAAAAGACTTATTTATTTGTTAACTGATCTTTTAATTATAATAAGTACACAATAAAATTGTGTAGTTGACACCACCAATAAATTGTCATACTTTTTATTAATTTCAATTGTCTAATGATTTGGAATAACAATAGACTTCATTAATTTTAAAACGGAAAATCCGATTTTACTATTAAAAACTGCATATTTTCAAAGAGTTTGGGTGGTGTTAACAACATTATACAATTTTCTTACATTTTATATTATACAAAAATATGTATTTATATTCGATCTAAGATTGCAAAATATTAAAACAGTTCAACGCAGCGAAGGCGACTAAACTGTACCCATCCATGCAACTTACGACAATTTTGTTAAGAACCTCGTTACAATGTATTAAAACACACTTTTTTGGCGTAAAGTCTTGTATAGCATCTTCTCTATAACTTGGATTCCATTTTCGCCTCCACAACTCTGTTATAGAAGTCTTTTTTAATTCCAATTGAGAATTTGTTATTTCTTGACTTGTCACATTTTTGCCTCGTATGTACCTTTGTAATATTACTTCTAAAATATGAAATATATAAGACAAATTCTCAATTTCGTTTATATTAGATATTTCATAAGGTTTTTCGGTATTTGTAAGGTGTGATAATACGTTTTCTAGTAAAGAAGTTATTTTTTCTATAGTATACTTTTGTATGTGCATGGATTTGTTTAGTAGCAGCAATCGTTGCATTTTTTCGTCTTTTTGTAGTAACTGAAATAGGAAAAAGTCAATAAATATTTCTATAGTCCGGTCGCCGAGCACGTAGAATTTCGTCCAATGACCCCAAGCTACCCATCCTTATCGCTCGCGCGTAATTATATTGCTGTCGCGACTGTGCGACGGGCGCCCGCAGTGAGTGTGCGAGCGCGACAGCAATATAATTACGCGCGAGCGATAAGGATCGGTAGCTTGGGGTCAATGGACGAAATTCTACGTGCTCAGCGACCGGGCTTTAGTATACTTTTCCATATTTTAAATATCTGTTTATTTGTACACAGCAACAAGACTCAAAACTGGGTTCTCCTCAAGCTTGGGACTCTCTTTGCTCTTTTTGAGACACCCTGTATATGTAGAATATGTATCATCGTCATTTCAGTCACAGGACGTCCACTGCTGAACATAGGTCTCCTCCAATAATTTCCATATTGCCCGGTTAGTAGCGACCTGCATCCAGCGCCTTCCTGCTACCTTTATGAGGTCGTCGGTCCACCTTGTGGGTGGACGTTAATAAATATAAATAATTAATACAAACCACGTCTTCCCCACCGCTTTCTTGGTGAATGTCCTTCAGCAGGAAATTAATGTTATCAAGCAGTTCATCGAAAAATGAAGGGTATCTCTCTTCTTCGTGCAGTTTGTCTATTAGTTGGCCTAATACCTGCAAAATAGAGAAAATCATGACCAGGGATGTTAGGGATATCCGTAACCGTAACCGATTCAATAGTTTCGGATATAGGCAATTTAAATTGTTTTTTGTATAGCATTATATTATGTAAAGGCATAACACCCTGATTTACCTTTATAATGCCATCTAGTATCAATTTTATTTTTTTATTACTTTTCATTCGATGTAAAGTGTGCGGCCATGAATGAACCGTGTTGGACAACTATTGCAAATTGCATTCTAAAGCACAGAAATCCGTAATCGTAACCGAAATTTTCGGATATCCGAAATAAAATATCCGAATATGTTATTGCAAATGAATAAATAAATAAATAAAAAAATATCCGTAGAACATTTTCTACCAGTCAACCTTAGGTATATTTTTTATATAATTTGCTTAGATAATACCTGTGAAATTTCTCCAATGATCTCATGCGTGGTGCCCAGCAGTGGGCATTGGGTGATGTGTTCGAACAAACTATGGGCTGACTGGTTTATCCAGTTTCCAGAGAGCTGCAGTGCTGCAAATTTATTAATTTATAATAATTTATTTATTTATTATTAATATTATCTCACTCTATTATCTTTATAGTACAAGCTTTGCTTAGTTTGGGACTAGAAGCGTAATGTAAAATGACCAAGGATATTTATTTATCTCTAAACCAGTGTTTTTCAAGTGAGGAACTACCGCAGTAAAAAAACAGTAAAGACAGATTTATCAGAAATCTAATTAAGCAAATAACATAAAACAAAATTCGGTTAAAACATAAAAAAACATAAAAAAAAACATTTTTGTAACATTATAAAATGTATTATATGTATATGTATGCATGAAAAAAAAGCAAGCGGTCGGGGGGTCGCAAAATATTTTTTCGTACTGAAGGGGTCGTGTCATTAAAAAGGTTGAAAAACACTGCTCTAACTCTAAACTATACGAGTACAAGTATCTAAAAACTAGTTACTGATCCTGAAAGTGCTTTACGAGCTCTATCAAACGGTATCAATAATAGGTTACAGAATAAACTGGATCTAACCAAAAATTCAATACTTCCAGCAATAGTTACCTATACCTCTAAACTTAGATAAATACAGATTTTCACACTTACAACTTCTAAAAGAGCATTTCGTTTGGCTGTCGCTTCTATACCCTGAATCTATAGACCCATCGTTGCTCAGTCTTCGTTCAATTCTCTTATTTATATAGTTTTTTACTTTATTCAATTCCTCTACAACTTTAAACGTCACTATTTGCGATGCATTATCTGTATTTACATTATTATCATTATTTTCTTCGTTATTTTCATATTCAGCTTCATTTGTTTTATTATTGACATTTTTATTTACATCATTCATTTCTTCGCTATTTTCATGTTCAATTTCATTTGTTTTGAAATTGTCAATTACATTTGCATTTTCGGTGAATTCTATGTCAATATCTTGAGCGTATTGAGGAAATGATTCGTTTTCTATTAAAGTTTCATTTGTATTTTCAATTACTTCATTTATTGTTGCATTTATTACGGTTTCTGCTGTATATTCTATTGTTTTTCGTTTTGATTCTGTTGTTTTTTGACTAAATTGAATTACTTTTGGATCTTTATTTATTCTTATACCACTTTCCGTATCATAGTTTGTAGTATTTAAAGGTTGAGCATTATTGTTTTTGAAAAGTAGTTTGTTGTTTATTAAAATTTCATCAATATTCTGACTTTGACTAACATGGGTACAGTTTTGGGTTTCATACAAAGTATACAGTTCTGTCGCTTGCGAATCATAGTATGTATGATCAGAAATACAAGTAACTTCATTTGGACCATTTAAATGTGCTTCATTTGGTTCAGTTGCTCCATTTAGCTTGAAAAATGTGTTATAATTGTTTGTATGGACTTCATTTGGGTTAAATATGTGGTTGTGGTCATTTTGAGTTTCACAGAAAGTTGAATTTGAATCTAACCGTCTTTGTATTTGAGTTGGATTTTCAAATTCTTGTGGTTTGGCTTGTGATTCTATTTGTATATCATTCTGAAAGAAGAAAAAGGAATTAAGATGGAAAATGGATCAATTATTATTTTAAACCTTATTGCACTTGTTAAAAAGCTTAACTTAATGCCATATTTTGTGGCATACTCTCTCAGCCAACCTTTGGGCCAAGCAACTATAATTGGCGATGCATAAACATCTAAGTTGAATAGATTATTAGAAAAGAGTACAGAGTAAGTAAGTTTTTAATTAAAATATCAGGATCTACGTACCATTTCTGTTATACGAATATTTTCATTATCTTGCTCTATACGACAACTATCATTTGTAATTTCTTTATTACTGACATACATATTTACGTTGAAGTCCTGTAAAATATTTATACTATCTATATTATTAGTTTGTTCGTCCAAGACCTGTTTTTCTTCATCGTTATTAAGTTTTTCTGGTGATTCCTGCATGTCAAAGTCATCACTACACAAAGTGAGGTCTAGATCCTCCGAAGGTTCATTGTTTATTTTACTTTTCAATTCTTCGATATAATTTTCTATAGATATATCTTGTGGTTTCTCTCTTAACACGGCCAGCGCTAGAGCCAGCTGATATTTTTGAGTTAAACTACGTACTGGAAAGAAATAAAAATCTGTAATTACTCATTTGTAATTTTTTACTCAAAATAATTAAGAAATAAAACGTTGACGTTTCTTATGTTAACTTATTTTGTTTAAATTAATTATAGTACGAGTAATAGACTCGATATCGATTGATTGACTCGACAATAATGTAAATAGTACAAAATAAATAATCAAAACTTACAACAACACAACTTTAAAAAAAAATGAGTGTAACATAACAAACGAAATGTTATTTTTATAATAAAGTAATAAATACGGCGCCCAGTACTTACTGTAAGGATCACTCATTTTGATAAATAAAATATTTTTTCATAAAATCACGAACATAATAATGCAAAACAAACACTTCAATTTAATTTCGCAAAGAACAAAATGCGTTTCGCGCCATGAAACTTTTTTAGAGTGAGCGAGACAGACAGAATATTTTTTGTGTTCCATACTTCAAAATTTGAACAGGGCATTAACAATTATAAAGCCTACATCTATAGAAATTTAATGAAGAAAATAAACTGTACTTTAACTCATTCAACCTTTTTTGAAATAAAACTATTTTTAATATTGGGTTCTTTTGCATGTCAACTTTACTGGCGTCTGTCATTTTAGTGATCATGCCAATTTTTATTTTGTACACAGTGCAAAAACAAACAAAATGCTTTTTACTATGATGAATTTGAATATAAATGGCTCTGTACACGATATTATTTGGGCTAAGCATATTCATGATAGCGCTAGTCATGGCTATCATAAAGAAAATGTTCTTTCATTGGAAAGAAGAACACAAAATCGAGAGGATGGTTGTGACTACAGTGGATAGGCCCGGTATGAATTAAACCTTTGTTAAGTTGTTAACATAAATAGGTATCTGGCCAATTACATAGCCAAGAGCTATAAGTTACGTAGTAGAAGTTGGAGTAAAGAAATACTCATGTGATATGGCAATTGGCAATAGCTACGTACCTAATCTAATCCCTGCAAAGGAATAACGGTTGCATACAAGTTCAATTCGATTCTAGCTAGGGTGAGATGTTGATGAGATGAATACGAGGATTTATTATAGGTGTAGTAGAGTGATTTGTTTGTATTGTACTAATGCAATGACCTAGATTTAAGATGCATAGCAGCTGCAGATGCTTGAGTAATGTCTGGCGATGTTTCAATTTTGACACACGATACCATTTAAAGTAGGCCAGAAAATAAATTCATCTTTGAGTTTCGCACTACGTCTGATCTGAATTCGTGAAATTACGGCCCGAACTGGGTAGTAGGAGCACAAGTAGTAACTATTTGTATGGTACAGACTCTCATTTTTTTTCTTATCAAGACCAGAGGGCTTTGTTTTTAGTGAGTATAGGTCCTGTTCTTCTGGCAGGGAGAGCCCTACACAACCCACTGCCCCTACCCGGGTTGCATTAATTAGGTATGCAATTCAATGCATTTTCCAGTCGAAAAAATTGCACTCAGGAGGATTTGATGAGTGCTACTGACAACGCCACTCTTGTGGCGGAGTTTTGGGCTGACACTGTGTAGGTTTGTTGTCGACACGAAAAGAAGAAGAAGTCGAAAAAAAAGACAAGTCAACCCAACGGCAACTCGAAAGCATATCAGTCACTAGAAAAATATCATCCACTAACCTCCTTCGGGAATCGAACCTCCTAACTTATGCTCCGTTTCCAGCTGTAAGCGTGCTGATCTCCCGGGGCGCATGCGTGGTGCGCTCGCGCCAGTACGCGGCAGACATCTGCGTGTATGACGTCATCAGCAAGGATGACGTCAGCCCCACCTTGGACGATGGCGTGAAATAATCATTTTTGCCCTGTGGTCCTACTGGTAGTACAACGGGTAGGTTTTCCCTGTTGTTCTACTGGTAGTACAACGGGCAGTTTTTTGCCCTGTGGTCCTACTGGTAGTACAACGGGTAGGTTTTCCCTGTTGTTCTACTGGTAGTACAACGGGCAATTTTTTGGCGTGTGGTCATATTGCGTGGTCCTACTGGTAGTACAATGGGAGATGTTTTTTTGTTCGTAGTTCTCATAGATCAGTAGGTCCACGGGTGGGCACCCAGTATTACCCGTAGTCCTACTGGTATCCATTATTCATATTAAAGTTATAAATATATTTTTATACGTCTAATTTTATTAAAGATTCTTTAAATGTTTGTTTCAATTTTATTCTTGCAAAATTTAAATTTTTGTCGTTACCCTTGAACGAATCAATTTTAATGATCCTTCACTATTTTAAAACACATTAACTTTCTAGTCCAATTAAGGGTTAAGAAACTTTGTATCGTGGACTCGTGGTTCTTTAATCATGTAAGTATTTTATTTAATATTTCAAAAGAAAAATAAGATTTTCTAAGTTATTCTATCCAGACAATAACGAAATCATTTTTATTTTTTTAATTGATAACTATTTTAAGGTATTTTACAATGTCAATTTAATATCACATTTTATTCCCGCCTTTTGGCGGGTCTCCTCTTCTTATTTTTTCCAGTTCTCAATGCGTTCTTCTGAAAGCATTTCACTCCGTAAACACTGTTGATCTTGACTATGTCCATTTCGGAAAACAGTTTCTCGTTTTGACCCAATGACTTCATGATTTCTCCCTCCGGATCCTAAAAAAATTACACCAAAAATAATGTAGACCAACCAGTTATCTACTAGTTAAAAACATCTTCTAGGCCAGGGGTTTCCTAATTTATTGGAGAACCTACTTTCGACCATAAAAAAATCTGCGCCCCCCATCCTCCATTTATTTATTTGGTCGTATCGAGCAGTCTGGAATTTTTTTTTTATCCACAACGAGGAAGCTCTTGGCCTGTATCTCACCTGATGGTAAGTGACGATCACGCCGAAGGTGGAAGCGAGCTTCACCCGGAATCCTCAACCACGGAGGAACTGGCTATCTTACCTCTAACTGCCGGAACACAACAAAGCTGTTAACATTGTTGTTATGGCGACAGACTTAGGTAAGATGGTGGTAGCTAGCCAGGCGGACTTAGAACAAGCCCTACCACCAACCAAACCGAACAGAAAAATCTGCCCCCACTGGGAATCGAACCCGGGACCTCTGCGTCTGAAACAGGTGGTCTTACCACTAGACCACAGAGGCGGTCGAATGTATTCTCTCAGCGGTCGCAGGGTTTTTAAAACTGACTATAATAGATCGTTTCATCCACGAAGACGCGCCCTACCATTCTTCCGCTAATGTTCGAGTGTTATCGGTACACGCTAAATTATCTATGAGTGCACACGCACACTACAATTATGACGCTCGGATTGCTCGGATCAAAACCCGCACTCCGCGCCTCTCTAGACCAAAAATTGGTGGGGCGCGTCTTCGTAGATTAAATTATCTATAGGTACACAGATGGCCCGAACACCCCTTTAAAGGTCTTAGCGCCTCCCATTTTGGGAACCACTGCTAAGCGTAGTCCAGAATAGAAATTCTTACAGCAGGAACTTAAACATACACTGTTTACCAATAACTTCCATTAAGTAGGTAATAAATTACCTACACTTCAGAGAGTGGAATACCGCACTGCCAGCCTCTGTGTTCCCGAAATACAACCTAAGGCCCGGTTTCCACCAAGGTTCCCTCAGGTTTGGTTCGTAAATCTGATTATTCAATTCCGAAACACGTCATTTCCCATTGGCGAATCATCTTCGAATCGGTAGCCCCAATGCCCGCCCTCAAATTGGACCGCCGACCTTATAAGGTAGCAGGAAGGCGCTGGATGCAGGCCGCTACCAACCGGTAATTAAGGAAATCATTGGCCTTTGTCTGAAATGATGATGATGATGAATTTACCTTGGACTTAAAAGTAGCAACAGTAGATATTCCCTTCTTCCCAACCTTCCTCCAGAACTGCCAGGCGGGGTGCGTGGCGCTCTCATAGTCGTAGGGCAACGGGAACGTCGCGTCTGATCGGATCTTCTCAAAATGGTGGAGCTTGTCTGAAAAAAATGTTTTATCACGTTGTCATATTCGTTAAATTGTCATTTGCCGTGTGGTTCCAGTAGAATAGATAGGCTCCCCAACTCTTCCAGTGAGGTGACTGGGAGAAATAAGCTCGTACACATTAAAGACAATACGAACTCGCGTCGTGCTTTGTACGACGCGCGTGCATGTTGCAACATCGCTCATCCGGTCTTTTGTGGAAACCTTTAGAGGAGGCTTTCCCCCAAGGGGCTGTATTTAGATGAAACGATACAAGATGACAAGCTGCAGATCCATAATAGAGTCAACACCCACCAGTCACCAAAAAATATACCCATTACAACTAGAAAACCTGGCTCGTACAGTCGACACCCGGGTTCATTGTCTTTGCTAAACCACACACTTACTTACCTAGTATTCCAAATTTTCGACTACAATAATAACGCCCGTATTCACAAACGATGCTTGCTTAAGAGAAGCAGCAAATCGAACGCACAGCGTTGAATAGAAAGAAAGAAAGAAAAATTTCTATTTGGTCCAAAACAATTATTACAATTTTACAGTTCAAAGTATTTGTCTACATGTTTGAACCAAAATGGCATCCACTCAGCATTGTGTCCTGCTCTGAGGTAGACCCCAGAACAGAACGCTGTTATTCTGCGGAGACCATTTTTAAAAGAGCGTCACATTGGACGCCATAACGCCAATAGAGCTCTGTGTTTGGTTCGTGTGTGACCCTGTGCGTCCACGCGCACTGTGTAATGCTTGTGAATACAGGCGTAAGCCTCATTACTCACCTGGTCGGACATGCCGAAGGTGCACCCTCACGTATCGGTCGCGGTCGTGGCGTGACAGCTCGAAGTAGAAGCCCAGCATAGCCATAGCGACCATGGCTGTATGCTGCCGATGCTGACCGCCGCGGTACAGCTCTAGGCTGCCGAAGTTCTGCAAAAACATATTATAGGTATAGCCAGTGGCGGCGTAGCATGGGTTGGCAGTTGGCACCCGGGGCGATCACCCCCCCATCCCCCCGTCATAAGTCCTAAGGCACCCCTTGGTTTGGTACCCCCCGGGATTTTGGGGTTACCTACCGATTCTAAGATTGAGACAATCCCCCCCCCCCCCCCCACCATTTTTTGGAGAAAATTATCAAATTACCAAAAAAACACGAATTTAAAAGCAGATTTTTTTTCAAAAAGTATCNTTATCAAATTACCAAAAAAACACGAATTTAAAAGCAGATTTTTTTTCAAAAAGTATCATTTTTTATTATTTGATGGCCTTTTAGTTAGTTAGTTAGCTTAGTTTAAAAGTTATTAAGTTTTCTTTACAATAAGTAATTGGAAGAAAAAAAAATCTATAAAAAATTTAAAAAAAATCTCAAAAATTTTTTGACCTCTTTTTTGTCGATAAAAATATGTCTAGTTTCACCTATTTTCATATGTACACTTTAACGTGACTCACACTGTATATTATGCTGTCTAACTGGACCCAGCCTTTCATAATGGGACTACATTGTACTATGTAGTCTCAATAAATGACTGCTTACCATTATTGAGTCAATTAAGCTTGGGACATCGTGGGGTATTGGATGAAATTAACTTTTTAACCAGCTAGATATTTAACTATTTAGTTTTTAAGAACAGATAAAAAATATTTTTTGATTTCGCACAAGCAATAAAAATACTTAACCCTTAATTAGACAAGAATATTATTTTTTATTGTAGGTATTTAAATTCAAAATAATGTGGTTGTTATTGGGCCTATAATTAAAGTGTTTGTTAGTGAAATAAAACAAAGAATCTTAAACAAAAATATGTATTTCTGAGAATCATGAAATTATCACAATAATAATCAACATGGGGATTTAAAATCTTCCAATATGAAAGATAATTTACGAGTATTACCTAATTTGTTAAAAATACTACACTACCTAACTTCTACTCAAAATTTAACTGTATAATAAAATTGTATTATTAATTTTAATAAACAAACATGTCTAAAAAGATTCGCAGAACAATAGCAAGGAAAGTAAGAAAGATAAATAGTTAAAAGATAAAATATGTCAAAACCTTTGAAAAAAAAAACATTCGCTCATATTTCGTTTATCTAAAAAAATAAAGCCATAATATTAACCCACTTACTCCTACCAGGTGTTATAACACCGCTAAAAAGTAGTTCGGAATATCCTCAGATAAATTATAAAAATATCGAGAATTTATTTACTGTTCCTTGTATTTTCTCTTCATTACGAATCAAGCTGTAATTGAGTATGTTCGATATCGCATATTTGCTTTATTTTGTTAGTATTTTACTATTTTGAATTCTGTTATTTAGTTTTGTGCAAAAACGTCATATAAAAGCTAAGATATTTCATAAACTTGCTAGTAATACCTCAGATTATACTAGTTATTATTTTAGGTACTACTGTTAGCTACAAAACTATAAACTTATGTTTTTGAAAAGCTTTACATTTTTGAGACTTTTTATGACAAAATTACGATCGGTGTTTTAACACCTGGTCGCATAATCGACGTCTAACTTGTATATTCATTAAAAGTTTAGGCCACGATATAAAAGACCGCTGAGACTTCACGAAATAGTGGAAATATTAGAAAACATTGACGACGATGATCAGATACCGAATTACATAGCAATTTTACCACCAGAAAATGCTAATGCAGAAGCAACAGATGAAAATTCTGGTGAAGAAGACCACGTTACCTTACAAAATCTTCCAGGTTAGCCTGCTTCCGTTTATCTAACTACAGTTACTTATAGCGTGTAAGTTTTCTATTGCTATTTTTCGTGAATTTCCAGGTTCTCTTAGGTTAACTTAGAGCCGAGGCAGAAGTACAGTACGACAAGTCTTCTTCAGACAAAGAGGATAACATCCCGCTTTCTGAATTTTTTAAAGTAAGACGAAATGAATCTAATGATGCCTCCAATGCAGCTAGTTCTTCTGCCATGAAAGTACCTACCGCAATCACAATTATTACAACAATGCAATATAGTGCAAGTACCTTCTGTTATGCACGGTCCTAGGCCTTTGTCATGACGTCATTTGGCTGAAACGAACGAGCGAACGAACGAACCTTCTGTTAAAGTTTGTGCCAAAATGTCTAAAATATACCATGGCAAAGCAGTTATACTCGAAACAACATTTATGAAGAATGGCGCCACAACCAGGTTCTACGGAGCTTACATCCCTATGTATGTACTACTGTACTTACGAGTACTACACGCAACTGACATGTAAAATTTGCAAGAAAAAATCAATTTGGTGTAAAAAATGCGCCACGTACTAAAGTATCCTGGGTTATGATTTATGTCTCCACCATCCTCCTACCTCCTCTGAATAAGATTTTGGTATTTTTTAAATAAATGTGTATAACTTACAACTCGTTTTTAACTCTTAAACCTAACAAAAGCATAGTATAATTTTTTCTCGTAGTAGTAGTCCATTCTCCGACCAGGTGTTAAAACACCACCCATTTTCCGGCTTTTCCAGTTGACCAAGAATTTTTCTAAAATTTTTCTGTGGATACTTGACCTCTATTTAGAAACATACTAAAAATTTATAAAAATTGACAAGGATAAAAAGTTTCAGGAGTATCTGGGTTAATATATAAAAAAAAGTCATAATCGTCAAACTTTATTAAATCTAGGTATGATGAAAATAACATTCGCTCATTTTCTTTAGCTAAGAAAATAAAGTTAGTCAAATATTCTATCGTGAAAAATAGGAAAAATCGTCAACTTCTATTAAAATCTACTTAATTATTTATTTTATTGTTTGTGTATCGCACAGCCACAAGTTTCCGACAAAGGAACATGTTAATTCAAAATATTAGCCTTATTTCTTTACTTTTTAGCTTAGACTTGGCTTTCTCGAGATTTCCAGTAACAAAAATAACTATATCTTCATATCACAAACTTGTCTTTTTTACACGTATTTATGCTCACTAGTTGGCGCCACTAGCGATTACCTGTCTATTGAGACGAAAATCATTGTCTTACCAAAAACTGAGCATTCTGTCGTAAAATAACCAAATTAGGATGTACCAGACGTTCCAGGACTAGAAGTTGGAGATGTTCCCGAAGGTTCAGCAACTGCAGACAATCCAAACTGTTCAGACACTGCAGATGGTGGTGTAACTTCAGATGATAGAAACACTGTAGACGTACCAACTTCTCCAAAAGGTTCAGTTTCTTTAACTGCTTCAGAATTCTTACTATTTTTAGAATTTCCTGCGACTGGAGCCATTCCAGTAGCCTGTAACTGCTTTATAGCTGCAAACTCATGCTCATCTAATTCTATCGTGTAGCTACCACTTTTCATCCTCTTCCTTCTATGCCTCCAGCTCTGATCATAGTACTTCTGCATGATGGGCGACCAACTCTTCATCAGCTCAGTCAATTTCCTCTCATACTCTTCTCTGAGACAATCTGTGTTAAGATCCAACCAAGTTATAGCTTCTTCACATGCATTGAACATGGTAGATTTCTCATCGTCGGTTAGTTTCTCTCCTCGTTCTGTTACAATCTGTTTCACTCCATAAATGTAGCTCTCCAACTGGTTTCTAGCTTCTAAACAAAGCTTCCTTTCTCTGTCTTCCTCTCTGAACTTCTCAGCATCAGCGATCATCTTATTTATCTCCTGCTGCTTCAACCTATGCTCATTTGTTATCACGATCTGCTTCGAATTCCCTGTGCTTCTATCCTGAGCTGTAACTGTCAATATACCGTTCACATCGATGTCAAACGTCACGTATATCTTAGCGATGCCTCGAGGAGCTGGAGGTATGCCATTCAGTTCGAAAACGCCCAGCAGATTGTTGTCCTTAGTCAAGCTCCTTTCGCCCTCAAAGACCTCAATGGTCATACTGCTTTGGTAGTCTTCTAAAGTGGTCAAATCTTTGGTGTTAGAGCATGGTATGGTAGTGTTCCGTTGGATCACTTTGTACATTAACCCTCTAGAAGTTTCCACTCCCAGAGACAATGGCACGACGTCGACTAGTAGCAAATCGTTGATCTTCTCATGATGTTCTCCGCTTAGAATCGCTGCTTGGATCGCAGCGCCTAACGCAACGGCTTCGTCAGGGTTAATAGAGGTAGTGAGAGTGCGTCCGTCGAAGTAATCGCTGAGCATCTTCCGTATTTTAGGCATCCTCGTGCTCCCGCCTATGAGTATGATGTCCTGTATATCGCTTTTTTTCATCTTAGCATCCTCCAGCGCCTGCTCCACAGGCTCCAAGGTATCTATGAACAGATCTGAGCATAGCTCCTCAAATAAAGCCTTGCTGATCTTCCCCTGGTAGTCTATCCCGTCGCAGAGGCTCTGCACCTCGACGGTAGCCTCTGAAGCAGATGCCAAAAACCTTTTAGCCCTTTCCGAAGCCGCTTTCAATCGCCGTGTAGCTCTCGCATTGCCTAGGATCTCTGTCCCGTACTTCTTTCGGAAATCTTCAGCGAAATAAGCCACTAATCTGTTATCGAAGTCCTCGCCGCCAAGTCTTGTATTCCCAGCTGTTGCTTTGACCTCATAGATGGACCCTTCTGTGTTTTCTCCTATACTTAGTATCGAAACATCAAGAGTACCTCCACCTAAGTCGAAAATCAGGACATTCTTCTCGTTTCCCAAGTCTCTTTCGATCCCATACGCCAATGCCGCCGCTGTAGGCTCGTTCGTTATCCTTAAAACTTCTAAACCGGCTATAGTCGCTGCTGCCCTAGTCGCTTGTCTCTGAGAATCGTTGAAATAAGCTGGAACTGTAATCACTGCCTTATCAACTTTAGCACCTAAATACGCTTCTGCCACTTGTTTCATCCTATATAACACCATACTGCTAATTTCTTCGGGCGCAAACTTCTTTTTCTTCCCTCTATGCTCAACTAGAATCTTTGGCTTACCGTTTTCGTCCGTAACATGGAACGGCCAATGTCGTAAATCCATTTGGACTCCAACATCGTCGAATCGCCGTCCGATGAGTCGTTTCGCGCCAAAAACTGTGTTCCAAGGATTGAAAGGTGCTTGGTTTTTCGCCGGTTCGCCGATGAGGCGATCGGTGGGTGTAAAAGCGACGTACGAAGGCGTAGTTCGATTTCCTTGGTCGTTCGCTATAACCTCCGCTGTACCTGCACGCCATACCGCCACACACGAATACGTTGTACCCAAATCGATGCCAATTGCCACCATTTTTACGAAAAAACTTAAATTTTAAACTAAAACCTATTCGACCTTCATCACTACGCAATCATTCGAATTTCAAACTACCCCGTTTCGCGGTTCCGCCAGTATTTATACCTTAGCCAATGGGATAACAGAAATTTCGAGAGCGCGACGATTCTGGCCAATCAGATCGCGAGTTGAGTGGAAGGTTCTAGAACTGGGTTGCTAGGTGGAAGAAAATATTTACCCTTTTATGGTTGTTGTATTTTACCCGACTAATACAGAATAATAACACAATTGCATTATAAACCTCAATAATTTAAATATGCCTCGTAATTATTTTTCATGAATAAAATCATCCACACCAAAAAGTTACAGATTAAGTTGAAAACTGATATTCACCTAGCTAATGCTAGGACTTTAAATTTTTGAAGCCAAAAGGCTTGCTGTTAACGCAAACAATGAATATTGACCATTTTCAGACATATTTAATAATTTTGGCTAAATGCATTGACACTTACTTTCTATTACACGTTGAATCACCATTTATTTGTGTGATCAAAATGTTTTCTTTTTGTTTCATTCGACAAAACACGAAAAATCGAGTTTCAAAACCATTAAACATATTATGAGTATGATATCGTTCATACACAATAAGTGCCACTTGTGGTCTAAACTGAATAAATATTTTTGATTTGATTTGATTTGATTTGATTTGACAATTTAATATTATATTGACAAAATAATATTTGTTACATGATTTTTTTTACGAAAACATCACTTTTTCTATCAACAAACATAATGCTAATTAAAATATTTAAAAAAATATTACTAAAAAAACAATGTATTTTTTTTTGTCTGTGTCTGATATTCTTTAGATTTTACCCCAGAAAAGTGGAAAATTCATTACCTGTTCACCCCGTTCATTCATCCTTCGCTTTGACGTCAAAACCACGTGTATCAACCCATCTCTTTCGCACTCATAACCTTACGACCCATTGTTTTGTTTCTGTCTCCCTTCGTACCGGTCTTGTCTATGTCGCATCCTTTTCACACTTATAGCTTTTGCATCAATGGTTTTGATGATATCTCTTTCGCACCCGGTTTGACAGTTCAATTAACTCGGTTATTTTTATTTGTTTGTTTGGGATCATAACAATAAAGCTCAATTAATATGTACTTACAGTCGAGAATGTCGGACTTTTATACGTACTTGGTACAAAATAACACCTATTACATAATGCATTTGCTTTTTTTTTTCATTTTACCTCTTTTGTCTTTTGTGATGTCCATAGCAATAAATGTTTCTTTCTTTCTTTCTTTCTTTCTAATGCCAATAATTAATAACGTACCTACCTACATTTGTTTAAATTGATGAGCTGTCTGTATTTAGCATGTACCTACTTACCTTTAGGTGTAGTTATTAGGCTTGATTACGCAAAAATAAGGCAAATTAAGGGTTAAATCTGAAATCCTACCTATTTAATGCAAAAAAATTGTAGTGAAAAAATTGTTTTCATTTAATTATCCATACAAAACGGCCATTTCATGTTTATTTACTTAGGCTGGGTTGCACCACCTAACTTTAACGGTAACTATGACGATAACCGGTGCTTTTTATATGGAGTTTGACAGATTTTTGACGTTTGTCAAAGTTAAAGTAAGATGGTGCAACCCACCCTTATTTATTGAAACTTTTGCACGTCTAATGTTGTACTTACACTTACAGTGGCACTTAATGGCGAGTGGCATTGTCTACCAGTCAACGACAGGTCAACCAGAAAAAATCTGTCAATGAAATAGCTGGAATGGTTTACTACCTACTTTTAGACAACTATGAGATTTATATTACCTACCCACCAATATTATACATTATCTTACTAATATTAAAAATGCGAAAGTTTGGATGTCTGGATATTTGTTACTCTTTCACGCAAAAACTGCTGAACAGATGTTGATGAAACTTTACAGTATTATTGTTTATACCCAGAATAACATATAGGCTATAATTTATGACGAAGCTAGTGTGAAATGAAATTAATGGAAGTTTGTACTAGGGGTCGCAATACCGAATCATTTCAGCAAAACTGGTATTTTCGGTATTGGCTCTAAACCAATACCGGTAATCCGGTATTTTCGATATTTCCGGGATTAAGCAAAAGTTAGCAAATTTTGTATAATAAAGTTATTTTGCGGAGGAATAGTAAGTAGGTACCTAACCTAAATTAATTTATCTTCTAAGGGCTGATTTTTCAATTATCAAATAACTTTTAACTGACGAATAAATTTGTCATTTTGACATATTTCCCATACTGAAACTATCAATATGCCAAAATTATTCTTCAGTTAAGAGTTATCCAACGATTGAAAAATCAGCTCTAAATAAAACAAAATACTAATTGACACAAGGTTTGTTGTTTGATATGTTCAGTATCAGTTCTTTGCAATAATTTACTAATTCAACGATGTCTCTGTGATCAACTCGGTCAAAACAGGAAGCGATCACCGAATGGTGAGGCACATTGAATATCAGAGACCCAAGCTCAAAAGATGTCGACTGATGAAGTCTACGCTCCGCCCAGCGCCTATCCTATCCAAGTCAAAAACCCCGAAAGCTTTCAGCTCGAATTGCAAAATCGTTTCGAATGCCTAGGAGACTGCGGAAATGTGGACGAATACAATGACAGGTTCGTGGAAATTGCCCAAACGACTGGGTCTAAGTTCTTTAAAACCCGTCGTTCAAAAGGAACCAAAAAGATCTCTGACCTCACCAATCAACTCATGGAAGAGAGACGGAACTTGGTTCTGCAGTCCTCTGAAGATGCTGCTCAGTATCGGCGTCTTAACAGACAGATCTCCAAGTCTTTGACTCGCGACCTACGCCAATTTAATACAGACCGTATTAAAGAGACACTATACCGAAGATATCCCGGACGTCAGTCTGTACGAGATTAGAATGGCTCTCAAACAGCTGAAGAACAACAAGGCACCGGGTGATGATGGAATTACGGCTGAACTTTTGAAGGCAGGCGGAACGCCGGTACTAAGGGCTCTTAAGAAGCTGTTCAATTCCGTCATCCTCGAAGGAAAAACGCCTAAGACATGGCACAGAAGTGTGGTGATACTCTTCTTCAAAAAAGGCGACAAAACCTTGTTGAAGAATTATAGGCCCATCTCACTTCTGAGCTATGTCTACAAGCTGTTTTCAAGAGTCATTACGAATCGTCTCGCTCGCAGGCTCGACGACTTCCAGCCTCCCGAACAAGCCGGTTTCCGAAAAGGCTTTAGTACCATAGACCACATACATACGCTAAGGCAGATTATACAGAAGACCGAGGAGTATAATCAACCACTTTGCCTGGCGTTTGTGGATTATGAGAAAGCCTTCGATTCGGTCGAGACCTGGGCAGTGCTACAATCTCTCCAAAGGTGCCAAATTGACTATCGATATATCGAAGTGTTGAAAAGTTTATACAAAAACGCCACAATGAGGGTCCGCCTCCAGGATCGGGACTCGAAACCTATCCAGCTGCAGCGAGAGGTAAGACAGGGAGACGTCATATCTCCAAAACTGTTTACCGCCGCCCTGGAAGATGTCTTCAAGCTTCTGGACTGGAATGGATTTGGCATAATCATAATCCTTTATTAAAATAACTTGGGTTAAATAGTTCAAATACTTTAATTAACTCGCGCGCGCGTATTTTGAATTAAATGGCGCGTTAATTTTTCTATTTGTATTTGTTTTTTATTTATTTTACTATAACCGAAAATACCGAATATCCCGGTTTTTGTGAAATGAATACCGGTATTAATTAGACCTAAATTTGGCCCGGTATTCCGGTATTTTCGAAATTCGGTATCCCGGTTTGCGACCCCTAGTTTGTACCTAGGTATTTTATGGACTGTAGTCAAAACTGGTCAAAACATCATCTCATAATTAACGAGTTGTAAACAACTCAACCGGTCTATTTTTATTAAAATGAAAGAAGAACGGTCACGCCCCATACAAAAAAAACCCAGACCCGACAGAAACGAGACATACCTCAGTTTTTTTGTCATGTCTTAATTAGTTAAATTATATATTTTTTATATTCGAAATCTATGTATAACACCAAAATATTACCCTTTGTTTTTGTTCAGGCGTTATACAAAAACTAATACAAAATGCCTATTTATCATCAAAATTGGTAAATGGTACATACATTTATTTATTTAAATGTCTATTACGGCTGCTATGGAATGTATCTAGGTGACCTGGAGATACAGCTGGATTATACAGGGTGGAAACGATAAGAGATCTCACTCGATTATTTCTAAACTATACAAGATATCGAAAAACTAGTTACTGATTCTGAAAGTGCTTCACGAGCTCTTTCAAATGGTACCAATAATAGGGTACAGATTATGGAAGCTGGTAACATTGAATTTTTTGATTTTGTAACTTATTATTTTTTCCACCCTGTATAATCCGACTGTACTGTACTATAACGCCTGAACAAAAACAAAGGGTAATATTTTGGTGTTATACATAGATTTCGAATATAAAAAATATATAATTTAACTCATTAAGACATGACAAAAAAACTGAGGTATGTCTCGTTTCTGTCGGGCCTGGGTCACAGATGACCGTTCTTCTTTGATAGCGTTGATTAGTAGGTATTAAACATTGTTTTGTTTCGCGAACGTAAACAAGTGGGCGGTAAAGTTATTTTTGTGAACTTTTACGGTTTTCTCACGTGTCGCAGAAATGACGAGACTTTTAGTATGTTTGTTAATTATGATTAGGAATAAAGGTACACTTGAAAATGAAGCATCATTTTGTTTTTAAATCCCGACAAAACAGTTGAATATTTTATGTTTTAAGACTTTTACAAACGAACGAATGAATCAAAGAAGTAAACTCACCTGCCTTCCCCCAACTCGCCCCGTCACGAAGTCAGCACTAGTGTCCACCACCAGATAGTCTTCGTGCTCCTTAGCTTCATCCTCTGTGATCTCCTCAAGCTTGACGCAGGTCTTCTTCTCTAGAATGCTGTTCACTTCTGCGAGGCGACGGCGCACGTCGTCTAAATCATCTGGATGAAGAACAAACTCATATTGGCTAAAGTCCGGTCGCCGAGCAGATAGAATTTCGTCCAATGACCCCAAGCTACCCATCCTTATCGCTCGCGCGTAATTATAAATCGCTGTTGTGACTGTGCGACGGGCGGCCGCAGTGAGTGTGCGAGCGGTAGCTTAATGACACATACGCCCGTATTCACAAACATTACTATGAAGTCTCACAAAGCCAACCAACCAATTAAAGAGTTCTACTCGTTGTGCGTTTTGGTGTCAACTACCCAATTTCAAGCTAGTATATCTCTATTACTCATCATCATCATTTCAGCCACAGGACGTCTACTGCTGAACATAGGCCTCCCCCAATGATTTCCATAATGACCGGTTGGTAGCGGCCTGCATCCAGCGCCTTTTACAAGGTCGTCGGTCCATCTATTTCAGAATAAATATTAGTACTAAGTACGTTTTACTCACAGTTAGGGTCTTCCACCAAGATGTATCTGACCACACCATCAGGCCACTTCCTTTCGTTGTAGAACTCCTGGTTTGCCTTCGACAGATGTACTGTCATCCCATCTGTGTTGTGTGCTTCTGGTGGATGTTCCGGCTGCTCTCTTAACAACCTAAAGGAAAAAACCAACTCATCATCATCATTTCAGCCATAGGACGTCCACTTTTGAATATCTAGGCCGCCCCCAATGATTTCCATGTTGACCAGTTGGTAGCGGCCTGCGTCCAGCGCCTTCCTGCTACCTTTATGATATCGCCGGTCCACCACCTACGCTGCGTTTTCCGGTATGCAGCCTCCACTCTCGAACCTTGCTGCCCCATCGGCCGTCAGTTCTGCGTATTATGTGCTCGGCCTATTGCCACTTCAGCTTGGTAATCCGTCCAAATCGTAAACCAACTGAAGGGTGATTTAGAAGTGATAATGATAAAGCGACAATAGCCGAACGAAGGTGGCGGACTGGCCAATTCGTGATCCAAGGAACGCGGGTTCGAACCCCGCTCGACTATTATGGTGAACCTACTCGTAACACAAGCATTTTAGCTTTCCACGAGAGGTTAAAAGGTTAAAAAAAAAATTAAAAAAACATCTTAATTTTAAGCTCCTCTTTGATGCGGGAATCCCAGAATTTCTATCTCTGTTAATTTTGTCTCTGTGTGTCAAATAAGTTATTTTCTTTTCCATTACATTCTACTTGCCTGCTTTTCTGCCGATTTTGCACGTGACGGGTCTTCTTTCCCCTTCCAATGATCCTCTCTCTCTGCTTTATCTGTCTCTCTCTCTGTTTTATGTTTGTCTCTCTCTCTTCTCTTTTCTCTAGGGACACATTCGAGTCGTCCCATTCCTTCTCTGAGCGCACTTTCTTCTTTGCCCTAAAAGGTGTTATTTTTATCTTAACTATATTTAGAATGTGACTGTGCTCATGTGAACTGCTTCTTCCTATAGTCCGGTCGCCGAGCACGTAGAATTTCGTCCAATGACCCCAAGCTACCCATCCTTATTGCTGTCGCGCTCGCACACTCACTGCGGGCGCCAGCCGCACAGACGCGACAGCAATATACGCGCAAGCGATAAGGATGTGTAGCTTGGGGTCATTGGACAAAATTCTACGTGCTCACAGACCGGGCTTTAATACAAATTTTTAACCGATTTAAAAAAAGAGTCTATGTTCCACGATATTTGAATTTTCACATGAGTATAGTCACATAAGCCTAAAGTCCTAAACAATAAAAAAGTGAAATAATGAAATAAGTTCTTGGTGAAAAATCAAATTGTTTATCTTACCCAAGTAAAAATTCTGTATTCTACTGCAAAAAATCTCATCAATTTGTGACTTTATTAAGTATCTGTATTCGGTTGCAACAATTTTAACTAAAACATTTTTATTCACTCATCTCTCTCTCTTCTCCTATTCAATCATAAATCTCTTTCGACAGCACATCAAATTATAATTTTGTAGTTTTAGGCGGGTTTTAAAGAATCGCGCTGACCGCTCGCTGATCGTCGGCGCTGACGGATCAATATGTATGTACTAATTGAAGGGAACATTCCTGAGTGACGCTGATCGCTCGGCGCCGACGCTTCATACATTTCGGCTGTCAGCGCTGACGATCAGCGTGACTCTAAAACCAGCCTAAGAGTTATTTTGAATTTTATTTTTCAAGGCGTATACCTACAAGAACTTGTCTCTAATCTAATCTACAATTTTAATTACGATAGATATTAGAACTGTAGATAAAAACCGTTTGTTGCTATCTGCAATTAGTTTTTTATCGATTTAGTTTAGAAGAACAACAAATACCTACACACTTCTCATTTTTCTTCTGACCTTATGGAATTTCGAATCAAACGGCGTCCAATTGACGTCCACTGCTGGACAAAGGCCTCCCCCAAGAATTTCCACAATAACCGGTCCTGCGCTGCTTACATCTAGGTGCTTCCTGCGACCGTCACTGGATCGTCGGTCCATCAAATGGGAGGCCTGCTTACACTAAGTTTTCCGATCCGTGGCCGTGGTCGCCACTCGATAGCTTTTCTGCTCCAAAGGCCTATAGTTTTAGCCGAATGACGTCCACTGCTGGACAAAGGCCTCCCTCAAGGATTTCCCTGGCCATATTGATTGACTTATTTTAAATAGGTACTATTTCAAATTCGATGTGGCTTACCGTCTACTAGATTAATGGGAAATAAATGATCAATGCTCATTTGTAAGTCTTTATTTCTACTAAAAGGCATCAATTACTTACTTGAATCGCCTGTGATTTCCTGGCCATTCCGTTTCGTACTCTATCCTCTTCTTTTCAGGAATATCCGTAGCAATCCTCAATCCTGCTTTAGTATTATTATTATTTGCAGGAACAGTCACAGGTATATTTGTGTCGTTATCGCTTCGTCGTTGATTTTCTACTGTAGTCACTTCTTCATCTCTTCGCCTAGCTTCAGCATCATCTGCTTTGGTTGGAATCTCTGCGTGTCTCTTTTTTCTACTACCAACACCCTCAGTTGAGTTGCCAGTCTCGTTGCCAGTTCTAGCAAACTGGGGTCTGTAAGGGCGTCCGTCGTTTTTGGTGGACTGGAAGTAAACTGGTCTGTGTTGAGTAGAATACCTCACTGGGCCAGATTTGGTGGACTTATAAGACACTGGGCAGTCTCTAGCACCGTAAAATGGGCACCTAGCTCGAGCCCGTTGGTACATGTTTAAATCTTCGGAAGTTCTGCAGAATTCTGTGAGATTCGCGACTGCATTGTCGACCATATTTCTAGCGTAATCAGCTATAGTTTCAATTATCCCCAATATGTCAGGATTGCTGTTATTTCTATTGAATTTTTCTTCAGATACTCTTAAATCGGGCTTGGTTACATTACAGTATTTGGCTCTAGCGTTTCTAAGAGCTTTAGAAGATACCTTGTAAACTTGATCTACAACATCTTGTACCTCATCTTCTATGCCTAGATCTTTTAGACTGTTGTTGATCTGTTCTGAGGCACCTTCTGGTGGAGGAGTGATGTCTCTATTGACTCTTAGATTACCCTCAGTGACCTCACGTTTTTTCCTGGCAACTCCTGGGTAGTTTTGGCATAATTCTATCTTTTCTTGGCGATCTCTTTTGCGGCATTCTGGGCCGTAGACTATTTCTATCTTACGGAGGTCTATAGGACTTAGACCGACGCGGTTTTGCCGGACGGGAGCGTTGGAGCGGTCCTGAAAAAATGCCTGAATTCTGTAGGAAGGTAGATACAGTTTTTTTAGTGTGTCTACGCACACGAAGGGTAATTTCCCGTCGCTATTATGAACGCAATAGTTACGTAAATAGGTATGTTTGCAAAATGTTTATTCTTTTAATGGTAACATTTTGGAAAAGGGAACTGCCTTGTCACACTGTTTTTTGTTTCTGTTAAATTGAATGTAGGTATCGGGACTATTCCCACCTCTGGTTCCCACCGCTGCAACTCCTGTGTAGCCAGGATCTACAGCTTGACCGCCATTAACCCAACCAGTGAAGGCCAAGTTTGTTCCGGGGGAAAGTTAACTGTCATTGGACTCGCAACGAAATTAATCAGAAGAACATAGGAGGAGTTCGAAGGGCAATTTAGGTAGTAATTTACCTTGAAGATGATTGTCCTGTGGCCATTCTTGCTGTAGTCTCTCTCTCCGAAATGTAGGACGCTGTCCACGTCGTAGGACAGGGCTCGCAGTTCTAAAGGCAGCTTGACGTCTTTAGTGAAGAGTTGCATGGCATCTGAGAACAATTAAATAGGGTGTTTGACACTATATCAAGGTGGGAGTGAATAAGCGTTTACTCTGAAGGTATGATATACCACCCTACACTGCAACTCAATGAGGGTGTTCGCGATTGAAAAATCTGTCAATGTCATGTCAAAATCCACCAATCATGCAGCATTTGGACCTCCCGTCTACGTATTGCCATCTGGCGGATTTTTCAATCGCGAACACCCTCATTAATCAGTGGGTCTAGACAAGTAGCACTTTTTTAATGGAATCGAAAATCGAATCCGGTGAAACTTTTAAAAAGGCTTTTCGACCATCTTTCGACATAATAGGCTTTTTGTCTAGGCAGGGGGTGTGATTGCGATCAAAATTCTGCATTAAAGGTTCGGACAAACCAACGCGATCACAGCGCGATCAGCCGGCGTGCAGCGATGGCGATCAATGCATTTAGGTCTGGTCGCCATCGCTGCACGCCGGCTGATCGCGCTGTGATCGCGTTGGTTTGTCCGAACCCTTAAAGAACATTTATTCGAAAAACACTGACCGCCTCGAGTTGATACGGTTACGAGTTGAGACTTTTGTTTTCAGTCGGCGGATAGTTTAGTCGGTGTTAAATCGTTGTAATGTGAGTTCCGTCCATGATACACCAAACTATCGGTCTGCGGGTGGGGTGTCTAAAGAACGTCATCATTAAGATCTTTAATTTTCAACTAGCAGTTTTCAATCATTAAGGTGTTCAACACCATCATCATCATCAGGTCATTTAATGTCTACTTCAAGAGCACTGCACCCTCTAATTTACAATTGGCATTGGACTTTTTGTCTACACTCCCCATGCTGGCCAAACCATAGTTTTAAGGAACTTCTAAAAAAACACGTCACGATCAAAAGTAAGAAATCAGTTAAAACAATCAATGACTATCCTCTAACTTTAATTTTGTCTATTTATTTCAATATATGATAATGCCGATCTAAGTTTGATTAAAAAGCCTAGGTACGGAGCTAGGTTATCAGGTAATAAACAAACTAGGTAATATGGCAAAACAATCTTAGATACTAATAAAATCATTTAACCCTGACTTGATATCAACGCACAGACATGAGTAGAAAATTTGGCCTCCTCTGGGAATCGAACCCGGGACCTTTGAGTCTAAAGCAGATGAATGGATAGATCTTACCACTAGACCATAGAGGCAATTAAACAAAATATTCACGAAGTCATGAAAGTAGGTAAATTATTTTCTGCAAATCAGCTTTCTTTCAGCGGAAGAAGAAAGAGAAGGAAGTTATAAAAATAGAAGAAACTAAATTTTAAGAAGAAGAATTTTATTAAGAATTCAATCACCTCTTTTTAATTTGTATAATAAAATTTTAGATCACTCAATGACAAGATGACAAGTGATTCAAACTTAATTCAAAGTTGAATGCTATAGATGACCCACGCTGAACTGTCCCGCCAAACTCAATGACAGGGGGGCGCTACCATCGTTCAACTATATGGTTTCCAACATGTCAAAAATCTGAATCAGCGATCCGGTATTGACGGTGGCGCCCCACTGTCAATGTCATCGACAGGACAGTCCAGTATTTTGGAACTATAATGATGACGACAAAGCAAAAATGGCACGCCAATCTTACTTGCTTATTAAATTACATATGTTGTAAAATCTAAATAGGTAGGTAGGTACAAGAGTAAAAAAAAAAAATGATGTTATGATAACATAATTTTGTCGGACTGCCAAGTTCGGTCACTGGTTCATGTTACCCCGTCTGGACTACATAATGTGCTCACTGCAATCAGACATAAAGTCCAGACGGGGTTCGAAGTTCGAACCCACTCGTGACACACACTGTCACACAAGCATATTTTTAGCTTAGCTGGACGGACCATTACTCGTAGTAATTTGTACGATAATTAGTGTACCTAGATTATTATTAATAATTACAACTGATAAAGTGAAAGAACGTCAATGCAATAAATAAAAACAAACTGATAAAAATATCCAAAAATATAATATCGATAAGTTACTGGCTTAACATAATAATGTAATTAATGACTTTTTTGATAATAATTACATTGTAAAAAGAAAAAATAAAAATAAGAAAGTAAGATGAATAAAGGAATAATTAATGATAGATAAGAATTCTAGACACACTTCGTTCGATTCTATCTAACATTTAAAATGCTTTGACACCAATAACCATTATTACAAGACACATCTTTAAAAAACACTTCAATCTAGCCCTGAAAATCGAGTTGGTTTTCATTTTGCTGTACAGTCACGGAATGAAAAGGTTCGTCAGTTTTCAAATTGATTCCTTCAACGAATCGCGAGCACATATTACCTTTTGAAACTATGTTACAGAATAATCTCGAGTTAGAGAAAATAATCTTTAACTGTTCGTCAGTAAAGTTCAAAATTATTCAGATCAAAGTTGTTTGACGATTTATCTTGTCAAGAAGATTATTATGATTGATAAACTAAAACCTTCTTGTTGGTTCAACCTGCATTATTATTTCTATTAAATAAAAAAAAACTTTTGTCAATTGGTCAATGTCATCATTGCATTGCACTGACGGGATAGAAAAATAAACAAGCAAAACCTTATTCGTTAGCAAACGTCATTTATTTATTTAAATGTTAGCAGCACTGTTTCGTGCACTGTTATGTTGGCAGGTTTGATTCTTATAGTACCTAGTGCAAGCGAAAACCGACACTAAGGTGACGAACCTTTTCATTCCGCGACTGTACATTTATATCACTATGTTTACGTAAATCTACATTATCTTTCCTTTCACGTTGCTATCAAAAAAGCCAATGACATATTATTATTATTGCAACAATATTTTATGAACATGACACAAAGTCAATATAGGGACTGCCGTAGGTTCCTTAGGAGGTGCCCCTGCTGCTCCTGCGATATCCAAGTGCGTATATTTCACGTTCCTCTCTTCCAAACCTCCCACTTTGATTAAGAATCCTGCAGCTAGCTGATGGTGGCGGCACGTAGTCTCCATATCCACCTGAAGCAAATCATCGCCTTTGCATTTTCCAACATTCACTGCCATATCCTCATGCCTGACGATAGACACCTCAATGCCTTCTCCCACTCTTCCACCACTGAATTGCAGCCGGTTGGAATGATTCGTTGCTCGTGCACTGTGGTTATCCATAGCAGCAGAGTATCCTCCATAGCAAGCTCGAGCATGACCTGTCAAGGTTGCTATGGTGTAAATGTGGGGGTTAAGTTCGTTATCAGCTAATTCGGCCATCTTGAAAACAGAATCGGCCATTGCGAAACGACCCTCCGCGTCAGTATTCGTCACTCGAACTGATTTCCCACTTCTGGAGACCAGCAACTCGTCGGCCACGTAAGAATCTTCGCCGACCGAGTTCCTGCATAGACATAGCACTCCAATAACCTTCAAATGGGTAGGTTTTAATATTGAACAGGCTCGCAGAAAACCAGCAACGGCAGCAGCACCACATTTGTCGCGCGACATGCCGGCCATTTTTCCAGAAATTTTAATATCAGCGCCACCAGTGTCGTACGTCACTCCTTTGCCTACCAACATCAGGGTTTCAGAAACGCGCGTGGAAGTGGTCGGAGTGTACACAATCTCGACTATTCTAGCTTTGTGGCGATCCACACGGTTAGCAGCCCTGGATACAGCAGCTAAAAGAGGATAATCTTTGGCAATTTCTTCTTCATTTTCGATTACATTGATAGATATATTGCTGTACCCAGCAAAAGCGTGTTTGACGTACTCCACGATCTTCCCCGGAGCCATCCTCTCAGGGTCACCTCCAGCTATATCCCTGGCAACTATCCGGGACCTTTCCAAAGCAATAGCATTCCGGACGATCTTCTGAAAGCACGGTGAGAGCTGCTCCTGCGCGTGGAATCCGATTCTGATGTAGTTTTTCGGGTCCTCCCTTTCTCTGAGTTGCAGAGGAACGTACAGCGCTTCTAATGCTCCAAGAATGGCTACCAATTGCCCGTCAGGATATTCCACTACGTTTAGAACGACCACCAAAGGTTTTTTAGCGCCGGCATCGAGTGCTCTTAAGACGCCTTTCTTCGCAGCTTCCCCAACCACTCTCACGTCATGGTACGGAGTGATTTTCCCTGTCGGACTCAGGACCAATCTTCCTCCAGACACATATTCGCAGTTCCACACGGTGGCTTCTTTAGTGACATGTTTGTCGAGCTTTGCTGCGGAATTCACGAAGCTCTCAACATGTTTCGGCAGCTTCACCTTTAGTTCTTCTGGGTATAGCAGTAAAACCACTGCGTCGTACTCGTTGGATTGTATATTGGTTTCAATAAAAACATTTTCGTCTAGCCTGTAGTTCTGCACGTACGTCGTCATTGTTCCAAGTTTGAAGACAGACTGTTTATCGTTAATTATTGTATTAATCACCCTTATCGTAGTCAGTAACACGTATCTAAATAACAGATACGAGGTCCCCGACCGATTATTTGGTTAACTTTGTTGTCGCTCATTCTTCGTAAATACTGTTATCAATTTGTATGATTACCTGCCTGGGCTTAATACAAAGGTCGTATCACTTGCTCGTAAATGCAAGTGCATGTAAATAAGAAAACTGCACGGTTTTAGTGTGTTAGGGATCCTAGGTTGGATCCTAGGATCCTTAGAAACAACGGTAACAAAAAAGAATGAAGTAGACCTAGGGCATAACGCTGAGTGGCTGCCATTTTGGTTCAAAATTAAACAAGTTATCTACATACACATCTCTGTTGTAGTCATAATAAGGATTTTGGACTAAATAAAATTATTTCTTTCTTTCTTTCTTTCGTTTATCAACCAAATGACATCCTAGATGATGATAGATGGACAAAGGCCTCCCCAAGAATTTCTATAACAATCCTATATTGGGACGTGAGTACAAATGTGTCTTAAAGGGGGCAAAATAATAAATAATTAAAGAAATACTCACGTGGTTCGATGTTCTCAAACTGCACCTCTATGAAGACGTCCCGGCTGGCGCGGTTGTGTTCGAACGGGAAGCCCAGAGCCTTCATCAACATCATCTCAATGTGGGGGGGCCGCAGGCAATCGTAGCCCAGGATCACCGTCTGGGGAACATAGCAGAGATCCATAAAAAAGGTAGGTGACTTACGGTCCTATGTCCCCTAGAGCAGAGGGCGTTCACAACAGTCCACCATTGCGTTCGGTCTTCAGTTTCACGTTTGATCTCGCTCCAGGTCTTACGATACGATACGATAGTGCTCACCCAGCCAGGACAATGCCTGCTCCGGTCAAACCGGCATACCAGGAGGCACGATTTTAAGGAAAGACACGCTCTGGGATGGGAGAGGACGGCCGACTAGCCGCTGCGTCTTTAAACCGCAACCGGTCGACCACAACCAAGTAGACATGCATCCTGAGCCTGGTCTAGGAAAATAGGTAAAGACGGGTTATCGTTGATAGGACTGAGCGTTGATGCGATGAGATGAGGTAGGTATCCATCGAAGCGATGATAGCCAAATGGTGATGGTGGTGAAGGGGTCGGACTGGCCAACTCGTGATCGGGGAACGATCCCCGCTGACTCTCGACTATTGTGGTGAGCTCACTCGTAACACACGCATTTTGTTCAGCTTTTAACGAGCGATTAACGCAGAAAATCGCAGGTTCGATCCCCGCAAAATACCTAGGTATAAACATTGTGTGCATGAACCTAATAAGTGTGTTTGCATAAAACATTTCAGTAGTGTGTTACTTAAATACATAGTTAGGATGAATACTTCCTCTCTTGTTAGTATTAGTAGTTAGTAAAATGTTAGTATCAAATTACTGTAGAGTGGCCAAAAACAGTGCCGCGTCATAATGATGACCAAAACCGATACTTTTACTCTACGGGATACAAGCTAACTAGGTAGGTAGGTACTCTTTTATTAAGTAAACCGCTTTTGATTTCTCAGAGCGTGGGACTACCCATAAGGTGGACCGCAACCTGATAAAGGTAGCAGGAAGGCGCTGGACGCAGGCCGCTACCAACCGGGCGATGTGGAAGTCATTGGGGGAGGCCTATGTTCAGCAGTGGACGTCCTGTGGCTGAAATGATGATGATGATGAAACAAGGATTACTTACGTGCGGCTCATCTATCGAGTGCCCAGAAGTGGAGGGCACACACTTCCTGACACCCTGTGGGTTGGCGATCACCAGCACGTGCTGGTTTCCTCGAGGAGGCGCCAGGACTGGGAGGAACTTGAGGCAGGTCTTGAACGCGAAGAGCGAGAGGGTCGTCATTATTGACATGGACTGCTCATGGTCTATGACATAATACAAACAATAATCAGTGTTCCCCAGTCAATGAAGCACAAATCTTCAGCTTTATAATATTAGTAGGTATAGGTGCGTGCGTAAGTGTCCTGGAAGTCTTTAAATATACTTCGGACGCAGGTCAGCCGTAGTAAGGGCAATCTGTTTAAGTAGGTGGGGATTCTCGGATGATTCAAACTTGGAGTGCAAGTGTGATTGTGTTCCCCAGTCGAATTCGTGCCGTGCAAACAACTGCACACAGGAAGATTTAATGAATGCTACTGACAACGCCATCCTTGTGGCGGAGTTTTGGTTTGTTGTCGACATGACGAGAGAAAGATCAGAGTTTCAACTCCTAGAACCCGGTCGAGTTAATAACTGAGCACCTGGCGGCCGTGACGTCACATCGACGGACGGGGCGAACCAGTGTTGCCAACTTAGCTACTTTATAGCTAGATTTAGCAACTTTTTGATGTCAGGCAGCTACAATTTTTTTTAACTTGTAGCTAAACTTTTTAACTACTTTTTCTAGCAACTATTGATTATGATATATTTTTACAAAGTTATGGTAGCGGCATACCCGACAAAGAAAATTAGTATTAGCAATTACGATTCGACTCACTTAAATCGGTAGATAATCAAAATATTGTCTTCTTTTTTTGTTAATTAAGTAGTCACAGTATTAAAGTTAAGTTGATTTTAAAGTTTATAGCTGATTTATTAACTTCAGTGTTTTATTTCTTTAGTATTTTATTTACTTCGGAATTCAGCTACTTCTAGCTACTTTTTAGGGAGAAAAAAATACTCAATCTAGCAACTTTCTGTTAAATTCCTAGCTACGAGCCTTTGGTAGCTGTTGGCAACACTGGGGCGAACGCAAGGTGTGTGCGGGTGAGTGCGTGGGAGAGTCGCATTCCAGCGAACTGCGCAGTTTTAAGCTCAATCGGGTTATAATTAATGATCCAAATCCTAATTTCTAATATTTGAAAAAAACTGACTGCGTAAACTGAAAAAAACGTTATCTAAATATTTTCAAACTTATTGTTAAAAGCTCGATTACACCTTCCACCTTCGTCTTGATCATCAATGGAGTGATCAGTGGAGCCAAATATTTTCCGCGATGGTTATTAATAAATTAAATGACTTACCAAAATGTTCAGGGTATATGTAGAATGGTATTGTTGCGTTTGGCCAGAAGACGTAGACATTCGTTGGTAGCTCGACTGAAAATAAGAAAACTTAAAGTAATAAGCTTCTAAACGAGTAAATTAACCCTCCTTCTGGTGCAGTCGGGTAAAAAGCGAAATACCACTCAATCTCAGAAATTATGACACCTACAAACTTGAAAAGCACGTAGGTTCCTTAAGGGGATACATCCGCTAAGAACGGATTTTACGAAACTCCACCCCTAATGGTGGTAAAATAGGGGTTCATGTGTAAGTAACTAGGTACCTAACTCCACACTTACGAAGTCGCGGGCAGCCGCTAGTTTATTATTATTTTATTGCATTAATAAATGTGACCGTTTGGTGCAGTCCACTACACTGCGTACGTACCGGACTAAGAGAGGTCGCAGGTTCGATTCCCGCACAGTACTTACTAAAGGCAAAGGGTGCCAACGATTACGGGGCCCTATTGCAATGCTTTCACTGTCCGTCCATCGAATTTAAGTATCAGTCGCTCATCATCATCATCATTTCAGCCACAGGACGTCCACTGCTGAACATAGGCCTCTCCCAATGATTTCCATATCGCCCGGTTGGTAGCGGCCTGCATCCAGCGCCTTCCTGCTACCTTTATAAGGTCGGCGGTCGCGGACTAAATTGGCCCTTTTGGCAGTCTTCTGTTATGGTACGGAACCCATCGCATGTCCGGCTCGCTCTTGACGGTGTTTTTGTATATTTTTTTTCAGTTTATTAGCAATTGTATTGCACAAATTACTAATAGTCCTGTTAGCCTCTCGTGTTAAGCTAAATAAGCTTGTGTTACGAGTGGGCTCACCGCAATAGTCAAGCGACAGTGAGATTCGAACCCGCGTTCCTCAGATCTCGAGTCGGCCAGTCCGACCACTTCACCGTGTTGCTGGTGTTGGGCTATCGTGGCTATACCCGGACCCGTTCTTAGTGGATGTCTGTCTACCCTATAAGGAACCTACCTGCCAAACTTCAAGTTTGTAGATGCTACAGTTTCTGAGAGTTCGTGATGAGTGAGTCAGTCAGTGACCTTTAGATTTTATAGTATAGATAACTAGCTGACCCGGCGAACTTTGTACCGCCTATGTTCATCAGGAATAATGTAGGATTCTAACGGTGAAAGAATTTTTCAAATTAGTCCAGTAGTTTCGGAGCCTATTCATTGCAAACAATCAAATCTTCCCTCTTTGTAATATTAGTACAGAAAACGATACTTACGGCCTTCTTCCAAGAAATTTTCTATATCCATCCGAACATTCTTCACAAAAAATATAAGAAACGTAAACCATTTTAGAAAATCACGCATATTCGTAACTTTCGGCCTAAAATACACAAAAGAAAAGATTGTTTGTGGTAAAATTTCGTTTTTACGACACTTTTACGAGCTGAAATATATTAAAGTTTACTGGAGTGTATAAAAACACTGGTTTATTGGAATACCTACATACCTACATAACTGTAATAGAAAAGGTGACAAGGTTTCATTATTTCATACACTAACACCCGTATTGACAAACATTACTATGAGGTCTCACAGTGACGCACGCATGCCGAAATCCGTATCACAGGAAAAAGGCACTTATCATAATATTTCTTAGCGATTAAAGTCGCTTCTCAAACTAAATTTTATATAAACAACTTGAAAAATTCGAACTGCGTAAGGTGAGTTCGATTTTTTCAAGTTGTTTATTTAAAAAGGCACATGCCCATTTTCACCATCAATCCCTAATTTTTAAGGAGATTTTTTTTAACAGAATCCTGTTCTGTGTTACTATAAGGGTCACTTAAAAATTAAGGATTGACGGTGAAAACGGGCATTAGTTTATTGCATACTCTAATATTTTAAATGCAGAAGTACATAAATCTGACTTTTTACAAATAAATAGGTAGACTCAAATAAATATAATTATTAAACTAAATACATACATTTTATTAAATAATACAACTTATGTTACAACTTTAGCTTCTGGTAATCCTAGTAATTTGCGAACTGATTTCGCATAATTCTTCACCGTAACGTCACTTTCTCCATCGTTTAAATAGTTATACACCGCATTCTTATATTCTTCTGCATGTGGTATTTCAGAAATATCATATGAAACATATTCTTCGTCTGTCAATTCTTTGCTCTCATTCTTCGTTCGTAAATACCAATTGACCAAGCTCTTTTTGGAAGCATTTTTATCCCAATTGTAGTACTCCATATCGTCTTCCGTTTTATCTTTCTCCCAATCCTCAATGTTCCACGATTCATGATAACAAGCCGTCAATAAATAGTTAACGTAATCATAATTCTGCTTCTTAACTGGGCAGCGGTCAGCTGTAATTGTAACCAAGTCCGTCTCCTTATCGTAACGGTCACCGACTAATCTTATAAACTTGTCTTTACTGTGTTTGTCTAAATTCAGAGTTGAGAGTTTGACTCGTAGCGTAACTATTCTGGCTAGTGGGTTCCTGATTGACGGACTAGCGTGGCAGTAGTCGGAAGAAATAATTTCGACTGGGTAATGTTTTTCGATAGCTTCTTCCGAGTTGAGGAGTTTGGGCCAATCCGAGCAAAACGGTTTGAGTGCTTCGCACTGTGCTTTGATGACCGGTGGTGTGAGATGGAGGAAGTTGGGTATCTTCATGAGTTCAGCGTTCGCTTTCTTGCCTGGAGGGGCCTGGCCTCGTGGGACGTAGCCTTGCCGCAGTGGGAGTGGCACGGACGATGGATGGAAGCTTTTAGGGCCTGGCCACACATTGCCCCAGTTCTGAAATGTACATAGTAACAGTTTAAGTAAAACATAATACAGTTAAAATTACAATGATATTGGCGTATTTTGCAGTCATTGTAAACCTAACCTTACCTACCTACTTGTACTTTAATTTTCACTAAATTATACATTGAGGCAGGTAAACCATGCAGACTATTATAGTTTAAGAGAGATAGATCAGTATTATTGTCAGTTTTTCATTTTAATAATGATTAGAATGGTGTGATAAAATTAATAACGTCCTAAATACGGTTTCTTGAGTCATAGAAATAAAAATATGTGATCAAGAAGAAAATATGGTTACAAAATTTCAATGTTTAATTTAGTAACTTTTTAGTGGCCTACCTGGTCTGTAGCCATTCTGTCAGCCCTGTCGGGCTGTACATCGGCCCTGCGAGCTACTTTCCTCTGCATTCTGTCTTTCTTCTTCAAAATATCCAGAACCCTAAATTCTTCATCTTCTTCATTCTTGGTCGTCACCGCATCAGCACTAGTGGAGTTAAAACGCCATATTTTGCTGTTCAAACTCGACACGAACCCACACGGCCTGTAATGCTTAATTAAAACGCTCATTTTGCAACTTTTATTACTAGTTTTTCAATGTTTTTGTTGTAAAAATTAGAAGGCCATTTTTGAGGTTAGGTTTTTTTTTTCAGAACCCACCACAGATCACAGATTAAAAAAAGTAAAACGTCAGACTCGTTCAGAAACACTGTCACATTTCTTTTCTTTCAACATAGCATTTAAGAGGTCCAAAATCTTGTTTCTTGATTTAAATAGTCTTTATAGAATTTAGAAGCTGAGAAAGCTCGATTGCAATCTAATACACTTCACACCGTTGACTTTCATCCAAGTAGCAACTAACCCTTCTCGCAGGAAGTAGAAGTTATGGATATGTAGTTTCGGTCGGTTATGGATACGGTTACGGATATACAAATTATACCGGTTTCGGTTACGGATATTTTTTTATTCCGGATATCCGAAAGTTTCGGTTACGGATACGGATAATTATCTGTGCTTTAGAATGCAATTTGCAATCATTCTTTACATCGAATAAAAAGTTAAACATAAAATAAAAATTGATACTAGATGGGACATTATAAAGGTAAATCAGGTTGTTATGCCTTTACATATGCTATAAAATGCTATAAAAAAAACAATTTAAACTGCCTACATCGGTTACGGTTTCGGATATCGCGAAAGTTTCGGTTACGGATATCCATAACATCCTTGGTAGAAATCGCCACACTGTTTTCCTTTTAATTTTATCAAATTAAACGGTTTTTATTTTTCATTGCTATCTGCCTTTCAAAAAACTTAAGCTGATTCAGGATTTTAATCGCTAAAACCCAAAAGTCATCTCTAGGGATACATACAAGGTGGCGACTTTTCACTAAAGGTGTAGTAAGTATTAAATAAGACAATAAATTAATGCACAAAACTTATTTTTATTAATATCATAACAATTCATATTACCTGTCTAACAAATGGTTTTATATCCTAAAAATTCATCATCAATATACCAACATTATATTACATTAATACATATAAATAATAATTTATGTAGATACCTACTTATGAGAGTGGCCTAAGTAGGTAATAGTCCTTACCACATCAAGATATTTTATACATTTTTTGTTGCAAAATAACAATAATTATCACAAATACATTAATATGCAACAGTAGTATTTTATAGAACAGTGCTTTCACTTATATTTTGGCATAAATATGCGTTATGTTTCAAACTATATTATTATACTTATTGGGGGAAATGTCGATAACAATAAACTAGGACGTTCAAGGCACTTAAAACACTTTAAAAATCTAAATTAGATATTAGATCGTTTCATCCACGAAGACGCGCCCCACCAATTTTTGGTCTCGGTCGCGCGGGGTGCGGGGAGTTTGATCCGAGCAATCCGAGCGTCATTATTGTAGTGTGCGTGTGCACTCATGGATCATTTAGCGTGTACCGATTACACTCAAACATTCAAGTTCAAGTTCAATTCAAACTCAAGAATGGTGGGGCGCGTCTTCGCGGATAAAGCGATGTATAATAATAATATCATTTAATTTGTAAAAGTAAGTCTGAAGGAGAGTTGATGTCAAAGTTCATTTACAAAATGTATGAAGAAGCACGTTTGAAATAAAATCTTAAATCATTAATCTAACAGTAATATAATTGCTTTGTTTCGTTGCACATAATTATTATGCATTTCTTTCGTCTGTTTGTATATTGTCGCTTGAAATAGGTAATATTACTTGAGTCTTTGGATATAATATTATAGTACAGTCAGCATCAATAGTCCGTGACACCCATAGTGGCCAGAAAGTTGATAACACAATCACATTATTTCATTGTAAAAAAGACGTGCGAACTTTTTGGCTACTTTGGGTGTCACGAACTATTTGACGCTGACTGTACACGCTTAATCATCACATAATATTAAACATTAACATTGAGATATACGAGAATAGGCACTGCCAATATTGAATTTTTATCTATCTACATAAAGCCCGGTCTGCGAGCACGTAGAATTTTGTCCAATGACCCCAAGCTACCCATCCTTATCGCTCGCGCGTAATTATATTGCTGTCGCGACTGTGCGACGGGCGCCCGCAGTGAGTGTGCGAGCGCGACAGCAACATAATTACGCGCGAGCGATAAGGATGGGTGTATGGGATGGGACAAAATTCTACGTGCTCGCAGTCCAAACTATAATATATTTACAAATGACGCACCATCTTACTTTGATTTTTACAAACGTCAAAAATCTGTCAAATTCCATACAAAAAAACAACGGTTATTGTTAAAGTAAAATGGTGCAATCCAGCCTTAGAATGAGTTATTCCCAGCTGACCATACAGGCACAGTCATACAAATAATAATATTCAACTGGTACAACATTAATACCAAAGAACATAATAACTTAAGAAGAAGTTAGAAATCTATGTACAATATCAGTAAAATTATTTAGAATACATCAAGTAAAATACATAATACATAACATTTCATTTCATGTCAATGAGAATAACATTATTGCAGTCAGCGTCAAATAGTACAGGCAATGATTTTATTTCACATTTCAGTGTGAATTTTAACAATATACAGGGTGTTGATTTCAATCCTCGCCATATTCAGGGAGTTGATTAAGTAGCTTATTCTGATCACGAATCCGTAAAAAAATTGACTTCAAAAAAATTTAAAACGAACTTTAACTTTAGGTAGTCAAAGAAAAATACCTTTTACACTGTAGGTAGTGTGTGTTTAAGTGGCTTCCTTCAGGAGGTTATCCAACATGATAAGCGAGCGATCCGCGTAGCTCGATGGAGCAGCAGTGTAAGCGTATTGCAGTATTACGAGCCACAGTACAGTTGATGTTGCACGGAAAATATTCGCTAAAAATTCCACTTTCGTTTGTATTTTTTTTTGTGGATAATGAGTTTATGTAGGTCATAATATATCACCTAAATAAATATGGCGAGGATTGAAATCAACACCCTGTATTATTTTAGCGTTAAGACTCAATGTCTACCACTAAAGGAGAACTTACTTAAGAGTTCAAACATCACTCCACAATAGAGATGAGACGTATTTACTAGAACAGATCCACACACTAGGTATTTTACAGTACTAAGTGGCACCTATTCCAATTTTTAAAATACTTGATCCACCTAGTATTTTTTAAATTACACGATTTCCGACCCTACCATCAAAGTAATAGAGGTTATTATTGCATAATCCGTAGTCGTCCACCTAGTATTTTTTAAATTACACGATTACCGACCCTACCGTCAAAGTAATAGAGGTTATTATTGCATAATCCGTAGTCGTGTATTACGTGTACCGCGTATTTCTCGCTAAGCTTATGTGCGAACGTAGAGATTCACTCCGTCTCTGTCTGACAAACAAATTTGAGCGCAGGCAGGTGTGAGATAGGAATAGCCTGTTGAAGTATGAAGGGAGGATATCAATAAATCAACAGCCAGCAAAAACATTATTATTCAATTTCAAATTGCATTTTTAATACTACGGTTGTATCTTTTCAAAGAAAATTGTATTTTAAAGTCATAATACGTGGATTAGTCCGCACTAGTCGCGTCAAGTATGGAAAATTACTACGTACTAGGTGGAATAGGTATTTGGATCAAGTATTAATACTTGGAATAGGTGCACCTAGTATCAAATTTACCTAGTATAACCCATCTCTACTCCACAATGCTTTGATTGGTGGTATCCTTATCATCATCTGGTCCGACGACCAGTTCCGCTTCATGCTACGTTTCATTCATTCAGTTCAGTTTCAGTATCGGACAAACGTTCCGTTTTGATCACGATTTCGTCATGAAACTCCACATTTGTTTGGTTTTTCTTGTTCTTCGAGACAGCTTCCTGCATTTTATGTAGTAATTGCTGGAAAACTTTCATATTGCCGACTGTAATATCTAATTCGTGATGCGCTTTCATATGTCGTTTCATATCGTTCACTTTGCGGAATTCCGCACCGCAAACTGGGCAGTCTGCTACCACCTGGAATATAAATATTAAATAATAAAATCTATACACAAAACAAAGACGGGTAAGAAATAATTTGTAAGTCAACACACAAACGGCTGAACAGATTTTGATGGTATGGAGGTAGCTGACACCCCGGATTAACATATTTTGCAAATTTTTACCTGATGAATCTAAAAGGGTAATGTTTTTATTAATAACAATAATATTTTTTTGTTAGGCGGTACGAAGTTCGCCAGGGGTACGAAGCTAGTAAATAATATTATTTGTTACTATACACTGCGCCATCCAGTCTCAAACTATGTAAAGAGATTAAGTGCGCCATAGTTCAAAAGAGGCCCGTGACGTCAATGCGTGCTTAAAGTGTAGCACTTTGTGACGTCACGCGGAACTTCAACGCATCATAACTTCGTGATTACTGTAATGATTTTAGAATTAATATTGTATTTTATACGATTACTCGGCGAACTTTGTTCCGCCTTAATGGCAATAAATAAGCAGACTTTTTTTTAATTTCGAACGGGATAAAAAGTATCCTATGTCCTTCTCCTGGCTCTAAACTACCTCCCTGACAATTTTCAGCTAAATCGGTTCAGCCGTTCTTGAGTTATAGGCGAAGTAACTAACACGACTTTCTTTTATATATATAGATTAGTTGCTTATAGATAGTTAGTGTAATAATTTTGGTAGAATTTAAAAACCCATTATTAAAATTCAAACTTGATTACTTCCTGGACATTGTTGCAGATATTAGAATGGTTTCAGAATTTATTCTGTATTATATTCAATTACATATTTCATGTTTATTATTTAATGTAATTATTTTAGAATTTTTATTGTATACAGTTTAGTAATTTAGAAATAAATTGTTATTTAAGTATTGATTTTGACTCTTCCGGGGCATGCTGTCGATAAGTCGTTTCGAGCCGGTTGACTTTGACGAATGGAAGGGGAAGTTGCCTTATCGCGGCCATGCCGCCGGACAGGCAGTTCGATTGGAGCATTCAAAGCAAGAAGTACTAATTTTAAGGTGTTATAATGTTGCAAATGTATAAATTAGTATCCTGAATAAATAAGTAATTGATCAACAAGTAACTTTTTCTATATTACTTAATTTTAAATAAACAACTTGAAAAAATCAAACTGCCTGAGGCGGGAATCGAATCCACGACCTTCCACTTGCCGGGCGACTGCTGTTCCAACTGAGCTACTTATGCCCGTTTTCACCATCAATCCCTAATTTTTAAGTGACCCCTATGTAAACAAAATTCATATTATGTGTCATCATAAAAATGGGTCACTTAAAAATTAGGGATTGATGGTGAAAACGAGCATTAGACACTGGATGAACCCGTCGAAATTTTCAAGTGTTCCCCGTGTAATTTTTATTTGTTTTAATAATTTTGATAACGTGGAAAACCTTGGGGTATGCCTTTGTCATTTGCAGTGGACGTCATTTGGTTTGTTCCGGCGTTTCTTTTCAGCACTTGCCAAAAAATATGTTTGTCTCGAAGCGCTGGTAGGGCCCAAAAGATAAGGAGACATGTAAAGTGCCCCATAAGGGCTACCTTTTCTTTTTTATTATTTACTATATTTTGACGTTCATAAGTGCCACTTGTGGTCTAGAATAAATACTTTTGATTTTGAAACCAACGAACGAATATAACTGACGGACTAAAAGTTTTTTTTAGGAAACCAGCTTATCATTTTATAAATAAAATCGGTTGAAAATGAACTCACCCGTCTTTCCTTGTGCTCTATCCACATATGATCCCACTTGTCCTTGCACGACATGAATTTCTTCTTGCAAATGATGCACGAATACTTGAACAAGCGTTGATCGTGCGTGATCCGCATGTGACGGGAGAAATCGGACTCAGCGTAGAACACTTTAGGGCAGAAAATGCACTTGATCGGGTCCGTTGATGAGTGGCACTGGAAAAAAAAGATTTTTATATTTAGACACATGAAAAATTGGAAAACGCAGCGTGGGACGTCCACCCACAAGGTAGCAAGACCTGATAAAGGTAGCAGGAAGGCGCTGGATGCAGGCCGCTACCAACCGTGCGATGTGGAAGTCATTGGGGGAGGCCTATGTTCAGCAGTGGACGTCCTGTGGCTGAAATGATGATGATGATGATGACATGAAAAATTGAAGGAGCATTAGACACATGAACGAGCCGGAAGACGTAGCGTGGGCAGGTGTCCCACTAGGTGGACCGACGATCTGGTGAGGGTCGCGGGAGGTGCCTGGATGCGAGCGGCGCAGGACCGGTCTTTGTGGAAATCCTTGGGGGAGGCATTTGTCCAGCAGTGGACGTCTATCGGCTGAAACGAACGAACAAACATGGAAAAATTACAATTTATTTATATTAAATTATTTGCAAATGCTTTGGTTGGAGTCATAAGGTTACTTTTTATACAACACCATTCCCCAATAATTTTAAAGCAAAACTTTTTTAAGAACATACTTATTTTGGTGTTAAAAACTCAATTTTAAATCTACTGTAAATTAGAGTAAATAGTCCGGTCGTGGAAATCCTTGGGGGAGGCCTTTTTCCAGCACGGCACTATTCCCAGTATTCCCACCTCTCGTTCCCACCGCTCCACGTATTTTGACACAGTCTAAATCCGTATTCACGTCTCATTTCGATAGAACGACTCGATAGGATCGCAACTTCGCAACTCAGCGATTTGTCATTATTTTGACGTTTAATCACTTTAACCAAACTTCAAAATATACTGGTCATCACAAAAATCGCCCCACCTACGTTTTACAGGAAAACTCGTTTCTACTGACACAATCATGGTGCCCCAACAATATTGGTGTTATTTGAAAGCCCGATAAATATCCTTAAAAAAAACACATTTAATTTCTTAATAAACGATTAACATATACAATAAATGTGACTTCAAAAAAGACCTCACTTTGGTCTCCCCTCTGAGATCAATTAGACCAATTTTTATGGTTATAAAACCAAATAATGATCTCACGTGTCCTCTTTAATAGACGTAGGTACATAGCGATTAATACCAACTTAACAGATTTATAGCCATAGAAGTTGGCTCAAGCGTAACTACCAATTTTTTGAGGAAGTGACTCTGAATTCTTCTACAGACACATTTTTGGGGTTAAACCTTTCCTTTAATGTAATGAAGTTTAGAACTAGGATTTTAAATGGTGCCAATATTGGTGGGAAGACGATTTTTGTGATGACCAGTGTAGATAATAGATGAATACCGCGGAGGCTGCGACGTTTTGCTGACGCATAAAAACGAAATCGAAACAAAATCGGGCGGTTAACTAACGCGTGAATACGAAAAGTGTGTGGGAAACGAATCGAACGTCTCCTCACATTAATTTATCGAAGGTAGATGTATATCAAATTATAAGCGGCATTGAATAAAGACATGTATTTACAATTGACTATATTACAAAAACATAAAAGAAATAAAATTATCAATCCGAATAAAATTAAAAGAGCGAGTCGCAGTGAAGTGTCAAAGTTGACAATATCAAATCTTCTTTTTTATTGCCGGCCAATGAGTTTTCATTGTGGCGTACCTAGATCGCCACAAGTGACTTCAGCGATCAAATCGCTTATATGTCGTTGAAGTTTTGTTACGTGAATAGGGCTACAGATTTTTTTTTTTTTTTATCCTTGGACATTTTACACTGCGCTTCTAGTCCCAAACTAAGCAAAACTTGTACTATGGGTACTAGACAACGGATATAAACATACTTAAATACTTTTTTTTTGTAAATACATACATATTATACATAGATTTACCAATAACCCAACCAGTGAAGGTCAAGTTTGACCCGGGGGGGAGTTTAACTGTCATCGGACCAGCAGTGAACGTCATTTGGCTGAAACAAACAATTGACTTCTCACCTCCATATGCTTGATAAGCGACGACTTAGCTTGAAACTTCTTCTTGCATATATCACAAATGTACATGGACCCATGAGTCTTCTGGTGCTTGACATGGTTGCTGGAATCGCTGAAGGTTTTGAAGCATATCCCACACTGGTATATGGGCAGGTTGCCATGATCGCGCATATGTTGTTTGTAGCTATCGGGTTTCTCGAAAAGCTTTGAACAGATTTGGCAGCGCAATCCTTTGTGAATCATCCTGGGAGAAGAAAGTTATGAGATTATTATTTTTTTAATATTTTTTTTTTCTCTTTATTTGGGACAACAAACAGTTACATTGAGGGCTTATGTACTAAATCTTAATAATTTGAAGATTTTGTAACAATGCAACCAGCACCATTGTCCACAGATAGGATCTAAAGTAGTAAATTGCAGAGCTTCGACAAAATTAAACTATTACCTCAGAATACAGAACAAACCAGAAGGAGTGTTCGATAACATTTCTACGCGGCAACTTGTGTCCAAAATACTTCCCCTCCCGCGCCCCTCTACCCCCTTTAGTGTTACTAGCGCCGTGTGACACCCCCATTTTTGGGGTAAAATTATGTAATTTTTTAAAGAGATGTTAAACAAGTAAAAAATAAGTAAGTGAAATAAGTACACACGGCCAGTGTTAACTATCCATTTCCGTTTTTGCTCTCGCTCTTATCAAATGGTGATTCTTTGCGATAGAACGAGACGACATGACTGGCCATAGGCATAGATAGTACCTACCTACCTATGAATTTAATTTTTACTCCGAAGTAACTAAGTGTAGATGATTATTTATTTCTATTAAATAGTGTAATATACTATATGTAGGTATAATATGTTATTTAAAAGTCAATTACAAAAGTCGAATATACATTTTAGAATGCCAAGTAAAACAAAAAAGAAACTTAAGGTTCTTTATTATGTAAAAATATCGACAACAAAACATTTTGTTTACGGCGCAGTAGTGCTTTTAGTTTAACTTTTCTTGGAGTCAAAAACAGAATCCAAATCAAAAACATCACCAATACTTAAATTTGATTGCGAGGCAACTCTGGCTGTGTATCCTGAAAGAAAATCAGAGTAAGTNAAACTAGTGCGATTTGGAGTACTTTATATGAATACACATTTACGCCCGTTGACGGTTTCTGGTTTGTTCCGTATTCTGAGACTATTACTTAATGTGTAAATGATGTTAGGGTTGCGGCAAAGTTTTACAGTACAGTAAAAATTCGGCAAGCTACAAAATTGCAAAAGAAAAAACGATTATTGCAACCAATGAAAAACTAAGTACATAGCTTATACATAATATTATAGTTTGGTAATGACAATGACAAGAAGTCACACTAATAATAAAAAGGAGAAAGTTTGCGAGTATGTAAGAGTGCATATATGTTACTTCTTTGTTTACATCTAAACGGCTATGGAGCGATTTAATAATAAATTTAGTATCCTTTGATCACCCACGGATAAGATGCCCTGGGTGATCAAAGTGGACTGCAGTTAAATTATTATTTTAGTGTCATTTGATCACCTATAAATAAATCGACAGACTGCCTCCCTTGTCTCCGCTCCGCTAGAAGCCACATCTCCGCTCCGCACTTACTTGTTCTCATAGGCGTGCACCAATAAATACTCGATGTGGTGTCTTTTGCAGTCATTCCTTCGGTCGAAAGAGCGCCCGCAAGCGACGCACGTCTTGTTGTATGCAGCCTCTTGTCTCCGCTCCTCTAGAGACCACATCTCCGCTCCGCTAGATACCATCATCTCCGCTCCGCTAGACCATCATCTCCGCTCTCACTAGAGACCACGATCTCCGCTCCGCTAGCGACCACGATCTCCGCTCCACACTCACTTGGTCTCAGCTGAAGCTCTATAGCAAGCGTTAATGCACGTAGCCTCTTGTCCCGCTCCGCTAGAGGCCAGTTTCCGCTCCGCTAGAGACCACGATCTCCGCTCCGCTAGAGACCATGATCTCCGCTCTAGCGGAGCGGAGATCATGGTCCACAGGCCACAATTACTCACTTGTTCTCATAAGCGTGCGCTAGTAAATGCTCGATGTGGTGTCTCTTGCAGTCGTTCCGGCGGTCGAAGGAGCGCCCGCAAGCGACGCACGTCTTGTTGCTTGCAGCCTTCTGTCTCCGCTCCGCTACAGGCCACGGTCTCCGCTCCACACTCACTTGGTCTCAGCTGAAGCCTGACGCGCGCCTTGTTGCACGTAGCCTCTTGTTTCCGCTCCACTAGAGATTGCGATCTCCGCTCCGCTAGAGACCACGATCTCCGCTCCGCTAGAGACCATGATCTCCGCTCCGCTAGAGGCCACAATTACTCACTTGTTCTCATAAGCGTGCGCTAGTAAATGCTCGATGTGGTGTCTCTTGCAGTCATTCCTTCGGTCGAAGGAGCGCCTGCAAGCGACGCACGTCTTGTTGCTTGCAGCCTTCTGTCTCCGCTCCGCTACAGGCCACGGTCTCCGCTCCACACTCACTTGGTCTCAGCTGAAGCTATAGCAAGCTTTGATGCACGTAGCCTCTTGTCTCCGCTCCGCTAGAGGCCAGTTTCCGCTCCGCTAGAGACCACGATCTCCGCTCCGCTAGAGACCATGATCTCCGCTCCGCTAGAGACCATGATCTCCGCTCCGCTAGAAACCACGTTCTACGCTTCGCTATAGACCATCACGTCCGCTCCGCTAGAGGCCACAGTCACTCCGCTCCACTAGCGAGACTAGCGACCACATCTCCGCCCCTCTAGAGACCACATCTCCGCTCCGCTAGATACCATCATCTCTGCTCCGCTAGACCATCATCTCCGCTCTCACTAGAGACCACGATCTCCGCTCAGCTACAGGCCATGGTCTCCGCTCCACACTCACTTGGTCTCAGCTAAATATCTATAGCGCACCTTATTGCACGTAGCCTCTTGTTTCCGCTCTGCTAGAGACCACGATCTCCGCTCCGCTAGAGTCCACGATCTCCGCTAAACACTCACTTGGTCTCAGCTGAAGCTCTATAGCAAGCTTTGATGCACGTAGCCTCTTGTCCCGCTCCGTTGGAGGCCAGTTTCCGCTCCGCTAGAGACTACGATCTCCGCTCCGCTAGAGACCATGATCTCCGCTCCGCTAGAGACCATGATCTCCGCTCCGCTAGAGGCCACAATTACTTACTTGTTCTCATAAGCGTGCGCTAGTAAATGCTCGATGTGGTGTCTCTTGCAGTCGTTCCGGCGGTCGAAGGAGCGCCCGCAAGCGACGCACGTCTTGTTGTGTGCAGCCTTCTTTTTGTGGCTGAGGAGCGCCGCTGGAAACAGAATAATCAAACGTTAATAGGCTAGTGTTCCAATAAAATAAATTTTAAGTAATTGTATAGGTGACCCGTAACAGTATGTCTCTCCATAGATAAGAAAAAGTACTGTTTCTCTTTTTCTCTTTCGTAAAAGAGAAACATACAGGGTGGAATTTTGTAATGCCACCTGGAGGTTTTATAATATTTAATTTTATAATTTTAATGTTTAATTAATTTAATTTTAGTTTGACAAATAATTATCTATTTTAATGTTATTTTTAAGTTTTTGCAACGCCTTCACTGGGCGTCACATGTACCTACAATATTATGTTCTTGTCAACCCTTACCCATGTGACATGCAATAAATAATTTGAATTTGAATTTGAGGGAAGGTATTCTTAATACCGTAGATAGAAAAATTTACCTATTCAAAAAAACATTCCTTTATTTTTGAAAAGAAACAGAACTACATTCAAAGATTTCCAAAGCTTGCCAGACCCGAGAATCGAACAAACTCAAATCTGTTAAAAATTACACCATTTATTTTTATTTTAACCTAAGTTTGTGAGGGGAAATAAATGATTTATTTATTATTATTATTTATTATTGCATCAATCGTTAATCAAATGAAAGGAAAGCCATGAAATCTTAAATACATAATTGTAATTATTTAGTACAGAAAATAGTATGGTATTGTGGTAAATTGTCGGAAATCTTTGAATGCTATTCTTTTTCTTTTCAAAAATAAAGGAGTTTTCTTTGAGTAAAATTTTCTATCTACAGTATTAAGAGTACTTTCCCTCCAGGTGGCATTACAAAAATCCACCCTGTATACTGTCACGGTGACAGTCTTCCGTGCGCGGATAGCCTTAAACTACAGGTCTGGCGCATAACTGAGTGAATGCCTGTGGTATGGAAGAGGCACGGGAGGGGTGACATTGACTTATCATGACGTGACGCAGCATCAGCGTTGCCAGACGTCCCGATTTTGGCGGGACGTCCCGATTTTTAAATCAAATTTAAATGTACAGGCTCGGTCCCGCTTTTCAGAGAGAGACACTCACTTCACAGACTATTGTTTGAAACGCCATATTATTCTAAAGAATAAAACATTTTTAATTTTATTCTTTTTTTATTCTAAAGACGAATTTAACGATAGAGTAAATCTGATTTAAAATATTATTTTTTTGTTAAAATACATTTTCTATGGCTACTTTTGCTATATTGTCACGTAAACGTTGTAATTTTAAGTCAAATAAAAAGATAAATATTTGAAAACCTTTGATTATAAACGTTTTTTTACTATGTCCCGCTTCTGACGGAAGAGTCCCGCTATTTTCACTAAAAAATACACAAAGTCCCGCTTCTGACGGAAGAGTCCCGCTATTTTCACTTAAAAAATACCAAAGTCCCGACTTGGCGAAAAAAAACCTGGCAACGCTACGCAGCATACAAATCTGAAGAATATTCTCTGACGTTTGACGCCTCAAAACACCCTTCCGTTTCGCTCCCATACCTCAGGTATAGTTCCAAAATACTGAACTGTCCTATCGATGACATTGACAGTGGGGCGCCACCGTCAATACCGAATCGCTGGTTCCGATTTTTGCCATGTTGGAAACCATATAGTTGAACGATGGTAGCGCCCCCCTGTCATTGAGTTTGGCGGGACAGTTCAGCGTGGGTCATCTATACTGATTGAGTTACGCCATAGAGATATAGAGAGATGCCAACTAATGCGCTGAGTTCGAAGCTCAGTGTCGCATTAGAAATTCACGCACACAAAGTTATCAAAATATGTGCTCATTATCCACTGCGGTATCAGTACTCTACGTTTGAATAATCTTTAGTACTACGCAAGCAATGTAAACTGTTTACATTATGACGTCGCTGCTGTCATTATTGCATTCACGAGCAATGTGTTCTGTTTTTGGGCATATTGCTGCGACACCGGCCACGCCCCCTTGTCACATCTCCCTTTAGTTTCTGCGATCTGTGAGTTAAGCGCTAGATCTAGGTATAACTTAGCTCTAGGTCAGCATTTCTGAAACCGGCATAAACTACCTTTACTACGCAATTAAAAAGAACTTACCGATGGTCCGTCTCAAGACATCCGAGTCCATTTTATTTTCCACAACCCCGTTCCCTTGTTCATACTGAGGGAGGTCCACCACCCCTTCCTGCTCCTCAATTTCCACGTTCACCTGAGCAGAACCGACGTGAGACTCCCAATGGTCCAGAATATTCTCCTTTAAAACGGTGGTCTTGCATCGCTTGCACTGGTAAGTAACGCACAGCTTCGTCGGACCACTTGGGTCGGGATTTTTGTCGACATACTGGCACTTGAAAAACGATCTTAATGCCATCCCCTTCACATGGGAAACTAAACTGCTATACGTAGTGTATGACCGCAAACATTCTGGGCACGTCCATTCCTTGTAGCCGTGGTTAGACAAATGGGTCAAATATGCCCTGATGGAGTTGAAGGATCCTTTGCATAAGCCACAACCCATGACTTTCGCTTTGTGTGTGAGCTTGTGCTCTCTATATTCTTTTCTGTTCTCCGCTATGTGGTCACACCCAGTGAAATTACACCTTACTCTTCCATGGTACAAACTTTCGCCTGGGTTGACCAGTATGGGTAGTGTGGGTACAGGTACGGGTTTCTTGATCTCTTTCTTCGGTACTATTATGTCTTTCTTCGGTACTATTATGTCTTTCTTCGGTACTATTATGTCTTTCTTCGGTACTATAATGTCTTTCTTCGGGACTATCTTTGCGATATTCGGTGCCTTTGGTTTTGCTTTTTTCGGACTGGCGTTGTTCTGTGCGTCTTTAGATGTTGTGTCAGATACAGTTTCGTTCTTTTTCGTCTTCTTTAGTTCTCGATTAATCATTTCTTCGAAGTCATCGACTTGGTTGACGTTGCGTTTTTGGCCGGATGCGTTGAAGACGCTTGAAAGAATATATTCGTAACCCTCGTCGTCTTCTGTAAAACTATTATTCTTCTGCATTTCTACGAGCATCTTTTCTTTTACTATGCTCTCGTTGATATCTTCGAATTCTTCTTCGTCGAGGGCTGAAGTGGACGGCTTGTCTGGATCGATTATATCGATTTCTGAGTCCAAAGCTTGGATTTCGACTTCGACAGCTGATGCCAAAGTAGCTGTAACAAAAAACATATTGTTTATATCCTGGATAACTTACTAGAACGTAGAATGAATGGGTTATTTCTAGTAGCTCCCAACAGGATCGCCCCTACTGGGGGCAACTGAAAATTTGACTCAAATATGACCCAATTATAAATAACTTGAAAAAATCGAACTTCCTGAGGCCACAACAGCGTATTACACTTGAAAATTTCGACTGGTTCATCCAGTGTCTAAGTAGCTCAGATGGAAGGGCAGTCGCAAGCGAAAGGTCATGGGTTCGATTCGCGCCTTAAGTCCTTAGGCAGTTCGATTTTTTCAAGTTATTTATAAATTCTAGTCTCCTCCGCTTGTGTTTTCTTCTTTCGCATATGAAGTACTCTGATATAATCATTTATGAGCATTAAAACAAAGACATGTTCATCATCAAATATTTATTAAATTAAAAATCAGTTTTCATACACGCATTTTTCTTATCATTCATCAATTAAAATGCTTTCCTTATTATAATTATCACAAACATTAGAAACTTACTAATTAAGTAATTAGTGAGTACTCTGGTACTTTTAAAGACAACAAACACTGTTAACATTAGCTACAAACTTATTAAACTGGTTGCTCCTTTGAACCTAAACATTATAATAAATCACTTTCACAAAACTCTAAAAACATAATCAACCTATTTTAAACTTCTTCATTAAATCAGTCTATTCATAAACAATCATAAGTCGCGCAGCGAAAGCTGAGGCGAACTCACACTGATGTAATATTTGAATACAGAACACACATTAAACGTCAAGTTGAAATATCGAATAAACTAAAGCCCGATCTCCGAGCACGTAGAATTTTGTCCAATGACCCCAAGCTACCCATCCTTATCGCTCGCGCGTAATTATATTGCTGTCGCGACTGTGCGACGGGCGGCCGCAGTGAGTGTATGAGCGCGACAGCAACATAATTACTCGTAGCTTGGGGTCATTGGACAAAATTCTACGTGCTCAGCGACCAGACTTTAGTCTAGCTACCTCGCTCTTGCTAAATGTGTGCCAGCGAGACAGCATTTGTCAGTTAGACTACGCAAGGCGTCGAATAACAACATTTGCTTGTGTTCATCGCCTTAACTCCCGCTGCGCGACTTTTTCAGAAACTGTCTAACATTTAGTAATTCAGTTAACGACATTAAAAAATAGTTTTATGACAGTCACAAAAATAATCATTTGGCAACTAACATTGATTAGAAAATTCAGAGAATACTTTAAGTATTATACATATTAATAATAAAGCAGACCAGACACTTATTTCCCGAGTTTCCCACTGCCGTATAAAGGGTTAACATCATAAAACTAAGGGCAATGGAATTTCATAAAGCAATTCCTCTCTCTAACAAGGCACAAATGCACCAGACAAGTTTTGCACGTCAACCAGGATTTTTTCGAACAAACCTTGCATCTGTTCACTTTCGTCGCGAATTCTGGCATATGCTTCGCTTTTCGATGTCTAAATTCATAAGTTGGAGTCGGAACTGCAAATCTTCTGCCCCTCTTTACCCTTGGTACAGGATCATAGTATTGTCTTTCAAATTTGTCTTCGTTTGGGTCCGATTCTGAGTGAGATGACGTCTCACAGTATTGGTCTATTAGAGATTCACTTATAGTCATTTTGAAGCTGCACAAATTCTTTGGATTCACGCCACTGGCTTTCTGATCTTCTTTATAAGACACCCAAGAGTTACACACAGCCAAATCTAGCATGTGACAGAAGACTCTAAATGTCCATTTTCTGGTTTGGTGACGGCTGGGACACACTGACAGGTATTTTTCAGCTTGAACTCCCCCTCGGTTACTATCAAAAGCATTCACAACTTTCGGTCTGGAAATGTAGGTGTAGCTGTTTGATTTCTTGCTCCATCTTCGGCTTGAATCTGTTGGTTCTTCGGCGTATATATTTGATAGGAACGTAACATGTTTGTTGTCAAGCCACATAGTTACTGCTAGTTTATTCGCGGAGTTAGTTATCACTCGACAGGTCCCGCGGCCTTCTTGAAGTATTTCTCGGCGTTTTTCTTTGAGTATTAATTTGACATCGGCTGGTAGTCGGTTCTTTTGAATGGGTCCGGTCGCCATAAGATTTCTTTTGGACAGTTCTTCCATCAGTTCAGTGCTGGTGAAATATCTGTCGAAGTATATTACATGTCCCGGAGTTATATCTTCTGTAAGGTGTAGCACTGCTTTCTCTCTTAATTCCAAATTTGTGTTATCGTATTTGGGATATGTTGTGGCACCCTGGTAGAAATCAAAATTCAAAACCAGACCTTTAGGGTCGGTCAATACAAATACCTTCAACCCAGTCGGATTAGGCTTATGATAGCAATATTGCTTAATCCCACAATTCCCAGTGAAAGGCACGATCATTTCGTCTACACAGAGATTCCGATCTTTTGGTAACGCCTTACACGCATCTTGAATAGCTGCTATTAATGGACGCACTTTCCAAAGCTTATCAGCTGTCTTTTCTGCGTCAGAAATTTTGTAATCTATGACGAATTTTATTTTATTTCGTAGCAACGAAAATCTATCACGAGACATGGCGCCGGCAATAAGAGGGATTCTGAATTTCTTTTCCCAATACATCTTAATGGTAGGATATCCTATGCATGACATCGCCATAACTGTACCTATAAACGTGTATAATTCTGAAGCAGTCAAATTGAGTTTTAACCCAGTTTCCAATTCATGGGTTGTGTTGGACATTTCGACGATTAAAGCTATCAAATCATCGTTAATGTAACGTAAGAAGTAGTGGATTTCGTCGAAATTCTCGCTGTTTAATGGCATGTAAGCTGGTTCTGTAAATTTAATTCTTTTAGGATAGAAGGTTCTAGAAGACCAGTCTTTTGTCGGACTATTATAACCCTGATTACTTCGTCGTTGACCAGATAGAGTTTTTTGTCGTCCTCTCTCAAATAAGGAAAGTGGTACAGAGTCAGAAGAGTCAGAATCGTCAGAACTTGAAGTCTGAGGTTGTTCTGTATTTACCAGGTGATCATATTCATTTGAAATCAGAACTTCTGCCTTTACCGAGTGTTCTTTTTCTTTTGAAACCAGAACTTGTTCTGACATTACCAGGTGATCGTATTCACTTGCAATCGAAGATTCTGTATTTACCAGGTCTTCATATTCATTTAAAATCAGAGATTCTGCTTTTACCAGGAGTGCGTTTTCATTTAAAACCAGAGGTTCTGCCTTCACTAGCTGTTCTTGAATATTAGAGACGTTTTGTTGCTCTGCATTTGGCGTTATTTCTAATTCCAAATCCATTTGTTCATTAGAGCCATTTTCTGTTGCAATATCATGGTCTTGGATTGAATGACTATCACTTAAATCATCTAAGTTATTGTAGTTTTCGTCGCAGTCCAAATCCGATTCATTTAGATACTGTTTTATATTGTCTTCAAGCTCCTCTCTCGAAGATACTAAAAAATAAAAAACTAGGTCAACAAGGTTCTATTAGTAACCTAGATATAAAATAATATAGTCTATGACTACATATGATAATCTAACTAGCCTTAAAAAGTAAATCTTACATAATCAAGACCGAATGTTCTTTGCAAAGAACGATTAACTTTCAAACGAAAAATTTTATTACAGAACTTTTTATTTTTTCTTGCCAGTTTGTTCGTTCGTTTCAGCCAAATGAAGTAGAACTTTGTCACTAGACAAAGTTAAGCAGTACTTTAACTCAAATTATAACGGCCAGTTTTGCAATTAAGCTGTATTTACATGAAAAATTATAAAAAATCACTCACCACATCTTCTTTTTTTTTATAAGTGGCAACCAAACCTCCTGGGAGGTTTATTTGTGCCAATGTAGTATTCATTTGATTATTAAAATAGAACATAGGAGTTTTTTTTATGCAGAACAAGGCAGATATTTGACCGCAATCGCACCTGGTGTTAAGTGAGATGCAGTCTAGGATGGTACATAATCTACCCTGTAAGTGCTTATTCACTCTCGCCTTAAGAATTTAAGTTTCAGTTTTACGCCCGTATTCACAAACATTACTATGAGGTCTCGCAGTGCGCGTGAACGCACAGGGTGACGCACGAACCAATCACAGAGCTCTATTCAACGCTGTGCGTTCGATTTGCTGCTTTACATAAGCTAGCATCTTTTATAAATACGGGCGTTAGTTCTATTGTTTTTTCGTAGATTCCGTGGATACAAAAGTATTCCCATAAGAAGGTTTCAAGACGCCATGCGTTCATGCCACGCCATGCGTCGATGCGCGCTCAAATTCTAAGTGTTTCACTATTTTTATATTTTATCACTTCACTACACTTTTAGAGCACAAAATACCACTTTTTTATACACGTCCCAATATAGCTTGCCCTGCCACCACTTCGGGACAACATATGGGCTGGTGCTGAGAAGAAGTTGCGGAAGAAACTCAGTCACCTTTGTCAGCCTTTATTTATTACAGGAAATACCATTTTTAAGAGGTAATAAGTGCATGTTATGCAGTAAGTCCTTTCATTTATGTAATCAGTGGTTCTTAACCGGTGGTCCGCGGACCACTGGTGGTCCCTGGACCTGGAGGCATTCCAAGTGGTCCGCGAAGACATTGTAATAAACAAGTGACGTGACGTGACGTGATGAGTAGAGTCAACACAACGCAAACGGCGCACAGTAGGCGAGAAATCGACCCTTTCATAGGATTTTGAAAAAAAAAGTGGTCCCTGACACGACGGAAATTTGGTAAAATAGTCCCTCGTGACTTAAAGGTTTAGAACCACTGATGTAATAGGATAGATTTATCCCAGTTTTTGAAACGGGGATACGCATGCAGTAAAGTTTCGCTGTGATCGACCGAAATACAGGGTGTGGTTTTGTAAAACGCCTTTCTTAGGGGTGGTAGTAAACACGACACTGACGCGAAAAAAAATTAAAAGAAGTTCATGGAACAATCCATGAAATCAGGAAAATGCTAATGGAGCGGGGTACGCGGGGGTGGTGGGGG